GCATCAGTAGCATCAGTAGCATCAGTAGCATCAGTAGCATCAGTAGCATCAGTAGCATCAGTAGCATCAGTAGCATCAGTAGCATCAGTAGCATCAGTAGCATCAGTAGCATCAGTAGCATCAGTAGAGATATACTTGCTGCAATGCTAAAGGATAGACCTAAGGTACTTGAAAGTCGATCCTAGGTACATGTACGTACCTATCCACATTTATAAAATCCATTAACGTCTATCTCAGCTTGATATCTCCCTGAATTCAGCATCTTAAGCCAATTACCGGTAGCTCTTGAGCAGGACGAATGCTGCATCTCCATATCTCGACTTCTTCATAGTTTCACGGACAGTCTCCGCAATATACTCATTCCCCTCCGATGGACGAACATCATGAACACAGTGGCTCAGTCCCATCCCGGCAAGCACGGCAAGAATATAAGGTCGTGTCTCCGGCAAGCGTTGAACCAACCAGCTCAAGATCCTTAATTGTGCAGCAAAGCGACCGTCCCCTGGAAGCAAGTTTGAACCAGAGCTATCAATTGAAGTGTCGTTACTGTCGTGACTTGACCATCTAATCGGCGATTCAACTATTTTGGCCGTGTTAATATTCCAAGATGCCGCTGTTGCCATAAAGTTGCTGGGTTCTGGAAACACTTGGCAATGCCTTGTTCCTCCGGGCTCCCTATCGTAAAAACAACGACAGGTAGAGAAAAACGGCGCATTGTAAAAGTCAATGGCATCCGCAGCACGAGCAGCACCGGCAAGATTCTTGCGAAGCCGCCCTACCCAAATTAGCCCCGTTAAATAAAGCGCAGCTTCCTGCATCAAAGCAAAAGTCTTGCTATTTGCTTCAGGCTCTTTGCGAGTACAGTTACCCAACCCAAAAGGAACGTCCAGGCCTGCAGTTGTGCCCAAGTTTAGACCATAAGTATCTGCTCCTGAAACTCCATAAATGCCTGGTCGATATGATTCATCACTGACTCTGAATAATGCCCATTCAAGTATATCTTGTGCGGTAGGGCTGTTATCTTGGGACCAGTAATGTCGCCACGCGACGAGATCCAAGCTGATGGACTCCAATTGCTGCTGCAGACCAGATACTGAGTCAGGCATTTCCTTGGGAACTATATCTGAACCTGCGGCTATTTGTGACCGTTCGTTGAGAATGTCGTCTGTTTTCTGAATAATACCTGGAAGGCCGGATATTATGTCAACCAGTTTGCTTGTATTTGTCTTCAATTCGGGATGTAGTGCCCATGGCACCGATTTCCATTTTTCTTCGCTGATAAGTGTGTCTTTTCTCTGAACAAGAGCATTGGCAAGCTACTATTAATGAGTATGTGATGTTCTTCCTGTAGGTTACAAACTCACCATTGTAAATCTTGTAGATTCAAAAACAACCGGCAAATCCTGAAAGTGTTCAGGGCCACAGTATTCGAGAATTGTAGCTAACCCCTGATGATGTACAAATTCAAGCTTGGAATCAACCGCAATCTAGATATGATAACTATTAGCAACGCAATCTGACACCCTTGAAGATGTGATACCATACTGCATAAGATCCCATGATGGATATAGGCTTGATAAGAGTAGCTAATTCGTGTTTGGATGCTGTCATTAGCGTGGATTGCAACTGCTGAAGGGCCTTGCCATAGATACGCCTCGCAGTTCTTTTCAAGCCCTCTACTTGGTGGTCTCGACCAAATACCCCATATGCTAGAGCACGAAGGCTGTCATAGCAGAGTTCGTCGCTTTGCTGGGCGAGGATTTGCCTCATTGGAGTATCTTGGAGAAGAATAGAATGGATATTGATCCAGCTGTAGGCGTCGAAAAAGTAAGAGAAAGTGACATTGTCGGTGAACGGTTCTAAATTGAGTTCAACAGGAACACCTGTCATGTAATGTGATAACTCTAGCCTTGAGTCTTTTGCCTCTGCAGCTGTTGTCGAATCCGTGACTGAGTTAATAGAGTTATCAACTTTCTTTTTGCGGCCCTTAGTACGACCACGAGTCGAAGTAGTGCCAGGAGTCCTAGTTGGAGCGTTGACTGGATAAGAGTTGGATTGGCCAATTTTGACCAAAGTCTGGCGACCCGGTTGTGTTCCCAAGCCAACTCCATGGGATTCGATACGCAATATGCGATCATACCCGAGGCATTCATATTTTGACTTTTCGCACTGAGTGCATACGGGCCTCTTGGTGTCGCATTTGACGCGCCGTTTTCTGCAGGTATGGCAGCTTTTGCTGCTGATTTCTCGACCCATATTGCTGTGGAGGGAGTATATAAGCGACTTGAGGCTTTCACGCCGTTACAACTTCGCAGGTGCGGGACTGAACGGGGATTTATAACGCCTAATCCCCACTCTTTTTAGACATTACAAGGTTCCTTAGGGCGTGGATGTGCAAACTTTAGCGGCATGAAATTGTGGCATTGGAGAATCTCAAGCCCGTCAGAGACTAGCTAATAGCCAATGGGTATCGGTATGACGGCAGCGAATGTTATCATTATCGGCAAGGGCTTCTTAAAGGCGACAACTGGCTCTTAATTCCGAAAGGAAGGGAGGTTCGCTCTATTTTGTTTGTCTATAAGTCTTATAAATTGGAACTATAATGATCTAATTTCTATTTAGGGCGCAATGTTTTGTATCCATCATGCTCACGTTCAATCCTGTATATGCCAGCCTCTCTTTCTCATCAGTACTTCTCGTTCAACTTTGCGCAAACGTGCTCTTCGACCGTAACCACGCCCCATATTTCCACAAACAGAACATCCCAAAAATCCCAAGACAGGAGAGCCCGGCCAAAATTGAGACCCCACCAACAATTCCGAGTTTCAAAAACATCGGCCTTGCAAATAAAATGCACGCCACAGCAAACAGAGAGCGGCACAAGTCGTTTGCTGCAAATAGCGAAGCAGCATACCTGGGGTAGGACATGGGCAAATATACAAAGACGCTCTGGAAGATGAGAAAGTTGGAGGTGATCAAGATCGTGACGGCGATGAGATTGACGATCCAATGAATATCTTTGCGTACGGTAAAACCGAACATGGAGCAACCAGCAGAAAGCGTTACGACTGCAAAAAGTGCGGGCACAAGGCGATGTTCAGGAGCTCGGCCACCGTTTTTTCGGATGTCGGGAAGAAGATAGCAGAATTGGTAGGTGAAGAATATGATGATGCCAAAGACGCATGCTATGCCGATAGTCAAGAAGCAGAGGCCGGTTTCTCCGAGGTTGAAGCCATATATCGTTGGATAAACGAGAGGAAAACATTCGAAAAAAGAGTAGTAAATCCCATATGTAAGCGAAGTCTATAAATCGTCATTATCAGTATCTCTCATGTGATATTGTCATATCGCTGACCGAAACCAATGGTTCTGATACTAACATAGATGTTTGTGAATAGTACCGCCGGATCTTTAATCATAATTCCTGTCGGCTTCACCAAAGCGTCCCAGAAAATGCGTGAAGCACTCAATTTCTCATGGAGAATGTCAGATTTCGTCTGGAGATCGCTTCGTCCTGTTAGTTTTCGGAGTCTGACTGCACGATAATGAAGAATGGTATCTGCTCCTATAGGCAAATCTATTAGTACATGTGAATAATCCTAGTTTTGAATTCTCTTCATTACCATAGGCTTGAACAAGAAGCCATTTTCTTCTTCAGGATATAGCAAATAGCGGTTGCCAGTTGCGTATCGTATCAACTAGCCGGCAATGGAATCTTTAAGCAGCTCCATTTCGTAGCTGTGCAGCAATATTCAACACGTAGGGCGACATTACTGGGCGTAAGGAATGGTATATTTTTAAGAGATTCACCGGCTCAAAATTTCCAGTCGCCGCTCTTTCCACCCTTATCGCTACATACTTTCAATGTTCTGCCTAACTATCATTCACGCTCAACTGTAAACTCGGGCAACAACTCTGTTAATGTGACTAACCTCATAAGCGCGGCTCTACGAAACATTCCTAAATGGTGTATACCAGCTTCATCAGCATGGCCTCAAGTCTTATAATTGAGCCACGGTTTGTTGCCGTTAGCTTTTTCTCGCAGAAAAGTTCCCCTTTTGGAAGAGTTGTCCGCGCGACCCGATGTTGCTAGTTCTTAATCAGTTAACTATTTACCGCTAAAAGCTAGCCAACCTTTTTACCGCTTTGGGGCAGCGACTCAGTTTAGCGTGCGAGCTTGATAATCATGTTGAAGCTACAGCAAGGAAACCTAGAGGTATGTATCGGCAAATCTGGTTTCCAATACCAAATCACTGCGGGCCGTCTATGCAAAAGACGTCACTGTGGAGAGTCTTGCATGCATCTATTTTGCTACAATATGGATTAAGTCTCATGGCCAGACACAAGATACTCCAGTCATTCAGAGGTCAGAGATAGCTGTTGAATATGAGTACTTCCCTGGCTCTTTCGAATGCAGTCTATCTACTAATACTACTCATCATACGAGGGCAGAACGTCTGCAAACCAACCATACAGGTCCAATCCAATCAAGAACTCCCTTCATGGCTTGTTTCTCACTGTTATACACATTTATAAGCAATTAGGTTGCTTTCAAAGGAATATATGGGTTACGGGTCATGCCTGTCTTAATCTTGCCATTGGGTGGTCTTACCGCGAGAAGTTTGTCGAACGGTGCAATAAAAAGCATTAGAAAACGTCTGATGGGGTCATTACGGATGAGCTGTTCATGCCATGCATGTATATTCGCTTCTCGCTGTGATCCACAAATTGCTACAAGTTCCGCTGCGGTAGACTGCAGGTTGACTTCGGCGATAGGGTATCACACTCTATGAAGAGGTAACCAGAAATATCCGACATCGAATATAGGCTTACAATATAGGGTATCTCTCTCGGAGACATCAATACTTCAACCATGGAAAGTCCCGTTACTCGAGACTCCACCTCCGGGCGATCACGGTAATACGGCATGGCCCAGGTTAAGTTTTGAGGATAGAATTGTAACTTGCGACAAGCGTGCAACTGAATCGCGGAAACTTTCCCAAACGGGCGATAAACCAATGCCGACTTCACTCCACTTGGACTTATCTCAATTTTCTGTGTCGCTCAGTTCAAATGACGTGAATTTGGTGGCTGGCTTTGTGTGCGCCTCTTAACTGACTGGGGCCACGATACCCATTTCTGTTACTGAGCTCGTTTTGAAGTCTAGACTCCAAGGAGCCTGGAAAACTCGCCAATCGACTTGCTTGTAGACTCTAAAGAATATGGAGATCAGATCGTCGCTTCGAGGAAAATTTCCGAAACATATCGAAGATGGGGTGAACCCGTGACGTACTATACCCCTGAATCATGAAGTGACTGATCATGCTATCATCCCAAATCACCTATATGGGAAATTTTCACAAAGATATTTTATATAAGGATTAGCTAAGGAAGGCGCAAATATTCGCTATATATAGTCGCCATAGTTTCACTCATCTCAACCATCAGATCTCAGCGCCATCTGACAAAATTCTTCATTGTAACATTATTTACGCACCATTCCTTATCACCATGATTGACGACAATGAGACTTTTGATGGAACTTTTCCATTTAAGCCGCACTTTTCAGTAGCTCCAGGGTTTAGGATGCACTATGTTGATGAAGGACAAGGCCCAACAATTGTGTGCTTGCACGGAGAGCCGACATCTTCTTACTTATACAGGGAGGTCATCCCAATATTATCACAGAACTACAGAGTTATTGTACCCGATTTTATGGGGTTTGGCAAAAGCGAGACTCCAAATGTTGAGTACACGGCGAAGAGACACACAGACAACCTGGAGATTCTCGTCAACGAACTTGATCTGCACGACATTACTCTTGTCGTACACGACTGGGGTGGCCAGATTGGCGGAGCCTTGGCGATTAGACAACCGCACTTGATTCGCCGTATTGTGGTCATGAACACGATGCTGTCGATGGGAGAGCCTCCAGAAGACGAATGCTTTGAGAAAAATGGAAAGGAATCAGCTTGGTTTGGCTGGGCGGATCGAGCAATGGCTGATGGGACTTTCGAAGCAGTACTTCGCAATGCTGGCATTACTATTGTGTCAATGATGAAATTGCTCCAAGGGTACGAGCGAAAAGAAGCTACGGAAGCGTTTTTCCGTGCTTATTCGCTGCCTTTCGCAACACCAGATGAATGCCATGGTGTCGTTGCTTTTCCGAAGAGCATTGTTACAGGAAGCTTCAAGCCAGAGAAAGGAAGTGCTGAATCAGTTGCCGCCGTCAAGTCCAAGCCAGTAATGATGATTTACGGCATGAAGGACAAGGTTCTGCTGGCAAAATACTTTATTCCAGTCTTCAAAGCCGCGTTTCCGGATGCCCCCATTCATCGTCTAGAGAATGCAAGCCATTTCCTGCTAGAGGATGCACCAGAGGAAATTGCAGAGCTAATTCTTTCCTTCATCAAGAACACATAGCAATCAGATAGAATACTAATACATCTGCTCCGTAATGCGAAGATAGCTGGACTAGTTATTGTGAATGGGGCTCCACTTGACAATGTGTTCGCATTCAGGAGTATCAAAATGAATCTGATAAACTCATTAGCCAAACAGGGGAATTTTTTAAGAATAGTACTAGTATATAGTTATTTATAAAAATATTACTAGCCGATATCCTTTTCCCGATGACCCTGGCTTTAACCAAGCGAGCAGCGTTATAATGCATAACAGCCCAACAACTTTAAGAGCTAGACTTCATGCAGAAGGTATTAATCGGACACTTGGCAGCTATTCAAGTAGTTATAAGAATAGTAATCGCTTTATAATAAGAATTTTACTGGGGATAAAGCAAGTTTGACGCTTATATCCGCTTCATATACCTATAATGATATGCAGTCGGCGGCTCATTACACCGACTGAATGATGGTATATTAATTCTAACGGGAAAGTGTCACGATTCTGGCTAGAGCAAGTTGTTTAGCCGTTTTTTATCCAGCTTCTTTATGGATTAATGATACAGTACTTGGGCATGTCAATTACTTGCCAAGCAATTTGCCAAGCAATTTGTCGCTAGAGAATAAAGACAATGATGGAAGCGTCTGTAAAATCACACAAAAAAAAAACGTAACTACAATCATGGTATCAATTGATTACTATAACAGATATTTGTTGCTGTCTGTCCTCTGTGAAGCGTTTTGCCCTACACAAAACTACGAATCGGTTCATATCGATCTTCTCACAATATGATCCTACTATGCTCCATACCCCTGCCTAACTGCCGGACGGGCTTTTCCAGAACAAGTGATCTTGCCGAATGCTACCTGCACATGCTGCTCTGTAGCAGACCATCCGATGCTGGCTCTGCTGAAATCCACCTTCCACCAATGGACTTAGAATATCGAAATGTAATCATCCGAGAATTACGACAATAACTTTATTTATAGCTTTAATCCATAAATACACGTAAATCTGTAAAGCTATATATACTCACACCGTCGGCCGTTGAACTTCAAACTTGTTATTAACCACCTCTATAGTCTCTGCACATTTAGTCCATTCACAATGATGAACACCGCCATATTACTCAAAGCGCTGCTTGTCACAGCTACCACTGTGTCTGCTACGTAAGCACACTGCGAACTTCCACTGCAAGTTGGAATGAATTGCTAACTATCTGGCAGCGCTCCTTTGACAGCGTACTCTCAGGACCGTTTCTGCGGCGCTGGGTCTACTGCGTCTGCTTTTACGTGGGACACTTTTACTGAGAACGAATGCTATTCATTCAACTCCAACATCTTGTCTCTTCAGACTGGTACCATTGCTGAGGGGTGCAGCGCAACTTTCTATCGCAACAGTTTCGACTGCACAGGAGATCATTATGTGGTCGATGATGCTGATGGAGATAACTGCTTTGGCCTCGGAGGGGATATTTTCCGAAGTTTTGTTTTCGATTTTTGTGGATCACAGTGAAAGGCGACGAAATGAGATCCTAATTTGCCATTTGCTCCTGTGACGAGTACGCATGACACGATCGTCTGATGAGCCGACCTGAGCCGCTGAGGCAAAACCACCAGAGTATTTCTGCAAAAAGTTTATATAGGATTTTGGAATGTACATGCAAGCTAACAAGCTTCTCAAAACTTTGCATTGTTCTACCATAGCTCACGACTGGCCTGGAGCTAATATCGCTCGCCCCAGATGCTTACCGCAGTTTATATATATCACAGTATTTATTCAAGGCAATTTCGCAGATGACTTGTGTAACCATATCAATTATTCATTACGTCTAACATTATGTACATGTCGAATTGCAATACCGTCCATGGACGCATCTCGATCTCATAAGGAAACCTCTAACCATATAGACAATGCTCTAAGAAAGCAAGATTGCCATGCCAAGCGTAAAGGCACCAACGATACCAACAGACGCTGTAACAGAGCCAGCTCCAGAGCAGGTGTCTGATCGCTTGTAGCCATTGCCGCTGCTTTTGCTGCTAACGGTGCATGAAGTGGTGGCAGCAGGGGCAGCGGATGTTGTGGATGAAGAGCCCGAAGTAACAAGTCGTCCGCCCACTGGTCCGGAACTGGGATTAGAGGCATCCTTCGCATTTTTCGCGGCCTTCTGGTATGCGTCAAGCGTTTGGGTTGAGTTGGGGTTCACAACTCCGCTCATGCCACTGATGCAGTGGGAGAGGACGTTCTGTGAACAGTAGAAGAACAGGGGGTCGGTCGAGTTGACAGTGACTTGGAAAACTTCATTTCCTTCACCTGAGGACACAGGTTGAAACCCTGAGAAGAAAGGATTCTTCTTAGCCGGCTGGCATGGGTTCGCAAAGTCGCCCAATACCACGCTGTGGTTGATAGGGTGGAAGTGGAACTCGAGAATATCGTTGACTTTTGCCGTCACACTGTCGGGAGTAAAGGCAAGACCATTCGCTCCAACATCGATCTTGATTGTCTCCGCACTTGCATGCGAAGCAAGTGCCAGAACGGCAGCGGTAGTGAAAGTGGTAGCACGCATATTGGCTGTAAGTGCGAAATGGATGGCTAAATTGCTGGATCTGAATCTGAAGCTGGATACTTTATCTCTCGTCGAGTCCAAAAAGCTTCATCTCGAGGAACTATTTGCATCTTAAATACTAGACCCTATCTCTTGACGCCGAACACTTGGAATTCCAAATAATTGAAAATAGGAGAGGCCGCTTTCCATGATCGCGTTAGCTAACTGACACGGCTTAACTCGAGATCTCAAGGAAAGACTCTCTTCCCGATCTGTTTACTAATGCCCCTGGCACATCTTTGCTCTATCCAACCACGCGGCGAGTGGACCGCACTTTGCTGCTAGCAACTCCGCGAAAAGCCCATAGTGGTGATAGTGGTAAGTGGGGTATATAGCTCTCCCGACCGAATGGGTGCCCGTTGTTGATGCTATATTAGGAGGTGATGCTATATTAAGCGCCTGCTAGGCCACATCAGGCTGGGAAAGGGGTCACTATTGGAGTTTTGGTGGATTTGGGTCTCGCGAAATACTTCCGACCAGGCTAGGTCTGCCCGCAGACTCGGAGCAAGAGATGCGCCGGCTTGTTGGGCGACAGCGGGGTTGCCATGGGAGCCTGAACAGCTTTTGTGCCCCGAGTGATTGATTCAGCGAATCCCTACAGCTGGTCAGCTCATATGCCTGTTAAAGTTGAAATGCCGCTGCACGTTTATTGTGTAAGTAATCGTCAGCATACGCTAGCAGGCCATATCGCCCCGCATAGTTCCGGCGTGGACTTTCAGCTCTCTCTTGGTTATTGGTCAAGAACTGTTGGGATGAATGGGAAAGCACTAATATGCAGTATATCGCTCAGTTAATACCTAGTAGTATTTTGTTTCTTAATCATTCAGTCACGCTATGATGAGTGCCTCTCCGACAACGACAGTCTTCGCCGTGATTCATATCCCACAGTGTCTACAATAAAAGACTGTGATGTTAGCTCAAAGTATGCTGAACAAAGGCTGAGAGAAGCTTAATCACGTAGCCGCGAATGAGTAGATGTAGGTAAATTTAATTCAACTACTGCTGGACTATACTTCAAGTAGCCCAAGCAGTGTGGCCAATCCCGAGAGAAATGCGAACGGGAATGAAAGTAAAACCGAAACAAGCATTTCCGTCTTATTCGTATACGTATACGTCTAGACATTCTGTCCATACCGCATGGGCTTAGACTGAGGTACAGCTTCAGCCAACGCATTGCAGCGTGACGCTTCTACTAGTGTCGGTGTTGCTGCCTCCATTCTCTGAGAGAGCAAAAGTGTAAGCCCCCTTCTCCAATTCCCATTTGTTTGTCCGATTAAGAATCATCAAATATCGATCCACTTCCAGCTCAAGTGAGACAGTCTGTTTCTCACCGGCATCTAGATAAACTCGTTGGAAGGCGACGAGCTGCTTGACAGGCTGTGTAATGGTGGATACACGGCCTAACAAATAGATCTGGACAACGTAGCTGCCAGAAACAGTGCCATTATTCTGGACAGTTACGGAAAAGTCAATCCAGTCACCAGTACCAAAAGTCTGGCTACTATCCCGTGTATCGATACTGGATCTTTTTGGGCTGGAGCTTCTTATCGATGCCGTTGGAGAAGAAGTCGAAAAGGTGGTATACGACAGGCCGAAACCAAATGGATATAATGGATCAGACGGTATGTCAAGATATGCAGCAGCGTGTGCGGAGGGCTTGTAATTATAATATGCTGGAAGCTGGCCCACCGAGTACGGGATCGTGATTGGCACGCGTCCACCTGGGTTGAACGCGCCAAAGATGACATCTGCAATTGCCTGCCCCCCAGCTTGCCCTCCAAAATGCGTATCCAAAACTGCAGCGGATTGTTGATAATGATTTGGTATAGCAAATGGTCTTCCTCCCTCAAGGACGAGCACGACCGGCTTGCCGAGGGCAAAGATCTTCTTAGCCAATGCATCTTGACTTGGCGCGAGATCTAGCGATCCGCGGTCTCCCCCTTCACCGTCTGATGACCATGAGGCCCCGACTGCGAGGATAATAACGTCGCTATCTTGTGCAATGGACACTGCTTGATCAACCGCATCATTTGGAGACACCAGATTCCACCAAAAGATAAGCTGTGAGTTGACGGAGTTGACATTGGCAGATTTTTTGAAGTTGTTCCATGACTGAAACTCGATGCGAATTTGGTATTTAGCACCCTTTTTAAACGTAAAATCCACGCCATCCTGGGGTGGTATAGAATGATTTTGCTGTATCCATCCATAGCCTTCAATGTTTCCCAGAACGTTGCCGTCGGGCCCGTACCCCTTGGATGCGATCAGCTTACCATCAACATAGAGCTTTGATGTACTATTCGGCCCAATTGCAACACCAATCCATCCATTCACGTCTATATCAGTCGGAGACTCAAGTTGGCCCTCCCAGGTAGCACTGAAGTTATTTGAAGAAAGACCTGGCGGGGGGTATAAACCCCAGTCCTGGGCGGGAACCTCTAGCCTCGATGCTTTTGGGGAAGTAAAATTGGTCCCGGCATAATAAGTAGCCTGCAAACCTCCATTTGTCCCATTTGAAGCTGATAGCAAATATCCGGGAATCACATACTGGTTGTTGTATTCCCAGCTATTGGCACCCCAGCTTGATGTAAGTCGGCCGCCCGAGCTGCTGTTCTTCAAATGGCTCAGCATGCCTTGACGCAGAGTATGCGCATAATTAGCAGGGTACTGCCCCAGAGCACCGGAGTAATCTCCAAAATTGATAGTATCCGCAAATGGCCCAATCAGTGCGACCTTAGCCGATGGATCCAGCGGAAGGGTGTTATTATCATTCTTGAGCAGTATAATGCTCTTGTGTGCAGCTTCCAACGCAATCTTTTGGTGACTGGCAACAATTGCAAGAGGATCAATATGGTCAGGAATGTAAGGATTGGTAAAAAGACCCAGATCCCATTTAACGCCCAAAATTTGTCGAACATGCGATTGAAGAGTCTTCAGAGGAACCGATCCATTGGCTACCAGGTCTTGCGTAGTCTGCGTTTGTTTAGTAAAGTCGCCACAATAAAGTTTCTCCGATTACTCACAGTTATATAGGAATCCAGATCCCAGTCATAATAGTCAATCATGCCGCCAGCGTTGAACCATTGTTGCATAGCGTCTGCTTGCGAGCTTGCCACTTTGTGCTGTGTTAACAAATTACGCATGCAGGTATCGTCTGAAAGCGTAAAGCCGTCGAAATCCCAATCTTTGAGAGCTTGATACAGCATCGGATTAACAGCGTTGGGAATTCCGTCAACCTCGTTATATCCTATCATGACTCCTCTGGCCCCCCCAAGCTCGTAATTGGCTCTGAATGGGATGAGAAGGTCTTGCATAATTTGCCGAGTTCCAAGGCCCGTGAAAGGAGCAGTATTATGACCACTTTGTGCTCCCCCATGGGCGAAAAAGTGCTTACCAGTTAGCTTTACACGCGACTATAACAACATTAAACTAACCTTCATTATTGGGAATACGGCGTCTGGATCAGAGAAAGATTTATTCTTGGATAAACCAGAAGAGTAAGCAACGCCAATTTGTGATGTAAGAACTTTATCTTCGCCAAAGGTTTCTGCAGAGTGTTATTAGCATTCATAGCCTGAGTCAGTTTCAACTAACCTTGGACTCTCCCCCATCGAGGCTCTTGGGCAAGGTCAAGAACTGGTGAAAAGCAGCCGTGTACTCCAATAGATCTTGCTTCAGTTCCTATAGCTCTTCCAACGCGATAGACGATATCTGTGTCAAACGAAGCAGCCATCGCAATATTCTGCGGGAACAGGGATTGCTTCAAAGGTTTTGTTAGTTTATGTTGAAATAAACAGGATAAAGCTCAAAAAAAAACCTTGAAGCTGCCTATGCCATGGAGACATTCTTCGACGAGCATCATCGGAATCTGGATATGCGACTTTTCCAATTGAAGTTTTTGAACACCGTTGAAGTAAGATTTGTTCATAGGGTACCAGTCATGTATTACTCCAACTGGAGATTTTGGGCTGAGGTGCATCGTTTGGTCTAGAATATGTCAGTTGTCTGCTTATACAAAGAAGTCTGATGCTTACCGTAAATTTCATTATGCGAATCTCTTCCGACAATGTCATCGGCAAACATGAGATGCAGTTGCAAGACTACAAGTACATAATGTTAGTCACGTAAAATGCACTAGGTATTGTTTCGCGTATGGGTGTAAAATTTACCCAAGTCGCTCACAGACATCTTTGAGATCAAAGAGTCAATAAATTGATCTTTGTTGGGCGCTTTATCGGCGGTTCCATCATTGCTCCTGTCGGCTACCGGCCCCAACCTAGCGTCAACCTGTGAGGCGACCGAGATGACCACGAATGCGGCAGCTTTCCAATGCTTGAACAGCATCTTGGATTGGCTACTTCATTTGCGTTAGATACACTTAAAGATTATGTATGAACCATATATTTACGATTTCCAACTTTTAAGTTCCACGGATACTACGGGCTACATAAGTTGCCGCAACTGACGTTACGAAAGATCTGCAATCCGATCAACAATGCGGGGAGACATCCGATCGGGTGATTTGGCTAAATGAAGATACGTCTTCGGATTAGACACACGTCCTCAATACCACCTCACAGGGATCTATTATCCTACGGAATATTCTTTACCAAGTCAAATGCCGTGTGCATACCTGTAGTTATGACCCCCACCTTCATTTGACGAGCGGATTGTAAACAAGATACGTCAAAGTTGATCAAAGATGAACACAGTTACATACTACTAGTGGCTACGTTGGATGATCACCTGATGTATGAAGAAGTAGGGAACAGCCTGAAAACAGTAGCGCCGATTCATTTGCCGTTACCTGCTGTTTGTGTATTTAGATACGTCAAGAATCGTAATGCGAAAAGTGCCACGACTAAGATCCGAAGGATGTGTGTTTATTGAGTAATATTTAGTTATAGATATACTTGAAAAAGGTGTCACCCCTCGTTTTAGGTCTATTCACATTGTGGCAGCGTTGCTTTCATCCCAATCACAAGAAATGCGATCAATGACGACAGCTACTAGGGTAGCAGATTATGCAGGCACAGGCAGTTGCTTTAAACAACACTTGTTTTGCGCGCACAACATGCCATTCCAAGTAATTCGATAAGGTGATTCAGTGATTAAGAATCAGTCAGAAATTTTACAACTATTACTGAGAGCATAAAAGAAACAAATTGGTGAATGTGTACGGCCGCCTATAACATTGATCAACCTTGTACTTCCCTATATGCCATTCATTCAGACTGCTGATTAACGTCAAACAATGCATTCAAGACAAGTTAGTCATGCATATAAAAGTAATTAACTCATCCATCAAGTACTCCTCTCATTCAGCATTCCATGCGCCCAAGCCTTGTAAGTTGCCGAAACACGGGAATGTTGGCTTGTTATGCTTACACTTATAATGGCAAGTCTTGAGTAATTATACATGGCATCGGCTAATGATTGGATATACTTCTTAAGAGATCTTTATTAGCTATAATTTAGAAAGAATGGCAATAATCTGAAGATCTAGTTAGTGTTATCCAGATGCGGATGATGACAAAGTAGGAAGCGGACCCTATCCTCTGTCCTGGCGCATTGTCCATAAAGCCGGCAGTCAGCGATTTGAAGAGGGCATCATGATGCGAGCCAAAACACACAGATTGAGCGGAAAAACTACATTGCGCAAATTAATAGTTACAGCCGTAAGCTTAGCCATGTAAGAGACTGATCTAGCTTCCAGCGTCCTGCCGCTTCAGCTGGGCGACATCTGGCTTCAGGGGCTCCCGATGCAGATCTCTTACAAGCCACAAACATGTTCATAAACTGTGGTAGGAACCATCTTTGTAAGCCTCTTTTTATTGGGCGCAATCTGAGTGCTTTGACAAAATTTGAGACTCAGGGCCACGGCGTCTAGCAGCAGCGGACTTTTCTCCGAGACGCTACCTTCCTAATCAGGCAATTAGCGTTGTAACAATTCCAGTGGAAGGCGGGCCCCAGAATCGAGAGCATTTCACGATGGCTGCGACAGTCTTACAGTTTCATTCTGATGTAGGAGATGTCAAAATACCAACGCCAGCAATGCATCAGTCTGTGCTTACAAGATAGCACGTAGCCAGAAGGTATGGACTCGATCATGTACCATACATTTTGAACAAGACATAGGCCGAGTATGGTACAGACAACACCAAAGGCCAGAGTGGCACGTATCTTCAAGTTCATGTAATTTTCCGTGATCGGCGCTCCGAACCAGCTGTAGGACCGAATTCACTTACATTGCTCATCTAATCATTCTGTTCATTAGAGATGAATAGCTCGTGTTATGAATGCGGCAAGATTATTTTGCGTTTCATTCAGACAGAGCGACTGCCTTTTTTAGCGCAAGTTTCATGCTCATACTAGCAAAGATCGTCGTCTCAAACTGTTTTGCATGTAACATCCGTCTCATAAGGCATCTCAAGATCTGCATTGCGTCCCTCTAATTATTATGGGAAAGTTGAAGACTTTGAAAGTTCGAATGGCACCTGCCGAGTAACGTTAAGTCATCCTCAGATGAGTTTTGGTGTTGAGACGAGGCAGGCTCACGAGATTTTTATATAAAATCGTGCTTATACCATGAGAATTGCCATGCCATTGTTTTGTTGAATCGTCATTAGTACATACTTCACTCTTTTCTCCTTACGCTCTTTGAAAGCATTTTTTCTGTATATATAATTGCTTTTTTTATACCTTTGTGTATATATCTTTGCATCATGTTTTTCCGCAACGCCATCGCTGTAACAAGTCTCTTGGCTGCACTATCCAGTGCCCAACCTTCCGGTCCTGAACTGGCTGTGTATTGGGGAGCCGAAGACGACTCGACCACCTTGGCTGATGTATGTGCGGATTCGTCTTATGGCATTGTGAATCTTGCCTTCCTCGATACCTTCTTTGCTGCAGGAGGCTTTCCTCAACTCAGCCTCAGCGGGCTGGATGGTCCGTCCCAAGCTCAGCAAAACGCCGGTGCCACTGGCCTCAAAGATGGTAGCAGCCTTGTGGATGCTATTCAACAGTGCCAATCCGCCGGGAAGCTGGTTCTTCTCAGCCTTGGTGGCGCAGGTGCCGATGTCACTCTTCAGTCAGACTCTGACGGAGAGAAGATCGCTGATACGCTCTGGAATCTGTTTGGTGGCGGCACTGATAACTCAGAGCTACGTCCCTTTGGAGATATCAAGCTTGATGGCTTCGATCTGGGTGAGTACATCTCATGAAATATCACAACTAATATGGCTAACTCTAGGCAGACAACGAATCTGGTAACCCCACAGGTTACCTAGCTATGGTCCAGCGCTTCAAGTCCAACTTCCAAAACGATACAAGCAAGAGTTATTTCCTCAGTGCCGCTCCTCAATGCCCCTTCCCCGATGCTTCGCAGCCTCAAGACGTTTGCAGCGAATTGGACTTTGTCTGGGTGCAGTTCTACAACAACGGCGACTGCAACATTGCGCAATCTGACTTCTTAAACTCCGTCCAGACTTGGAGCAGCGGCATTGGCAACGCTAAGCTCTATATCGGTGCTTTGGCCAGTGGAGCTGACGGCGATCAGGGCTTTGCTGATGCTAATACGCTATTGGGTGCTATTCAGGACGTCAAGAACATCAACCTTCCCAACTATGCAGGCGCCATGCTTTGGGAAGCCCAGCTGGCTGTTCAAAATGGTAACTTCCAGCAGAAGATTGCTCCTGGTCTGTAAGCAATATAAGATATAGAGGGTTACAGTGTATATCACTGCAGGTGAGTGATGGAACGTTGAATTATGTATGAATAGCAAGTCTATACGAAAATTTCGATTGTATATACACACTTTCTTGCCAAACGACGACGTTGACAAATCCGTACCTGGGCTGCGCGTACATGCCATCAAGAATCCACTTACCTAACTTCGTATCTGTGTAAGGCAGATGTTTAGATCACAACTATACGCACAGAGTGAGTAGTTGTTAACAAAAAAGGATTTAGTATCAGCAAAGCAACATGTATATGTACGTAAACGCATTTAACCAACCAGCGTCACGGATATCCGGGCCTGTTCTCGCGCAAGCTATCGGATACCCATTTGTATGTAAGACGGGCTTTTTCCGAGGCTAGTTTAATACGTCGACAGAACCCTGTAACCTCATCAATAGGCCTCTACATTAGACCGCCGATTACTATTTAGCGAGGCTTACCATATTGATTTTTACGACTTTTAACTCTATACCGCCTACTCACACGAGAGCAATTGCATAGACTCTAGCCTTCAACATCTACAGTATACATGGGCTAGTACTCAATACGCCCAGTCAATGCCCTATTTGGATTTACCAAGTGTAGACCGAGAGACGCTGAAGAACAAGAATCCTACCCCTCTATTTTCTCTTTTCTCAGGTCTTTGCCGTCACCCCGCTTCAGTCGTTGTGACTCAATCTCATTGGATAACTACGTACCAACACCGAGGCCATGCTAGACTTCATCAAGTCAATGGTACGAAAGGACAAACGACAGTGGTGCGGTGTCTGTCTCTTCGAGCTCAATCCGACGGCTAAATCGCTCCCGTCGGACGTAGGCGAGCGATGGGAGTACGCATTTGCGGAATCTGACGATCGCGAATTCAGTTTGACGGATCTTGTCCACTCCTCTCAGCGTGGTTGCAACCAGTGCACAGCTTTCATCAGAGCCTTCAAAACTTTCGGGATCGAATGCAAAGAAGCCACATGGAACCCCAACGTAAATTCTCCTGGAAGCCCATTTTTGGAAATCACAACGGCCGATGGCACGAAACAGAATTTGGAGCTCTGCTGCAGCGAGGCGTCACTAGATAAGCCAGTACTGTTTGCAGCCGAGACATCAGTACATGCGGCTCTGTGTAGGGGCTATAAACTCTCACGCTCGACAGGAGACGACAAATCTATTACTCAAGCGGTAGATTGGCTGAGCAAGTGTAGGGCTTCGCACGGCGAATGTCAAGCCTATGATGCAGCCTTTGTGCCAACCCGACTTCTTTATTTGGGAACGAAACAGGCAGAAAGTCAGTTTCTTGAGCTGGTCGAGAACCTGGACCATGCTGTACCATATGCTGCTTTAAGCCACAGATGGACACAAGAAACGCCGACAAAGAGTCTCCTAACAAATAACTTGCCAGACCGAAAGCAGAATGGTATGCCTATGGCAAGCCTACCAGAGATGATGCAGGATGCCGTGTCTGTGTTGCAACGACTGGGCATCGAGTATGTATGGATCGACTGCCTGTGCATAGTGCAAGATGACAAAGATGACTGGAAGAAAGAGGCATCTTTAATGGCATCCATCTACAAAAATGCGGACCTCACAATCGCGGCCTCCTGGTGCGACAGAGTCGGGCAACGACTTTTTCGAGACCACAGCGCGTCTCATGAATCGGCGGTAGATGTTGCCGAGATTAATGGCCAGTCCATCTTCATCCGCCGCAGGAAGCCTCATTTCAGCTGGATGGGCAACGAGTCATTTTGGTTCGGCCATGCGATGACAGATGATCCGGATGTCGAGTGGCCCACTCTGACCCGAGGCTGGGTCTATCAGGAACAACTACTATCACGTCGAATGCTTCATTTCACGCGAAATGAACTCGTTTGGGAATGTCTCGAGACAACCCAGTGTGAGTGCGGATGGCTCGATAATAATAATGTCCGTCGTCAGGGGGAGACAGGGTCATATAAACGAGCTGCTGGCGACAAGACTTGGGCTGAGGTGATTAAAGAATATGCCAAACGTCCTCTGACTGTTCCCATGGATAGGTTACCAGCTTTAGGAGGCATTGCTAAGACGATTGCGGTGGCAAAGGGCTACGATACAGAGGAGTATCTGTGCGGGCTTTGGGAAAAGGAGCTTGAAGGCATTTTCTGGTATCTTACCGAGCCTCCCCGTGGTCCGCGATCCAATCCCCAGATTCCCGCGTGGTCGTGGGCCTCTGTGGATGGTGATAAAGACTGTTGGCAGGCTTCTTTAGAGGGCATCGAGTTTTTGGGAAGCGACGTGAAATATGCCGCCGGCAGCGATCCATTCTTGGGCGATGTGGTAAGCGGAACATTGACACTCGCTGGACATGTCGTTCCTGGGATCATGCATCACGGCCAAGATTGGACTAAAGCTTTGGAAGCAATGCGCGATACCGCAGATGCTTCTCATCCGCTGACTTGCGAGAGGGGCACAGAATATGGAGTGCAAATTTGCGGACAATTTGTCGCACTCACTCCAGACTACAGAGTAGATTTACCAGGAATCGGTTTTGCATCTTCCGGCTCGCAAGTTTTTTGTCTGCTCTTCGGACGTACGACATCGGGAGAGATGGATCCTGATTCAGGCGAAGGAACTGAGACCGTTAGAGCGAACCTTCTCGTGTTACGCCGTACGAGTGAAGATCCTCCTCGATACGAGAGGATTGGAGTGAACGAGTGCTGTATTGAACTAGATACTTTTCTAAGCCAGTCTGAAAGGTATCAGCTGACATTGGTATAATGATATACAGGTGCATGCAGTGTCCATGTATTAATAGCTTACTGCATTCCATTAGTTTGCACGTGGCCGTCGCCTACTGGGCAATATCATTCAAGCCACTGATGACAGCTGCAGTTAGTTCAATTGCTGTATAATTTGGGTAGAGATGCATCTCATGCCTCATGCTTTTTAAAAAGAAAAGAAATAAACAGAGATCACTAGCTATAAAAGACTATCCATGCAGCTATTGCCAGGCAAAAACGGGGTGAACTCCTTAGCCTGCCAAAATGGCGATGATAGTAAGAAGCGTGAACTATGGCGGCTGGCGGACACCGACCCTTAGAAGAATAACCAATTCGTATTGTCTATGCTAAGAGTCCTAGCAGAATGCATGAAGCAGCGGCCATCAAGGCTCCATGCCGATCAGAAGTCGGTGAAAGAGAACGTCCCAATGACTAAGAGTAGGCGTCTAGTATTGCCGTATTCGTACATAGTCTTCCAACTATTAAACTACAATCTTCCAAGAGGATTAGTGTCTGAATAGATCTCATTTTACGAATGTGCTGCGAAGACGAAGGCATCTGCTCCGAAGGATTAGGCTTTTCAGCATTTCGCCTTGGCTGAGCGACAGATTCCGTCTGCTTGTTTGGCGTTCATCCTTCATCCTTTGCCATGAACTTTTTCCCCTCTGTAGCACAAAGTCCCGACTTCACGTCTCACTCTGTACGAGCGATTTTGGCAATCTGGTAGCACTAATACTTCACTTCCCCAAGATAATTACGTAGCCGCGCAAAGCTTCTCCGGATTACTGTCAATCCAGGGCAGGGCGCCAGCATACCATGGTAGTACGGGCTATTTTTTACGCCCCCAAAGCGGAATAAAGAATTCTAACGCATGGTTCGGTGTTTATTTGGCTCCCCTTGCATGAAACGAAACGAAACTTTTTAGCCTCCAGCCAGTCAGCCCTTACACTTGTGCTCCCCCAAGTAAACAAGCCGGTTGGGCTTCGGAAAACCACGAAAAGTGACAGTTTAGAACAAGAGACAATATGACGTCAATGAGGTTAATGAGAGACACCGAAATTGAAGGATTTTCAGAAATTGGGCGCATATGACTTTGTTGGCTGTGTCGTGAGGATTCAATCGAGTAATTGTGTTACCCATTGACCAGAGTTGGGCTGCTACCCAAAGCCACATCTTTTAACCTCATAAGTCTAATGATAGAATGCTTTGTAAAGCGGCGCCACATCACTAAGTCAGTAAGATAATGCAAATACACGTAGCTGTGCCTGTAAGACTGGCGCCACTATGCGCTTGGTTTGCTTAAGCTTCTTTCTTGAAAAGTAATCACGAAATTTATGCCCATGGGAAATGTATAGCGTTGTAGGGCACGCTATTCATAGGCACGAGTCTGGATCCTTAGTCACGACAAGCTATCCTATTAATAGGCCCTGAATAGGAGCCAAAGCTGCAAAGCTCATGGGGCTGACATGGCTAGCTTATTTTTGCATACGGAACTGGCTTGAACCGGTGGCGGCGCAGACTGGAGCTAATGCCCTTATAGTGCTGACGACTTGGACCCAACGAGTTGGTTGTCAACTAAGACTGGGATTTCGGCAAATTACCCAATCACACATTTTGTTAGGATGATGGGAGGCTCGGAATATGGCGAAGCTAGTGCTGAGGCGGGCGGATTTGGTAATGCCAAAGATGAGAACTGACCCGAAATATTGCACTTTGCTCGGTTGGGCTCCCAGCCGAGAGGCTGTACTACTGCAAAGCAGTCATCACCACGATGTTAGTTCACGATGAAGTGCTGACTTCTAAATGAAAGCTTGTATAAATAAGAACCTTTGATCCCGCTGTAATATCCGTTCTCATCATCATCATCACAAGCAATAACAAGCAAACAACAGCTTCTACTACACTCTAATACACTCTAATACCATCTTCTTCTATCAATACCTCACTCTCAACCAAACATCAACATGTTCGCTTCCAAGGCCTTTGCCCTCTTCGCCGCTGTCATCGCCAGTGTTTCTGCTGCCCCAGCTGGCACTCCTACTACTGGAAACGACTTGGTCAGCCGCACAGGATGGACCGGAGTCACCCACTCAGTGGTTGTTGGACGCGGCGGCCTGCACTTCGATCCCGAGAACGTTGTAGCTGAGATTGGCGACACCATCGAGTGGCACTTCCAAGCTGCCAACCACTCCATTGCTCAGTCCGACTTTGCTCACCCTTGCAAGCCTCTCGCCGACGGCACTTCATTTTTTGCAGGGTTTAACTTCGTAACAAAGGACGGTCAGAATCCAAACGTTTACCAGATCACTGTTATCGACAACAGCCCCATCTGGTACTACTGCCCCCAGACCAAGGGCAACCACTGCCAGATGGGCATGGTCGGTGTTATCAACCAGAACTTCAACTCCCAGAACACTCTCTCAAACCAGAAAGTCATTGCTGCTGGCACTGGTGTTTCCACCGTCGGAACTATCCAGGGCGGCAAGAACGGCGGCTTCATCCGCGCCAACCCCAACCCCAACAGCGGTTTTTAAACGGTTTCTAAGCGGTTTCTTTTCCTTTTTTCTCTCTTCATACCATCTTTCCTAGCATAGCATTTCCTTTTCGGGCATGGTGGAGTACAAACTGGACTCGGAATATGGCGGTCTTTGGGTAGCGACGAAGATATCACGGTGAATTATATAGACATTAGACTTTCCTTAATAAAAACTATACTGGTTCAAAGACTAGAAATTACTCGTTTCACGTGCTCTCTTACTCCCACGGTTAGAACACATATAGCGAGGTTACAGTAGGAGCTGAAAGGGGGGGAGGAGAAAAAAGGGGGGTGGGGGGAACTTCCTGTCTCTACCCGGTTGTTTTCTGGACCAAAGATTGAGTGTATCATGAAAATCTCAATACTACATGTATCCTGGATGACAGTATGACAGCTACATATAGGTGATTACTGTTGTTTACAAACGTACGTCACCATATCTCTATTTATGACGGAGAGTCACTAGCAAACAAAGAGAGAATAACTTGAGAGTCACAATATATAAAACTCATGCTATAAGTATTTTTTAGATCAAATTATAACAAGAGCCGTATATAACCATCAGCAAATCTCAGACCCCACTTCCCTATATTTGATGTTTCTCAAGCTCCCACTTCCCCAACATGTGACGTTTCTCAACACTTGTTCCATACTGCTAACAAATATCGCATCACCCACTTCTGATATCAATCTTTAGAGGCCTAGCCGCACAAATATCTCTTGACTACATCGTGAGTTTTGCCTGAACAGCCAATGGTCTTCTTTGAAACTGGTGCACAAGTTCCATAAAGCGAATTGTCCTTGACCCGTCGAAGCCTCTGTGGCTTTTGAGCATAACCCGTATTGGGATCAGTGCATCCAACCTGATGAGATATTAGCTTCAGTAGTCTTCTGGGCTTTATCCTTTGTGCTTCCCAAGTAATATGATTCCCCGTTAAGCTCAAAATTTTGGTTGCATTCTCTCGAGCTTTCGGGAGCGATCTCAGCATTTTCCTGACATGGGCTCACTCCTTCAACCCAGGCGACATTGAAATGAGTGCCACCAGCTCTAATTTGATTGCCGATAGCTATGGCGGTATGAGCAACAGGGAGGACTGTCACTGAGAGGCAGAGGATAGCTTGGGCGATTGAGCTTGTGAAATGCATTTTGATAGAATAGTAACTTGATCTCTGATGGAGTTGTTTTGGAGCCAATAGTAGAATGTTTTCCTTATTATTCCCTTTGTATTGGAGGCAACTTTGCTCTTTATATACATATTCCCGGCTCTCTTTGGCAACTACTTGTGCACAGGGAAACCTCAGGACTTACCTCGGCTGTTGAAAGTATTACAAAGATGACGCTGCTCATCTTGCCATCTCCTCATCCAAAGTTGTATTGCAACAATCCTCTGGCCAAGTGGGATGATATCGTTACCTCTGATTCGTATACTCATACCATGTCTTAGCCTGAAACTCCACCGCGGGCTGGATATCGTCTAAAAAAAATTTAGATCCTATATGTGATCCTTCGGAGGTCATAGTCAGATTTAAAATAGAGTTATAAGGTTACATTTACTCTATTTCCGTACGTAAACTACTCCCCAGGATCGACCACGGTGGCGGCGTGGCACTTTGTTAACTCAGAAAGGCAGTCCAATCCTAGAGGATCTATCCTCTGCAGTAGATCGGCAGGAAGCGGAACAGACTGTCATAATGACAATGCTTAAACCAATCGCCACCTAATCTGTATCTGCAGCTGATCTTATACCGATACGGAGAAAGCAGGTACATGTACATACCACTGACTGCTCTTTTGTGGCTACATTCAAGCTCGGCGTCTGTGCAATCTTGGGTTGCCATTTTCGGCAACATGCGGCGCTCTAGCTAGAGTTCTTATGGTTCCTTCACCTCCATCACCATAACCATTGAGCCTACCATCGTTACCCCTTTTCCGCATGTCAGTTGCTGTTTGCTGTCAGCAATTACTTGGCTACGGTAGATGACTCTCCTTTTGTCTTTAGCTCAACGTAAGGAGAGTCAACTTGAGCTTCGCGTGGGATCGGAGTGGATATGTCTCATTGCACAGTAAAGCTTCGGGAGTTAGAGCCATATTTCGTTAGTAACTCCGAAGAAGACCATTTCGCCTGATTTCATTTCAAAGTCTGCTTGAGTTGACGCCTCAGTCTACAAAAGATATGTGCTCGTATGCAGTACGCAGCAAATAAGCCGCTTCTACATTTCCCTTTTGTTGCACGTGAGTGTACACCCATGGTCCGATGCAACGCGCCTGCCCGTTTGCAATACCACAAAAGAATTATTTCACTCGTCAAAGACATAGCTTTTCCTCCATTTTAGATCAATTCTATTGACGCTTTTGATGACCTTCATAACGGTTGTCACTCCCCACCACTGCAGCGACATCAGGCGATGGTAGCAAAAGTCTAATTGCACTAGTCCAAACATGTGCTAGCCAGTTTTGTAACACAGCTGCGTACCTAGGCACCGTGCACGTGATGTTCCTCTGGTCCATCATTTAGGCTGCTATTAGCGTAATTTGGGCTCTCCGCATTAATTCACGCCAATTCACGCCATGGCAACTCGACACAATCTCGACTCAGAAGACGACGGGCACCTCGACACAGCCTGTCACTTCCTGTTGGTTAGTAAAATAGTTCATTCGTTATTCCTCTAGGTTGCAGGCGCCTACGTGGATTAGCAGTCCCGCCCGACTCGATGATGCTCCCCAGAGTCGGCCCTTAGGGGGCAAGATCTTCGGATCTTGAGGCCGCCGATGAGAGAAATAGCTTATTGAATTAGGCGTAGGGCGACGGAAAATGGCCATGTGCCATTATTGCGTGACCCCGTTCTCTTATCGGTCCCCGTCCGCCTTTGCTCTCTCTGGGCGGCTGTCATCCGGTGCAGAGCGGATGGACTTTCTACTACTCCAAGCAGCACTATCCTTCATTCAACATGATGGGCCGATCGGATCAAGTTTCTGGCTCGCCTTTTGACGTCTGAAATGTTGACACTGTGTAGTTCTGAGCAAGAAGAGAATGACAATAAACAGCTCGAAGAGCCCATACAGATTCATGCCTCTTATGATAATGTTAATGTAACAGGGAAGAATGGCAGCGGCCAAGCACAGAGTATCGATAATTTACTTCTCAAAGTCGACATAGACTCCCTGACCTCCAAAGCTATCTTTAGGGTCATTTGCCGACTCTGGCTCAAGGGCAAAGGCAAGAATAGGACCCAGCTCAAGGGCATTTCACGGCCAAGCAGGAGACAAGCAGCCTGTCTATTTGTTCCTACATCCAGAGAGCCTTCGGATCATCACGTTGGAAGATGGGCATGATGGACCATCACTGCATTTCTCTATGGATCATGATGGTTCTCGCCTTGTTATCCCCAACGACTGTATCATGGAATGCAAAAATTCGATGCACGCTCGATTCCTTTCAATGAGAGCGCTAGCAAATACGAATGATTTTACGATACATTTTAAGGATGCCGACACGAGCAAATCAACGCGCGATCACCTCTTCCAGATTGCATCAATTTTCTCGGCTTCAAACACCAAACGTCCGGCGACGGATCACAGACGTATCGATCTCCAATCGTTATATGGTGGCATAGGAGGCCATGTTTTCGACGCGAGTACAACCCTTGCGGGAGGCAATAACGATGGAGATCAAGCCTTGCCCAAGGACACATCAGCACCCCCTCCAATTGATTGTAAGCATACTCTTGCATCACTGATGATATTACCTAGGTTTTTCTAATCCCGTTCCAGATGAGCCTACTCGCGAATCCAAACCTCTTCGTAAACGTAAACTTTCGAGCGCGAGCGTGAACGCGAATCCTCCGACGCTGATTATGATCGTCCACCTATGCACCATTCGAAAGGCCTCATAGAGCATCTTCTCGATATGGAGAACCGTCTGCGAAACGATATGAAAGTGATGACTGAGTCTTCGGAAAAACGCTTGAGAAATGGCATGAAAGATATGATCGAGTCTTCGGAAAATCGTTTGAGAGCCAATGTGAAAAATATGATTGAATCTACTGAAAACCGTTTAAGAAGCCATGTGAAGGATGTAGTCGAAGCTAGCGAAAGCCGTCTAAAAGAGGAACTGAACGATATGCTAGACTCTAGGGCAGATGATATAGATCGCAGAATCGATGGGTCTGTGGATGATTTAAGAACGGAATGTATCGGGACCATTGAATCGGAATTCGGATACCTCAAATACGGCATTGAGGAGGTGACGAATGGCTTAGATGAAGCCGAAGAGAAAATGAAGGGGGTGTTGAGCCTGTTGGATGAGGCCGGTGATGGTATAGAAAGACGAGTAGGGCGATATCTGAATAGCATTCGCTTGCAAGTGACTGTCGAAGATGAATGAAAACACTTAATTTATCAGGGCCCGTTATATCTTGTGCAACGAGTAGATGTAGCAATTATAACAGTTGTAACAGTTGTGGGACATGTAACAGAAAGTATGGAAACATCACGAGTATACGAACAGTAATCGAAATCGCCGAACTGTGCTCTTGAAAGATTGTTTGCTCCCAGCGTCCTCCCTCGGCTACTTTCTACAAGCACTCAGTTACATCACAATACTCTGCAACCAATCATTTCTTCGCTTCTCGCAATCAGGTCTATGCTTCACGTCAATGAAAATTTGACCCAGCTTCTAGACTTTTCTCATCTTGGGAATTTTCGTCTCGCATGCCGTTACAGGTTCCAGGCTAGGCCAGTTGTTAGCACGAACTAGCGAACAACGTCATCATAATCGCACCAAACTGCCATTCTCGCTGCCAGAGCTTTCAGTTTTAGGGGCTCTAGCTCCACTGTAGATCGATCTACTGCTAGCGCTTATCCAGTACCGGAGCTTCTGCGATTGCAGCGCAACAATGAAGTAACGGTACGGCTACTCGTTGAAATTTGTGTTCGATAGCCTACTCATGATGCATCAGACGGTTTAATAGTTGCCCGGATGAAGTATTCGATTCAGTTCTCATTGCCTACTCGGTACCTATATAGAGGTACCAAATGCAAAGCTTCACCACTGCGGTCAACCTTCAGGTACGAAATGTCACCACCAAAGCTACCAAAGTGGCGGGCGTCGACTGGACCATCTGAGCTTACATGGTCCATATTTAACTCCAAGTTATCTGCTAGTGTCCGATAAAAGGAGGCTGCCCAGCTGCCAGTCGGGTCCTTTGTCCAATACATCGTCTCATCACCAGTATCTTCATCTTCGTCCAGCCTCAGTCAAGAGCAAAGACAATCCAAGCCATGGCGTACAACGAGCTCTACCAATATTCCGTCGTCTCCGCCCTCATGGAAGGGCTCGGGGACTTCGGCCTGCCTTATAAAGATCTCGTCTCCCACGGCGACCACGGCCTCGGAACGTTTCGTCGAATGGACGGCGAGATGATTGCCCTCGATGGCCAAGTCTACCAAATGAAAGCCGATGGCTCAATCATTAAAGTTGATACCACTGGGGGTTCAGACATTGCACCCTTTGCGCAGCTCACTCGCTTCCAAGCCTCTGCCACTGCCGATGTCGAGTTCAAGGACAAGCAGGGCTTCTCAGATGCATTATCCAAGCTTTTACCAAAGACCAAAAATCACTTCGTAGCCTTTCGTGTTGATGGGCTCTTTAAAGTGGTAGCAGTTCGCACCGCAGGCGGTCAATTCTGTCGTCATGAAAACATCAGAGAGTTACACAAGCGCCAAACCACCTACGAGTTCACCAACGTCCGCGGAAGTATTATCGGATTCAGATCACCAGATTTTCTACAGGGAGTCGGTGTAGCAGGCGACCATCTTCACTTTATTTCCGATGAGAGAGACAGAGGCGGACATGTGTTGGAGGTTACCACTTTGGAGGGCTCACCAGTTAAGCTCTCCGCAGCAGTTCAAAGCAAAGTCCATCTCGAATTCCCAGAGGATGAAGACTACAAAGAGGTGAATCTCAAAGTCGATGCTGATCGGATTCGTATTGTGGAGGGCTGAGCGGCGATTTATTATTGGCCAATTGAGACTTTGTTCTCAAGATGTCGGCGACAATGTCTGTTAGGCACATTTGTAGGATTTAAATATGAGTTTGAGGCAATTTCACAGTAACATAGAGGCGAAGGGACGTATATACTAGTATCTCAGTATTTGTAAGTGCGAGTAGTGTTACTGGAGCTGCATGCGCGGCATACTACTGATTTCATTACGATCGCAAAACTGAAGCCTCGATAGTTGCTTACTCTTGCGAGCTGTCGCCATCATTACCCACGCCATTAATGTCGTGTATTGTCTGGTTTTTAATAGACAAAGCGATTTTAGATGGTAAAAAGGTATTACAATAGTGAGTTTGCCAATCTCTGGCCATACAACCTGAATAGGCACGTAGTCACGGGCAATAAACCCGTCCCAATATAATCACGTTCTTCTCACATAAAAAAAAATAACATAAGCTAAGCTACAAATTTAAGAATCGTACAATATCATTGATCAATGCTATGCATGCGGCACATCAGACTATGCCGATACGTCAATGCTAAAGATATCTACACCGCTCTTCAGCTGACTCTTGGTTGGTGCCCTTCCAAGCTTCAAGAGCTCAGACACTTGCATCACAGCGGGATCGCGGCCTTGAGAGGCGACCGCCACCACGGTCTCTCCTTTAGTATAGTAGGCCAGAAACTTTCCAGCAGCGACATCGCCATCCAAGACCACATCGTCCCATCCCGAGGCAATGGTATTGCCGCTGTACCGCAATTGAGCGCCCAGCGCAGACCAGAAGACGGGGATAAAGTACGTGGTGCTTGCAGATGGGTTCACAATGTGCGTGGCAACGGCACGGCCAGCATTCTGAGCAACGTTCCAGTGCTCAATTCGAACCAGGCCACCGTTGCCTCCTGGGCCATGGTACGGATAGGTTGCAATGTCTCCAACAGCGTAAACGTCTGTAAGACCCTTGACAGCAAAGTTTTCGTCGGTCTGGAGCGATCCATCCTTTTGCAGCTCAACAGCCGAGTTGCCCCTTAGGTAAGACGTCTCGGGGGATACTCCCACTCCCAAGATGACAAGGTCTGCGTCAAGTTTGGTACCGTCTTTGAGATAGACAGCGCCAACCTTGGATGGGTCCGAGGCTGATGGCTCAGCCCTTTCGACACCAGCGCTCAGGTAGAACTTGATACCCTTGCCTTCCAGGGCCTTTTGAATGCCAGCACCAACTTGCTCACCGAGAACACGCTCGAGGGGCACCTTTTCCATGCCTACAACTGTCACTGAGTTGTCAGCGCCTGTCGCGATGGCAATTTCCATGCCAATAAACGATGATCCGATGATGACAATCTTTTTGCCCTTTTCTCCGATGGCATCTACAATCTTTTTGGCGTCATGCACAGTGCGGAGGGTGAAGACGTTGCCGAGAACCTTGAAGCCTTGCAGAGGGAGCTCCCTGGGAGTTCCTCCAGTTGCGAGAACCAGCTTGGTGTAGGGAACCTTGCTGCCGCTGGCAGTCACCACCTGTTTGCCAGAAAAGTCGACGCTGTTGACTTCACCATCAACCCACTCAACTGAGCCACTGTCGAACCAGCTCTTGTCACGCCATGCTAGCTTGGATGAATCTGTGATGAGTGCTTTGCTCAACTTGGGCCTGTCAATGGGCAGGTAACCCTCCTTGGAGATGACGGTGATGTGTCCCTTGTATCCTTTCTCTCGCAGTCCTTCAACAAGACCAAGCGTGCCAGAGCCACCACCGACGACGACAACCCTCTCTTTGGCGTCACTTGAGACGCTGCACTGGAAGTTGGGCTTCCTTCGGCCACCTTTGATAGCCGCCTCCTCGCCGATAATGTAAAATCCCCCGTCACGCTCGGTGAGAGGAAACACTTCAAGATTATCCAACGCAGGGCCGTCTTCAACATCTCCGGATTTGGCATTAAAGCAAGCTATGTAGCGAGGCCAGTGTCAGTATGCTTCTGGGTAGAAAACAAGAGTGAGGTTGTGATTGTGAGCTTACCTCCATGCCAGGGGCAAGTCAAACGGCCTCCAGTAGTCAAAATACCCTTTGCCAAAGGAGCGCCGTAATGGGTGCATTTGGCTCCAATGGCTTGCACTTCTGCCTTTCCAGAGGTTTGCAGGCCTACGAGGAGGACCTTGGCATCCTGGATGCCTTCAACTTCAACCTCCTGCTTTTGGCCGGGCTTGAGTGACAGCGACGTCACGCCCTTGAGCTTGTATTCTTGAGCCATGGCGCGAACAGTAAATGAAAAATATCGAGACGATGATAATGAAGCAGAGGAAGACCAGAGATGGTGGCTTGGTTGAAGTAGACGACGGAGGTGGGGGTTGCGGGGTAAAGCCGGCATGGCCTAGAAGAGTAAATACAGAAGCTGAGCTCCGGAGAGATTGATGACGCGAGATGGTGTGAGCTTCGATTTGAATGGGCGAGATTTAAGCAATGGAGCTCATGGCAGCTGGAGCTCTAGAGGCGGGAGCTTGGAGATTGGAGGCCCGGAGATTGGTTGGTAAGCCCGGCCAGGGTCAGGCACACAATGAGGAAGCATTTGATGCTACTGGATCGGTACTTTTGGAGGCAAAACAAACCACCAGCTGCTGGTAGAGGCAAGATGTCGAGCTTGCTTCGAGAACTGCTTTGAAAATGACGGATGTTGATTGGACGTCGAGATGGATGACGCAAGGCTTATGCAGTACCTTAGTGCTGAACAAAACGAGAAGGCGGTCTTACATTCTGCCGGTCAGCGAGCGGAGTGCTGGGTGCTACCTACCCTACAGAAGAGTAAAAATGCTGCATTGTACGGGTCATGATGCAGCACTGCATAACTAGTTGATTGAACATTTGCCATTGTAACTGCTTTGTATTCGTAAAAACAAGCACTTCTTTGACAGATGGCGGTTCCAGCTTCTAGAATCAGGGGTATGCAGTGAGCGAGTCAAGTTGCTTTGCTGTACCGTCATTAGCGCCCGAAGCTCCTGTGGCAATCAGGACATGATAATCTTTGTTTATCTTCCATTGTTTAGACCCCAATCTCTCACTCCTGGTCATCGTCCAGCCCTATGCCGTACGGAGTTTGCGACCACAGTGCATGCAATGATGGGCATGAACGCTCTCAACGCGCCCGGCTTCTCGAAGCCTCACCCGCTGGTTTCCGCCGCCACTGCTGCGCTTCCTCATGTCAGAATCAGATTGCGTAGTTCCCGGTCCGCACCCTGGCTTGCCAAACTGGCCGCCCCATCTTTGATGTGTTGGCACTGGATCCGATTCCACGAGCCCCGTCTGTGGTGCTTCCGTTCACCGCAAAGCGCATCCGAATCGGATCATGCAATTGCGACGCCACGTGAGAACAAAGTTTAGCTCGGCCCATGGCATAACATGCCAAGTTTCATAGCACAAAATCACAAGCCAAATCACCAATCACGAGACAGGCGACATATGACAATTGCTCCGATGTGTTTATTGCCTGGCTTGTTTTACCTACTTATCTACTCATGCGATTCTGAGGCTGCCAATACGCAGCTGCAAAAGGCGGCATGTCTGGATGCACTCTAGCGGAGCCTTTTGGTTCCCTGCTGTCCGCTCGCGTCTCTCCAGCAGGCCGGGCGCTAAGAGACACTGGACCCAGCCCGGCTAATGCAGGTCGCAGCCACTAAATCCAGGCACAGGCACAGCGCTGTACACGGTACCAGCAGCGCCGAGGCCTCCCTGCTCGCAGACGGGTATCAGCGACTCGGCGCCTTCAGCTGGACTCAACACCAGAGCGTCTGTCGCGTCAGCTGCTGCAGGCACGCGCAACCACCAGATCCTTTGACTTGACCGAAGACTGGTCCAGCCCGAGCTGCTCACACCCGGCTCTGTCCATCCTGTCAAGCGAAGCGTCCGTCCTCGCATCCTTGCACTCTGTGGCTCCGCCTCTAAAGTCGCCAGTACCTCGCCTGTAATTATTCCATCACCGCTCCTGTCGTACCGTTACTTTGCCCAGCCTGAGTCAAACCTCCTTTCGAACAAGGCTGGCTGGCCGGCTTCATCTGTCTTTTCGCTTGTTCACTCTTAATTTATTTTATCCAATTTCTATTACTGTTACGACCTATTAATCATCGCTACTCCTACCCACCTGTTCAATGTTGAGCGCACTCTTCCTCCTCCGTCCTTATCCTTAATCTTCACCTACTAGCCTCTCTTTTTTTGCGGCCAACCGGCTCTCCGCGTCAACCGCCAAGGATCATGTTTGTCGCTGCAGCATTGCTACCGTCTCCCAGTCTCGGCAAAGCGACGCGCGAGACAGCGGCCATCAATATCGAATACTAACCGACGATTTCCTTACTCAACGCACAAGACGCCATGGAGAGGCTCGATCTGCCCCAGCCCGAGTCGGCCTCGTCGCCTCTGCAGTGCTGCTGCGGCAGCCCCGACTGCGTCCACCTCAAGAAGAACTGCTCGATTCTCGAAGCCGTTGAGAAGGATGTGCACACAGCTGCCCAGTTAGGCAAGGTATGTGTGTGTGGTGTGCGAGCCTGCAGGTGTCGCTGCTTTTGTTCATCCTGTCCTTTGCATTCCTTTCATCCCATCTCATTGTCGCAAGACAGACCTCAGACCCTTTGTCTCTTTGCGCGCAGAGTGCATTCCGGTCTACAGACACAGCGGGCAAGGCGCGAGAAAATCCCCCAACCCTGTATGCATCATCCTGTGTCTTTCCGACATGATCTTCAACACCAACCGCCATGCTATGCTACTCCAATCACACGGAACCTCCACTGACATTTGCCCTGCAGGCGCTACTCGCCAGGCACGAAGCCTACATGGCCGACGCAGAACGAGACAGACTACGACTCAACTCTCGCATAGACCGCCTGCAGACTGACAAGCAGGAACTGGAAGCAAACAATGCGGCCAAGAGAGAAGAAAACAACCAGCTGCTTGAGCAGCTCGAGCAGCTCAATAGCACCGTCCTCGACTCCGATGCCAAGATCAAAAGCTTGGAAGCAAGCCTCCTCTCCTCACAACAGGCTATTCGCCGCCTCGAAAATGCGGCGACACGAGCCGCCGAGGCCGACCAGCATCTCAGGATTCTTGAAGTGGAACAAGACAAGCTCACCGGAGAGCTTCGGGCTTCTAAGGAGGAAGCTCGCTCTCACGCGCAGCGGTGTAAGGAGGCACAGCGGGGCATCCTCGACATGCAGGACCAGCTCGAGCGCATGGAGAGGGAGGCCATCTTGGAGCGGCAGCGCCACGAAGAGATGATGGAAAAGGTCGACCGCCAGCGCGAAGTGGAGAAGCATCTCGATGCCGCCGCCGTGCGACTCAAGGGCGCTGCGGCCTCCAAATCAATCACCGATAACCGACAGGGAAGCAAGATTGTCGGCCACTTTGTTCGGGATCTTCTGCAAGACAATGCGAATCTCCAATTGAATATTGTAGAGTTTAGGGAAATGCTCAGCAGCGCTCATGAAGAGATACAGGTGCTGAGAGAACAGCTCATGTTCCACCAGCCTCTTGCCGACGACTCTAGCCCTGCCTCGACCCTCAAGGCAGAACTGGAGCCTTCTTTGTTTGAAAACTCAAAGCCCCCGCAAGAGTTTCATATTCACCACCACTATCACGTTGCTGCCAAGCAAGATGTCCGGAAGCCCAAGAAGAAGCGCCAGGGCCTATTGCCCGGCATCTTCACGCCCCCGGCCACAATCTCAAGCCGATCTTCCTCGCCAGGCCCATGGGCTCAGCGCCGCTTGATTTCATCTCCTATTGCCCCAGTTCTCTCCAACGCTGGCGGCGACACAACACCCATCACAGCTAGGTCCTCAGCCTGGCACGATTTCTCCACACCCTCCGAAATGTCCTCTTCACTCCCGACTTCGCCCGGCATTTTTGACCACAGCGGCACTGAAACAGATTCTCTCATGTCGCCCACAACAAGCTACGACCCCATGTCTCCTACCTGGCGTGCGTCGCACAGAAAGCGACCCTCGGCGGCCTCATCCTCCAGCTTCCAATCCCTTTCAATAATCGACATAGAGCCAGGAATGACTGGGGTCCAGACGCCAAATCCCTTCCGCTTTAGCAGCGGTGTCATTCACGAGGAGGACGAAGACTTATCTACCAGTATATCTGCTGATCCAACCAAATACAACACTTCCAAAGACACATCGGCGGCAGATGACGACACGAACCAGTCGACCGATACGACCATCGAACCAGCACCAGAGCCTAGATCAAGAATACGCCGCATCGCATCTCATGAATCAATCATGTCGCTATCGGGCGGTCTTGATATCCACACGCTTCAGATCCGGCCCAGTCAAATGAGTCTGCGCCCTCCGCTCCAAGGTGGTGCTGATGCTGTTGTCACCGGCGTCATCGCCCAGCCGACCATGTCAACGAGTTACTCGAAGCGCAGCGATGCCGCCTTGCGTAATCACTTTGCCGGCTTCCAACAACTCAAGCGAAGCTCTACTCCTACGTCTGATATATCCGTTTCATCATCGCAGGCATCGCGGATTGCTACTGGTGGCCTCGGGAAATGGGTTGGATGGCGGCCGTGGGGAGGAGCAGCAAGCTCGAACGAAGCCCAACCCAAACCAGAGAAAGAAGCACCCAAGGTTCCTAAAAGGGCTCCAGGCATCAATCAACCCGGTGCGGTGCCAGGATTTGACCTTTGGATAGCGCAGCAGAAAAGAAGCGCTGCCGCTAGAACGACGGGTGAAACTGCTAATCGCAGTGCACTGTCAGAGGGCCTTCAAGACGCTACATAATATTGAACCGACAAGACACGACTCACTATAAAATTGTTTCATATGTTTTGAGAATTGCTTGGATCATTCGTGGGATTGGATTTGAGTACTTGCATCATACCTGGGGCAGGCTGGCTCGAATCCGCTTGCTTAATATTTTTCTTTTGTCTTTCTGCATACATGGACTTTTTCTGTTGGCGTTATCCCCCCTGCTTTTTCGAGCGCATTGGCAGAATGGATACTTGGTATAAAAACTGCGATACCCTGGCCGTATGAGGCTACATATCACCCTTGTTGATATAGATTGGAGGCTACGCACTCTTTTGTTTTATTAGACGTAGTATAATGACCACATATGTAATCACAATAGACGTGTATTTATTACATTCAGACGTAAACTTGGCCGCCATCATTGATAAAAATCTAAAATCCGTTTGATAGTTCTCATTTCATGAGAATTTGGCCAATCGCTCTGAGTAGTGAATTGTCAATTATCATCCGGGTATCTATCTGAATAGCATAGATGGTGAAAGCAATTGGCTAATCTCACCCTGTCTATTGACAGCTTTGTAAAATGAAGTGTAAAATGAAGGTTTTAAACGTACCGAAGCTGCCTAGCAAAAGGATTAATGATAGGAGCCATCAGACTTTATGCCTATCGTACCGCTTTGAGGACCTCCAGGTCTCACATGCAACCCTTTCTGTGAAGAGTTATTGTAGATTTTGCGTGCACCTCTTATAAGGATACTCTGAGTCATCCTCAAACGTGGCTGTTTCTTCAACGCATTCCTTTCACACAAAATGTTGGCTCAACTGCAGCTATCCGAGGAGATGAAATGGCTACGTAGCTCTACAGAGCAACTATTCGTCATTTCGTTTCATAAATATCATAAGATTGAAGTGACATTTTGTGATATATGTGCTGATTGACCAAACGCAGTTACGGCTCATGAGCATGAGGTGATTACATTCCAGAAGATGGCAGCCCTGCTGATCGAAGTGTCTTACCATCTTGCCTCGCCACCTCACCGCTCCAGTAGAAGAGCTTCTTCTATAGTTTTAGACAAACCAGTATAATTCATAAAGCTTGAATCGTCATCAGCTTGGAATGGAGGGGTTGTTCCGAGAGGAAATCTGTCGTAATTGAAGGGAGCGATATGGCGATCCCGCCGAGAGCTGACGAGTAGAGTAGACAAGCATGGCTTTGACAAATGGTAGCATTAATAGGCTTGACTGAAGAAAAATATATATTGAGTATGTGATCGCTCTTTTGTAAAAGTTCAAATCATCAATCAGCAGGACTGACTCCAACAAAAGCATCCATCATCTAACACCCCAGCCATTTTTCCCAAGCAATCAACTTAGAAAATCGCCATCATGCAATTTAAGCCTCTCCTTTTCTTGGCCGCCGCATTTTCCTTTACCCAGGCGCAGGCAGCCCTGACGGCCAAAGACGTGATCGACGCCATACACAACATCACAGACATCTCTGCGGGTACTTGGGATACTGTTAGAAACACAAGCTCTACCAATGTCGTTGTTTCCGCTGCAGTATGTTAAAAACAGCGAGTTTATAAGGATGTACTTGTGTACTAATCCAATCTGTCTAGAAAATAACAGACGACCTTCGCAAAATCGTCACGATTATTGCCAACGATGTTCAAGCGCTCCAAGGCGCTGCTACTCTTCCTAAATTCCCTGACCACGATCAAGCGGATATCTGCGACGCTCTCAGCGGCGTAAGTCATACATACATACACACTGGCTTTTTAAAATAAATACTCTGGTCCAGAGCCATATCTAACACGCACGTCACAGTTCGCTAAAATCCACCAAGACCTCTTCAAGGCACTCGCCAGCAAGAAGATCGATTTAGACGCCACGACCTTCTTACAGCCCATCGAAACCCTCTTGATCTTACTAAGAGCTGAACTCGACGGCCTCGAAGAGGGAGTCATTGCGCTGGTCCCGACATGTGGAGCCAAAGCGAGAGACGAGTTGAAAGACCTTGACAAGACACTCGGCGAAACGATCAGCACCTTTACCGTCCGCGCGCCGGATGTTCCTAGCGTTCAACCACCTGTTGCTACTAACCACCCGATTCCCGCTCCATTGCCTGTTCCGTTGCCTAGTGTGATTGGCTTCAAGCCCACCGAGATCTCTGCCACGGGCCCGATTGGAACACCTGTTGCAGCTCCCGTTCGAGGCCAATAAAGCTTCGCATCTGAAGCGATGTGATTTAGACGGAGATTTTAGGCTTAGCTATCGAATACATCTTTCTACAGGTAGCTAGATGAATGGAAGAGCTTTTGACCTGAAAATCTCAGCTTGTGACTGCCTGTCTGTGTTTATATACCTATGTCCGGCGCCGCATTCCAGCACTCGGTCATTTACAATGCCGTCAAGTAAGTTCCACCTACCCGTAAAAATTTCTTGTTTCTTGATCATCTTCCTTTTATTTTTCTTGAATTACCAAACCACAGCTCATCCCACAAAGAACGGTGCAATTTGCCAGAGCCTAGGTATCTGAAGAAGCTCAACAGGGTAATTAGAGGAGCAAGCAAGGGTTTAGCGCTGCGCTTTGGAGTCTGTCTCTGTTAATAGGTAAAGCCTGTGTTATTGAGAAATGCGATATAATATAGGGATTCAAATTCGGATATTAGCAGTACATCGCTTTGTAGCCAATTTGGATAATACGAAAGGCCCGTAAACAAGAGTGTAAGTGTCTGTTCCTGGGATTCCCCTGCGTCGGGCCCCATAATAGAACAATGGCAGCCAACAATAGATACAAATCGGGAAGTGTTGGTAATTCATGCGGCGCCACCTTATTCATGGCTTCTAAATTTAGCTTCTTCAGCACTTCAAAAATAACGTTGCTGGTTCGGCTCCTGCTACAGCCGGCACCAAACAGAACTGAGTTTCAGCAGCTAACAAAGGCCTTGATCTCTGACCAATCTCACACGTGCTGTTGACCTTTTTCCAAAGTGAGCTAATGAGGCAAAGGATGCATCGTGTGAGTTGCGCGCTAAAAGTCTTCAACTCTGGGCGGGAATCCTGCCGGGCCTGTACCCGATTTGGTGTACCAGGTGGCCAGACTTGGTATCTACAAGCTACGACATGTTGAACACGGGGCTACAAGTTAAATATGTAAATGCAAACTATATCCTACATCTTATCTTGGTCATGTTATACTCCGAAAATATTTGGTAGCCGAGGCGTTGCCCGGAAAGATTCTATCCGTTGAAAACTCACGACTTGCAGATTGTGGCTGGGCAAACTGTACCTGCATTGCCAGGCGACTGTTTAGTCGTGACGCTTAGGTAGGATGTCTGTTTTTAGCACACAAGTCCAGCATGACAAACACCACCCAATAGCAGACCTAGGCGCTCTACCCCATCCGCTGGCGGCGATGGTTGTGAACGTTTCGGCTAAGGCGGCCAGTGCAAGGCCGTTTGCACGGATGGCTTAGTGCTGAGCTCAGCCTCCCCGGGAGCAGAGATTAGGTCTCGACGACCCAATGCCAGGCCTTGTTCGCTCGTCGCATGGTTGCTTGGAGGACTCCACTGTTGGGCGGGAGCTCGCAGAGGAGCTCGTATAATAACCGATTCGATCTCTTGTTACATTAGCTTCAAATTCTTCGCTTTGCATTTCTCCTTTGTCGCTCCGGCCTACAGTGTCTGTCTGCATCCAGTCGTTTGTGTTTCGAAGTCAATATTTGCTGTAGGTTGTGTTGCCAACCTCAACTCCAAGACTCAGCACAGGCGTGATAACTAACCACATACACGCCTTAAAGTCTAGCTGCAATGCGTTTCAACAATTTTATCGCCCTGGCGGCTGCGACCGCTCAAAGCGTCGCTGGCCTGGGAATCAACTGCGAGGGCGACACACTCTGCGGAATCTCGTACATGGCCGGCGGCCGCCTCACCCAATTCCAGACCATCTTCGACAACATCTTCGAAAGAAGACTTTGGGATAACGGCGATACCATCGGCTGTGTCGAGCGACTTCATTTAAACTTCCAGGGCTCCTCCAAGGGAGTGTACTGCGCGTACATCCAAAACCTCGACGGCAGCGTCGACGGCGCCACACTCAGGAGCCTCTACACCGAGCTGGTCGAATACGGCTGTGGCGTCTGCGGCTCCATCCCCATCCACTACGCCAAGGGCGACGACGACGTCAACCACGGAGAGCTCTCTTTCAACATGGTGGACAGCCTGCCGGAGAACTGCGAGCTCGACCAGCCCTGCAAAATACCCAACTAAACCATAACTGCACGATGATGTCGATGGAAGCGGTCGGATAGCGAATAGCGATTTGCGAGTCAATTCAGATATACACCGATTCAGATACACACCAATTTATCTTCGTTTCGCGCAGCAGAATGTGTGCATTCGATATTCACGTTGGGGGGACGCGCCATGATACCAAGCCCTCCCGTCGTATCGCAGACCGCTTGATGTATTTTGTTAGATGGGAAGGGGAAAACAGGCGTTTGGCGCAACAAATTCGACAAGTCCAATTTGTAATCTGGCGATTCGTTTCTTTATACAACTTTTTGTTTTATATATTTATCCTGTCGAGCTGGAGCTTAGAAAGAACTTATCAAGCATTTTAATTCTTAAGCCACCCGGTCTTATCGGAGCTTGAGCCCGGAGACAAGATGCGATTGACCTAAAAAGTTGATTTTACTACCACGACCCACCAATAAATAGGCGCATGTCATCCCAGTTTTGGTATTACAGCGTATCAGAGCCCCCTCACCAGCCAACCCCTCAGTGCAACGTCCATGGACTCTGTGAACTGTACTACGTATCACCGATCTGGAGCCATCATCGCCGTGGGCTGTTGAAGCTCGTAGATCTCATGGTGGTTGAACAACACACTATGTCCGGACTAATTCCGACTTTTCTTTGAAATGCTACGTCAAAGATATCTCGGAGATAATTACTATTGGTCTCGTCTAGGCTGTCCTAGAAGGCGTAATGAGAGGGATAAATGAGATATATAAAGGCAGAAGGGAGGGGTAATGATTCATGTAGTTACTGTAACAATTGATCCATTAAACGAGCAACAGCTTCAACCAAAAACTCAGTCTTCTGAAAACCACACTCAGCGCAAGCAAAGTAGAATTGTACACTTCTCAACACAGCAAACCACACAACGCACGAAAATGGCTTCCACTCTCTTCTCAGTTGCGCCAGAGCCAAAGACCGAACTTGGTCGGCACCGTATTCTGGCCCCGACGGCTGGTATTCGTGTCTCGCCCTTGGCTCTCGGCGCCATGTCCATTGGCGATGCATGGGCCGACCTGATGGGATCCATGAACAAGGAGAGCTCGTTCAAGCTGCTGGACGCATTCTGGGAGGCGGGCGGTAACTTCATCGACACCGCCAACAACTACCAGAACGAGCAGTCCGAGGAATGGATCGGAGAGTGGGCGGCCAACAAGGGCATTCGAGACCAGCTTGTTATTGCTACCAAGTTCACTTCGGACTACAGAAGCCACGCGCTGGGAAAAGGAAAGGCTCAAAACTTCCAGGGCAACCACCGCAAGAGTCTGCATGTGAGCGTACGAGACTCCTTGAAGAAGCTCAAGACCGACTACATCGATATTCTTTACATCCACTGGTGGGACAGCACAACCTCCATCAAGGAGCTCATGGACTCTCTGCACATCATGGTTGAGCAAGGCAAGGTTCTCTACCTGGGAGCCTCAGATATGCCCGCTTGGATCGTCAGCGCAGCCAACACGTACGCAGTTGACCACGGCAAGACGCCATTCAGCATCTACCAAGGCCGATGGAACATTATGCTGCGAGACTTTGAGCGCGACATTATCCCCATGGCACGACACTTTGGCATGGCCCTCGCACCCTGGGACGTTCTCGGCGGAGGAAAGTTCCAGACAAAGGAGGCCTTGGAGGAGCGCAGGAAGAATGGCGAAAAGCTGCGCAGCCTTGTATCACTGCCAGAGCAGAGCCCCGAAGAAGTAAAGATCAGCGAAGCGCTCCAGAAGGTGGCATCAGAGCACGGCATCACGTCTATTACAGCCATCGCTCTGGCTTATGTGTTGCATAAGGCAGGAAACGTTATCCCCATTGTTGGTGGAAGGAAGGTTGAGCATCTCATGGACAACATCCAGGCTCTGAAAATTAAGCTCACAGACGAGCAAATCAAGTTCCTCGAGGATGTACGACCGTTTGATCTGGGATTCCCCACAGCTTTCTTGGGCCCTGATCCCAATATCACAGGATTTTCCCCACGACTTCAGCGGACGGCTCATTACAGCTTCCCTAATGCCGGAAGTCCAAAGAGCGTTGTTTAAGGGGTAAATGTATTGAGTTGGACTTGAATACGTCCCGTGGAGGAAATTATATCTACACAGTCTGCACAAACGCTCTCTGTGGCCTAACAAGTTTGCGTTCCAAAGATCCCAGTTAACTTTTGTTGCCATATCCAGTCTAAAAAGGAAGCCGACAGCTCAGCTTCAAGACGCTTTTGCCCAATTACGTTTTGAGAGCGTAGATAGATGTAGATCTATGTCTATACGCTCCATGCTGCGGCCTTAGGTACGGCAGTTTTAAATAAACAAACTTGACTTGATACTTTCATACCTTAGATATATCCATCTTAAGCGTGTCACTCTAATCAAGCGGAATAGGAAGGCATAAAGCCCACTGGTACGCAGCAATTGGTACCAAAAATAGACACAGCTAAACTTCTTTCTCCCATGGCAAGAATCTCGTATCCGCCCTCCCAGATCCTTGCCAAGATGCCCACATCCAAGGGGCCATATAATATAGTTTCTGCAGCTTGTGCATTCGGGACTTTTCCTAGTGGGTTGGATGTTGGCTGTAGATCGATATACGTATGCGTGCCATTCGGCAGCTACCAAAGATCTGGCTAGTCGATCATCTTGTGAAGATGGCATTGATCCTTTTACCCACTTGTGTGGAAACGTCAATCTAGGCTGCCGTTTGAATCAATATCCCTGACTCCATCCAGTAAATGCTTCTTATGGATAATGCTAAAGCGTATAATTCTATTCGAAAAGAGGATGAAATCGCTCGTAAGTGAAGAATATTTATATATGTGCCTATTGTGGTATAAATGCTACTGTTTCATATTAAAAATTATGGTTTATGAACTCCATCATTTCCCGCTGACTCTTCCCCAGTTGGTTTCTCATTCTCTCCATCTTCTTTCGCTTCTTTTGCTTCTTTTGCTTCTTCTTTTGCTTCTTCTTTTACTTCTTCTTTCACTTCGTCACTCTTCTTCGCTTGGGTATCCTCTGTGCCACCAGTATCTATCTTCTCCTTTGCTGTATTATCTTGCAGTCTGTCTTCCCCTGTTGGCTGATCTGAGCCTATTGCTTCCGGTTCAGGCACAAAGCTAAACTCGCTTGAATCCGAATCCGTGAGTACCAAAGGAGCTGCTACTCGGCTTCCAGCGAGCTCTGGAACATCGCTTCCGGGCATCTCATAAATCTCGTTGGACAATAATTCTGCCAATGGCGCCGGAGTAGGTAACTCTGATGGTGGCGGGGTGCTCGCTGATTCCAGCTCACTCATAGGAGTCTTCGTTGCCAGAGCAGTGCCTTCCACCTCCGGTGTTGGTTTTGGTGTCGTTTCGTCTCCTTGAAGCTCTCCCAAGTTTGCGCCGAGCGTGTCTCCAGGAAGAGCTCTCGATGTTTCGGGTGAGGCTGCATCCACGCTTCCTAGCATCATTGCTGTTGTTGAATCGACTTGAGAAGTTTGCGCGGCCGCTGCCTTTTTGCGGCGAGGGAGTACCAAGAATCGAAGAGCGGCAGCGGCTGCAGCAGCTATAAAGACACAAACACCGATAACAATGCCCGCAATAGCACCTCCGCTGATACTGCTGCTATGGCTAGGGCTCGGAGTGGGCTCACTCTGCTTGACACCAGGCGGAAATATAGTGACTATGTTCGACTCGGCGCTGGCGTTCCACACGCGAGGATGGACCGAAAAGTTTCCTCGTTCATAATCCACAATCAAGTACGCTTCTTGCAGAAATGTCCGCCCTAGAACATATTGAGTGTCGTTGGCTGCCCTCTTGAGAGGAAAGTATCGAGACGAAGACTTCAAAAGTGGAGGGTTTGCCGTCAGGTCGAAGCTCGCATAGGGAAAAGTAATGTTAAAGGACGAGCCGCCAGTAATCGGAGTTGTTACTTCAAAAGTTACAACCGGGTTTTCTTTAGTGAGCTTGCTGTGCAGTGAGTCGCTAACCAAGTACATTTCCAGAGTGGTGTTGTAAGTCAGACCAAAGGCTTTCTCAAAAGCATGGCAGGCGTCCAGAGGAAGGTAGATTTCGGCCACGGAAGAGTCGATAAACATGGATATCAGGGCAGACTGGAGTATTGTATTATCCGCGCTTGCATTAGTAGAGATGGATTGGATGCCAATCGATAAGTCACGCGACTGGTCGCTGAAGAACTTATAAGAGGAGTCCGTATTCTGATACGCAGACGTATCGTAACCACCCAAGATCAAGCTACCTAGCGCCTTGTTCAGCCGATATGGTGCTCCAGCGTTATAGCTGTATGATAGACTGGGAATGGCTGATGAGTTCTTGAGAAGCTGCATAAAGCTTTGCTGCGGTTCATTTTGAGTGGTGAAATTCGTTGGTCGCGGGTTCAACGCAAGCACCCCCAGATAAAACTCTGTGCCTGCAATACCGGCAATGACTGAGTGGTTGACAACAGGGCCACCACTACCAAGATATCCGAGTCCGACTAAAAATATGGTGTCAATATAAGCATGGAAAAGTGATACTGAGACAGAGAGTTTGCCCTACCGGTGTCATATCCAAAGTCACCATTGTCCGTGAAGCCCAGGGAATTCTCGAAGCCCAATTCGAATAAGCCAATATCCTTCCAAGTGTGAGAAGCCGTGGTGTTAAATAAGTCTCCTCTACTATTGGCGCAGTCGTTGACTTTGATGATCTGACAGCCCTCTGGCAGAACAACTAGAGTTTGAGTCGATGAAGTGCCAGGCAATATGCGAAGGTTCTGAGCTGGAGTTCCTACGCGCAACTCAAACGATGACCAAGGGCCATCAACTCCCTCACTAAAGACACGTAAGTTTCTTTGCAGCTTCAACAAACTAGGAACTGTACTTACAACACCTGGCTCGGCGACACAGATATGGGAGTTGGGAGAGAAGATGCCGCTGTATCTGTGGCTGTATTTGTGGCTCGCTTGTTCACCAACGCGAGATCAAACGCCGAGGCGAGCGCTGCATTCGGCATCAGCATTGCCCATGGCAGCAGACGATGCAGCCGCGTCCGCATCTTCTCGAGATCAATGGGATATTTCAGTAATTCCACATCCTAATGCGAGATCATGTAGTGTTGTAACCCCCCAAAGTCCCTGTCTCACTGAGTGGAGCGCGTATCTGGTGCCGAAGAACGGGATACTCTCTCTTGCAGCAAGCATGCAGTTGACTCGGCTCGTCCTAGACACACACTTTCGAACAGTTATCTAAGTCTATACGGGGAAAAAGTCCGTTCCTTGGCAAACGATCGAAGATTGTGTTAGGGATGCTAAGAAAAAAGAAGTGTAAAAAATGAGCAGACATGGGGTTGTGTCTGTCCACACACAGCAGCACAGAGTCCTCGTCACCACATACTACTATAGCAAGTTGATTTGATGAGCATCCACATGGGAGTCAGATTTTAGGGGAATAGCATATCCACCACTCATGCGGTGCGAAGCTATGCGATGCACGTCGGTTAGGTGCGAAATAAAGCACTATCGAATGTGTCCCGAAGATGACAATATGGCCGCCCACCGTTCTCGCCATAGAGCTAATGCAGACTATTCCAAGTTGACCAGCCTTTTTGTCGAGCAGAACCCGCTCTTAACGCAATGGCCCACCGAAGAACAGCGGCTCATGGCCGTCCCGATGGGGTGGGAAACCCTTGGAGAGTTAGCCGACGGACATGATAACTAATCGAAATCTCCTGTTGTGATGGGAAGAGCCTTCTCCAACTCACCGAGTTCAGCCGCCGCCGAGTAAAGTTTGAGGCGCACATATCGACTGGATTTAGAAGGGCGGCCCGTACCAGCCGATGGTATAACGCCACATACAACCTGTATTAGTATTTATAGCGCTCTTATGAATCGTATGTGAATAGCTTCAAAGATTGGTGGTAAGCCGCTCGCAAATAGGTCGTCGGCAGCAGACGCATTGCATGTGCGGTCCACTAAGCAATAGCCAGGGGTATTGCGATCGCCTCAACGCCGGCGTAAAATTACGTCCAGAAGCAGCGGTGGCGCCTTTCCGACTTTTCTCCCTTCAGCAACATCGCCGCGGCTCGCTAACTGCGTCCGCGCTCTGGCCGTTTGACAGATGCTGCGTCCTGGTAAGGCTGAGCGCTTGTGGCGTGCTGTTTGGCTCGTGGCCGGGCTCAGCCCCCATCTTTTTCCATCCCGTGGAGCTCTCTGGAGATGGTGGCAGCACTAGAGCGTAAGCACTTGACGATAGGTCGGCACCACACTCTAGCAAGTCTGCCTCCAACCACCGGTCCGGATCGTCTCTCCGGTGTAAAAGACGAGTAGTGATTTGTGCCTAGAAGTTGTCTCCTCATGTGCTGGCATCGGCTAGTAGAGAGCCTTGCCGGCTTTCTAAGCTTATGCCCGGATTATCAAAGCGGGACTATTTGTGATACACGCCATAACAGCACTAATGAGCTTGCTGGACGGCGTTTGCCTGAAGTCTTCGCGAATAGCGTGAATATCTCTGCTTGGGCTTTGTGAGGCTTGCCCAGCTGCTTGTAAACAGAGCTAGCCCGTATATATCTCCAACCTCGCGGTGTTGGAGCCAAAATCTTTTCTTCTCTTCGCCGTTTTCGAGTCTTTCGTTTTCACCCTTCATTCGCTACGGTTGAGACAATGGCCGGTCTATCAAGAGCTCTTGCTCTGCTCGCGCTCGGCACCGCCGTGCGGGCGTCGCCATGTAAGTTACACGCAGCTAAGATACTGGATCTCAGCTCCAGAGCAATGCTGACTTCTATTTTTGCTACATAGTTTTTGCATCCAATGGCACAATCACTCCACCTCCGACATTCACTACTGCACCGCCGAGCAGTACTGATATTGCAAATGTCACATGCGGCACACAGAGTGGCTTTCCAGCCATCATTTTGCAAGAATATCAAGGCCTATCCACTAATCATGACTTGCAATGCCAATGTCTGGAGCAAGCGTTCAGCTGGCTGGAGACAACAGTGAAGCCGACACGAACGCTTACGAGGACTATCGGAACCGGCATCACTACGTTTACGGAGACCGTTACGAGCGGCTCGACAACTACAACGTCCATAGTAACAACGGTTGTAAACACGGTTGATACCGAAACAGTTACGGGAAACTTTATTGACGCTCAAACGAACGTGTGGTACGGATCGGCATCATCACCATGTGTAAGTGTATCTTTCACTGTATTTGGACATGACTTTGGCGATGCTGACTGCTCTCTAGTGCTATAGCTGTACTATCGCTGCCTCTACCGTAGAAGTATTCTACTGGCCTGATGGTACGTCCCATCTCTTCCATTTGCCGTGAAAACTAGTAATCCATGAGCTAACTTTGTGCAAGCTACTACAACATCGTCTGGCTTTGCCCAGGTTACCTCTTTCGTATCAAATGGCTATACCTTGTAAGAGAACGCTTATCCCGAGCAAGCGCATGATATATCTATATCCCCCAGTGTTCCTAACGCTCCTCAGCCAATCTCCCTCCATTTACATCGGCTTCTCTTCGCTCTCTGCCTTTGACTATTGTGGCGTGGTCGGCCAGCCATTTACCAACATAACAGTTGGATTTGACCCCGACGAACTATCAACCATTGTCTTCGCCGCCTCAGGCTCTCAAACAGATACCGATGTCGAGACTGCCACAAACGGTGGCGTTTTTACCACTACCGATACTTTGACTTTCTACACTCCTGTTGGGTCTGCCGCACTCAACACGAAAGATCTGGAAAGGAATTGCTCAACGATTCTTGGATACAACTACATCCCAGGAAATCCTTCCAATGCGTTGAAGTCTTCGCGTATGTTTTGAACTATCCAATACCTTTAATGCTACTATACCACTCTCACTAGATCGTTATTTTGGCTAATCTTTTCTTTCTCGACAGCTGACCCCTGCCACCCCACGATCGTGATCCCAGATCGAGTCAGAAGCTTGGACCCAGCTTGGGCGTCTTGTATTAGAGACGGCTTCGGCGGGTAAGTGTTAACTTGGCTTTGAGTAATTGGGGGCTATTCTCACAAAATCTCTTCTATTTAGATTCTACGATCCCCCTTCGGCGCTCAGCTCTGTGACTGCTCTCGTACCGACTTCCGCTCCACCACCGACTACAACTACAGCTGCCAGCCCACCTAGGACATCAAATACTCAACCATCATCGACGCCGCCGCCACCGCCTCCAAAGACGTCGTCTTCGGCTTCACCACCACCACCTCCTCCTTCTAGCTCCAGTAACGCTCCTCCCCCTCCTCCGCCTTCGTCTTCTAGCAAAGCTCCTCCTCCACCACCACCTTCATCTTCAAGCAACGCTCCCCCACCTCCTCCGCCTTCATCTTCATCTCAGGGAGCTGGAGGCAGCAGTGCTAGCAGCCCTCCCGCTTCTAGCTCATCAGCTGGCGGCAACAGCCCTCCTCCACCAGCCAGTTCTTCAAACGGAGCTGGTAGCGGCAGTGGTAGCGGCACTTCGGCTTCCAGTCCCTCTGGAACTCCTGGAGGAAGCAATAACGGAGGTGGTAGCAGCGGTGGTAATGGGGGTAGCGGCAATGGAGGAAATGGAGGTGGCAATGGAGGCTCTAATGGAGGCGGTAGCAACTCAGGCAACGGTAACGGCGCTGGCTCGCCTCCTAACGGCTCTAACGACAATAACTCGGGTAACGGCGGCAACTCTGGAGGAAACGGTGGCAGCAACGGCAGTGGAAGTGGCAGCAACGGGAGTGGCAGCAATGGAAACGGCGGTAATGGAAACGGCGGCAATGGATCTGGAAATGGATCTGGAAACAACGGAGGTGGTGCTGCAGACTCTTCAACCAGCCCCCAAAATACTGGCAGCGGAGCTCCTCCAACTTCCATCATCTCAGTGGGCTCAGTGGCTTTCACCGAGAACTCTCAGTCACAGTTCGTTCATGGATCGACAACTCTGATACCTGGAGGACCTGCAGTTACTCTGGGAGGCAACACGCTGTCGCTGCCCACTTCAGGTTCTGAGATAATCGTCAATGGGTCCACTGAACCAGTCTCCGAAGCTGCTTCTGCTACATCTGGCTCAGAGAGCTCTGCAGCCGGTGAGACCGGCACGCCTGGCTCTCAAGAGACTTCTGGTGGCCCATCCGGAAATTCTGGTTCCACCAATACGGCCTCATCTGGCCTTCCGTCGTCCTCGGTTCCCTCGATTCCCAAGAGCGGAGCGTCCGGATTGGTATCGGGTGTAATGACTAACATCCAGGTTGTTGTTGGAGTCATGCTTGTTGCATTTTATATCTAATAGCGAGACAATAGCCCACTCTTTGCGGCAGAATGAGCGCAGCGCCATCGTGGCGAGATTCTATAGGCCAGATAACTGTTTAATGATAATGAAAAGTATTACGAGAAGCTTATGTAAAGAAGTACAGTGACGCTGAAGCTCTCGATGCTTTAAATGGGCGTACACCGCCTGTCCTTATGACCCTGAAAACCTGCAATATGTGCATCTGCTGGGCTAATTCTATATGAGATTCTAAATAATCATTCCGCTCGCAGCTGTCATTGAGCTTATTATTATTTGCTCTTTTTTTCAGTGAACCTGACAATGTGAAAAATTCGCGAGCGCCCGTGTTCTTAGGCGCTAGGCGTGAGAAAAATCACAGCCAGTACTTATAGTAGATGATCAGGTAAAAGCAGGCGCATAGGCTGTACTGGCCTAGGAATTTGCTGTAGACGTAGAACCCTATAGAGAAGTAGTTCAGGCAGGTCGAATCTGGGCTATAAACAGAACTGATGAATTGCCTGATTTGAACAAGTGAAGAATTTCATACAGCCTAAGATCAGATTTCCAGGGCTGTCTGTGGCCGATCGATCCCCGGAATACGAGCCTAGACATGGGTTAACATGCCCTTCGGGAGAGAATCACTTCTATAAAGGAAGCTCGTTCCTCGACCCTCGTGCCTCGCTCCAAGCAGCATTAACAGACTTATATGAACATTGTCTCATATTTGTGTGATTGTAGTCGACTTTTAGTATGGGGTTATCTCAACTTGCCGCTTACGGCATCTTGACAGCAGCAGCCGTTGCTGCTGTACCATCAACAAACGGCTATGCCACACACGAGAGGCGAGATATCGGCAAGCGGGACGCCTGGGTAAAGCGAGATCGAATTGACGCTAGAGATGTCCTCCCTATGCGAATTGGACTTACCCAGCGAAACTTGGAACGCGGTGCTGAGCTACTTCGAGATGTATCAGACCCGAGTTCCGCGAGCTATGGCAAGCACTGGACGAGACAGCAAGTCGCAGAAATGTTCGAGCCATCGAAAGACACCGTGGACACGGTGAAGAGATGGCTCGATAGCACTGGGATTACGGCAGACAGAATCCAGCATTCGAGAGGTAATGGATGGCTGACATTCAATGCATCCGCCGCGGAAGCAGAAAGCTTGCTCCAAACAGAGTATTATACATACGATCACAGCATTGAGAGTCGCAGTGCCGTTGGATGCGACGAGTATGTTTTATTTGCCCATATTATCCGTTTCTTTGGACTGTTTTTCTCACTTCTATAGGTATCAACTCCCACATTATGTTAGAGACCATGTGGATTTCGTGCACCCAGGAGTTTCTCTAATGGCAGGGCCGAAAAGGTCGTCTCCCACAAAACACGGAATGGACCGGTCGAATGCCAGTCAGCTGCAGTCACGAGATGCCGCCAATAGTTCATGCTACGATCTAGTAACACCGGATTGTGTTCGAAAACTCTATAATGTCCCACTTGGCGATAAGGCTGCACCTGGAAATACTCTGGGCCTTTTCGAGTTCGGATCTTGGTACAGTCCACAGTCATTGGATGCTTTTGTAGAAAAATACGCACCAAACGTACCGACAGGGACAAGACCGGCTAACGTCTCAATTGACTTGAGCGCCTGGCATTACGGCGAATACAACCAAGGCGTCGAAGCTGATATGGATGTACAAATAGCTTTTCCACTGATATACCCCCAAAACATCACCATTTATCAGTCGGACGACATATATTATACTGGCTATGGGCTAGACTCTCATCTCGGCTGGTTTCAAGACTGGCTTGACGCCATTGACGGGGTAACCTTGTGGTTCTGATACATATTGCTGATGCACCAAGTTACTAACTGTCTGAACAGTCTTACTGTACATATTCAGCCTTCGGCGAGACTGGAAATGATCCGGACATTGATCCTGTGTATCCTAACCAGAATCGAACTCCTGGAAGCGAAAACTCAACGAGTCCCGACTTTTACCAAGGACCAACCGCCTGTGGAACCGTGAACTCTACCAACGTCTTTTCCGTATCATATGGTGGCTTAGAGTATAAACTCCCTGTCAATTATATGTTCCGCCAGTGCAATGAGTAAGCTTCATCTTTGCGTATCATTTCAAGCCTTTGCTTACCTTGAACAGGTTCATGAAGCTAGGGCTCATGGGCACTACAGTTGTAGTTGCTAGTGGTGACTCTGGAACTAGCGTGTCGGAGATTTGTGGTATAGGCTATGACGAATACCATACAACGGCGCAGTATCCTTCAAAGTAAGTAGTCTCATATATCTCATCTTGTGCCTTGCGATAACCTTGAATACTGGCTGTTCAGGTACCCGTCAGCTAACCGTTACTCTCCTTCTTCTTATAGCTGCCCATATGTTCTATCGGTTGGCGCTACAATGCTGAAGCCTGACTTTAAAGAAGTTGTGGCCAATCCTTACGGTAGACAATACGCGTCGTCGGGAGGCTTTTCCTATAATTATTCTCGTCCGTGGTATCAAGATGAGGCAGTTGAAAGCTACAACAAAAAGTATAACCGACTACCAACCGATGCGTACAATGCTTCTGGTCGTGGATTCCCCGATGTCAGTGCTGTCGGCTGGAATCTGCCCATGTTCACAACCCCTGATCCGGCTCCCGACAATGCTTCAGGAACCAGTGCATCTACTCCAATCGTGGCCTCATTGATCAACCGAGTGAATGAGGAGCGCCTTGCAGTTGGAAAGTCCCTTGTGGGTTTTGTGAATCCTATATTCTATCAAAACTCTCATATTTTCAACGATATTACATCTGGCAATAATTCAGTTTGCGGATCTTTGGCTTTCAATGCCACACCGGGATGGGATCCCACCACTGGCTTGGGCACAATCAACTATGCCAAAATGTTGGAGGTCTTTTTGAACTTGCCATAAATAGCTCTTACGACATAGCTAGCACAAAACAATCTTCAATGTCCTGGTGACCGCGAAAGTGATCAGATCAAGTTTATGGGAATAGTTCCTAATCTCGTATTTGAAACCCGGTGTCTCTTCGCACTGATCGGCCGCCTAACAGTGGGGTAGATTTGTTGGCTCCAGCGATCCAGAATTGACACCCTCTTGTTAAGGATGAAAATGATGTAATAACCAAACGCCTTGTTTTGTTGAGTGCAATTTATAACAGCAATTAAAAGATTAGCTGAATAGGATTCCGAGTAGAGGCATACTCTATGGCCACGTGTAGTGCCATACACACCATCTAGGTATTAACATTGATTAATGCCAAGACTGATCCCCAAAGAAATGGTGGCTGGTCTAAAAGGTGTGGAGCCGATTGGGGACGCTCCCATTTGAGAAAGTGTTGAGCATTGAATCAACCCCGGCACTTTCTCCGGTCTCACCATCAATAATTGGACATCCTACTGACGTCCGGAGATGGCCACTTGCTCTGGGATACTATTTAAGTCTTATAAAGTTGCTGCTAGCAGCACATCAATTATTCCCAGAGCCAATACAGCAAAAATTGTAGCCTTCTTTGCATGCACATTACTGACTACAGAGAAACATCTCAGTTATTGGTCGATCATGGAGGAAAATGTATTCGAGACGAAGATAGGTTCTAAGCTGCATTATTATAAGCGCGGCAGTGGACCTATCATGATCGTTACACCGCCAGCTTGGGGACTCTCCTCGCTATACCTCCAAGAGGGCCTTGCCCCATTGGAACAAACATTTACCCTGATTCATCTCGAGTTAAGAGCAAACGGAAAATCCACAAGACCGGCTGCATCTGAGATGACTTGTTGGCATCTCGCAGATGATATAGAGTACCTTCGCCAGGAATTGCACCTGAAAACTATTCCGTTTTTACTGGGCCACTCAGGCGGCGGCACCATTGCTCTGTGGTACGCTATAAGATATCCCGACAAAGTGGACCGTCTTGTTCTCTTGAACCACCGTCTAGAAGGCTTTGACGACAGTGAGTCGTTGAAAAACTCGATTATTGAAAAGAAAAAGGATCCGAAGATGCATGCTCCGCTTAAAGCATGGACTTCTTCGTGGGATGATCTCTCCGATGAGAAATTTGCCTCGATAATCCGCTCATTTCTACCCGTGTATTTTTGGAATCCCGATGCTGCTGTTCAGTCCAAAGAATTTAACAGCCTTCAGACTGTTTCCTTGTGGAACTACCGACTTCTACATGGGAGTGACCAAAAAGATCAACATCAAGAGCAAGAACTCGACAAAGTCTCAGCAAAAACGTTCATGATCTTTTGCCAGGCGGATCCAGTTTGTACACCGACACAGGGTATTGCGACGCAAAAAGGGATAGCTGGATCCAAGCTTGTGATATATGAGCATTGTGGCCATTTTCCATGGATCGAAAAGGGAGAAGAGACATTCAGAGACATTATCGAGTTTTGTACTTTATAACTAGTCGAACATCTATACATTAATAACCTTGCCCTTGAGATACGCTTTTAATGCGGCAGATGTATATCTAAAAACAATTGCATCATAAGGTTCTATGGTCTCATTACCTCCGTAATGTCAAAATCGAGCCAATTCCAATCGAAAAATGCCTGTGAAAGATCTCCGTCAGGACCCGAGGCGCCAGCACCAAGGAATATATTATCCAGCCCAGTAGAAATTTCAGGGGGTAAGCCAATCATTGTATTGCCCTGAGAAATTGGCGGTATATCAGCACAGCCCAGTTCGGGTTTTGAAGGCTCCTCACGCTTCTTGGCCGTTTCAAATTTCTGCCGATACTCGCGTAATGCCTGAAGTCCTCCCTGCGCAGAGATATCGTATGACATATAGAGTTCAAAGATTGCAATGGTCTGCTCCCATATAGTCTTATCTGGCTCTTGATCTAAGTCAACGTGCAATTCTGGAAGTAGGCTAGCCGCTAATAAGACTGTTGCCGAACCAAAAGTCACTGTAAATGATTAGATTGGTACGGACATTGGAGACTCTATGTGATCTAGCCCACCTCGTAATGTATGCCAAGTAGAGGCCTGGTACATAAGATGGGCATTCTTGTGCGCTCTATTAATAACTGTTCGTGCCGTGGAGACGCAAAGCTTATTGATATCGTGAAGCAGCCCCATAGCTAAGCTTCTATTGCCGCTTTTAGCTTTCAGCATCTCTGAACGTATTGTTCTGTTCGCGACAGTTGCCAGAAGACAGGGGCGAAGAATGGAAAGTCGGACATAAGTCGAACTGGATGAAAAACATAGTTAGCATCCTTAGCTTTCCAATGGATTTTTCTTCTTTTCCAACTTACCGTATACTGAGAACTAGGCTTTGGACCCTGAAGCATTCTTCTTCGACAACAGACTGGTTTACCTCTTGGAGCTGGCTCGGTAAGTTGTCTAACATTTCATCCAACTGCAGACAATACTTTGGCATTTCGCTGACATAATGAGTTAGAGATGTAGTTGAGCCCTGTTCAATCGAGTTCTGCCCCAACGCATGCATGCTATCTGTAATTTCGCGAGGAACTTCGGATAGCTGGAGATAGTTACGGAAAAACTCTAGCCTGGAAGGCTTATTTGCCGGTTGGTGACCTTCGCCTTCTTCTAATAAATATTCGTCGTCGATTGCTTGTGGAAGGGGCACATAATTTGTTCTGCTCGTCGCTATAGGCCATCCGAACGTGTACGAGGCTATACTATTGTTTGTAAATTAGCATATTCATTTCTAGCTCTGGGTTTGACCGCGAACATATAGTTCTCACCTGTCCATTATAAGGGAAGTATGCCATACCCTACGTCTCATCTCCCGTTCCAGCTGGCTTGTTGACTCTGGGGCATCTTTATGAAGTCCAAGCCCGTAAGCAACTCTCTGGGCAACGCCAAGCGTACTCCAGCATCTTGAGGCAAAAGACGTATACTGAAGGTAAATTACACGCAGGATAAATAATTGCGCCGCTTCAAAGGAGTATTCGTCTAATGTTTCAGCTGATACCAAGCGAACCGACCGCCTATACAATGATTCGGCATCTCGCGTTCTCCATTCGGCTGGACAGTGTTCAGATCGCTGGCAGCCAATGGCTAAGACAACATTGACTATGGAGAGTAGGAGCATATCGTTGCCCGTATACTTTGACAGTGAAAAGGACTCGGTAGACCTCCAGAGATTATCATATTTCTCCATGAAGCTAGGCCAGTGTAATACGGGAAATATGGGAAATGAGAACCGCCGATACGTGTTCATAAGAGAGTCCGCCAATTTTTTTTCAGGTAGCAGAAGAGCATCAATGTCCATGGAAACATCATTAGTATTCGAGACTGTAAATCCAATTGGGTCATTGAGATATGGCTTTCCCGAGAACAAGTTACTAGGCGGCGCTGGTTTCTTGTTGACTGGCTCTATCGTAGCAGCAACTCGGCTTATGAATGAATGAGTCGAGGGTGGCCCGAATATGGATTCATTTTGTCGGATGGACTTTTCGAGTGGCTGAGGATTCTCGCTAGAGATAGGTATCTCGCTTTCTCTATGAATGCTCTCTGGCGACCATGATTTTGAGGAGACATGAGGAGTGAGATTCGGGACCGATCCTATAAGAGTTCCACCAGGCGTTCCAGTGGGTGGACTTTCAAGATTAACCTTGTTCTTCGAAGGTAGAGAAGGTATATTTCTTGACGAGGCATGAAGTTAGTTTACACGTTTATGATGAAGCCAAAGTCAACACCATATTAGAGCCGCGGACATACCGGATTGATGTTTTCTTAGGTTGTCCAGGTTGAGTTTGCTCATATGTACACAAATTAGGCTGGCCTCTACTCAAACATGTAAGGCAAGAAGGCCGAGTTCCATCGCATTTTGATTTCCGGAGGCGACATGGATGACAAGATTTTCGAAGTCTGTTGCGCTTACGACGTGTTATAGCCGCCGTAGGCCTTGGCGGCTTTTCATCCATTGCTCCGATTTTAGGAGTCGCAGCCGCAGGATTGCGATTATGAATATTTAATGGAGTACGAAGCGCGGAGATATCGTGTCAGAGAGAAAAGATGATTAAGACATTGAAGATAATAAAGTTTTTGGTGCTAACAGGCTCTTAGATGACGATGAAGGAAGCGATGACAGCGAGCCATGCTGGGAAACTGGGGTTGCGGGGCGGACTAGGAAATAAGATGATATAATGATTGGACAGCGGAGTAGCGGTAGGAGGTAAAAGCCACATATGATTGGCTGCTATTCGTCGGAGATATCCTTCCGTTTCTACTGGCTTACTTTGGTGTTGAATCTCGCTACTTGAGGCATAGTGTCGGAGATATGGGGAGGAGGTGCTCCTCGGTTATTATTACAATACCACCTGGTCTGTATAAATGACAAGCCAGAGAAATGCTTCAGTCTCTTCTTCAAAGATTCTTTGGTGCTTTGCTGTCGCCAGTAACGTACTGCTTAAGACATGGGCTCTAGCAAGGATTTTGAAACGCCGCCCGGTATTATCCAGCCGTTGGACGACGGAGAGACCACAGAGCGCGGTTCGGAAAATGGGCCTACAGATTCAGAGAAGCCCAAGCACGAAGAGGAGGAATTCAAAGAAGGCGGCTATGGCTGGTAAGGCTCAATGGGAGAAGAATATGTTTAACTTAATTGATACTCATCATTTTGTGATAGGGTCGTGGTAGCTGCTGTCTGGCTGATCTTGGCTCACTCTTTTGGCATCAATTCAGTAAGTGATTGTTGTAGATTTATTGGCAATGATGTATTGACAATAGCGCCCAGATGTTTGGCGTATTCTTAGCCTTCTATCTCGCCCATGACCATTTCCCAGGAGCGACGCCGTTACAATTCGCTTTCGTCGGAGGCCTCAGTTTTTCAGTTGGTTCGTATATAACTGCGACACCGCTTATTGATGAGAAATTAACTGACCTGTTTGCAAGCTTTTATCGTATCTCCATTCGCCACAATCCTATTCAACAAAGTAGGCCTAAGAGCGACTGTCATCATGGGTGGGCTGTTTATATCGTATGCTCTCCCTCCCTGCCACATTGTCAGGAATACTCACTCATAAACTAATAGTGGCGCCTATGTCGGAGCATCTTTCGCGAAAACTATCTGGGAGCTCATTCTCAGTCAAGGCGTGTGTTATGGTATTGGTATGGGAATTTGTTATACCGCAACTGCCGGCCTGGTTGCCAAGTGGTTCAAGAAACGGCGAGCGCTCGCAAATGGCATCGCAACAGGCGGCACAGGATTTGGCGGCCTTACATATTCTCTGGCGGCAAACGCCATGATCCAACGCATGGGAATTGCTTGGACATTCCGGATCATGGCCATCATATGTTTTGTTGTGCTGATAACCAGTGCTCTTTTCCTCAAAGATCGCAACCACGGCACAAAGGTTTCCGCCACCGCATTCGACTTGAAGCTTTTCAAGCTGCCTGACTTCTGGTTGTTCTTAGGATGGGGATGGTTATCTAGTCTTGGCTATGTTGCCGTCGTCTTTTCTTTATCGGATTATGCCCAACAAGTTGGATTTTCTGCGCAGCAGGGCTCTCTGGTGTCTGCGATGTTCAACCGTGCGTAATAGTTTCGCTTGATGAGCTTCATAATACTGACGTTTTTTTTTACTATAGTTTCGACTGGCATAGGACGTCCGATTATCGGTTTCATGGGTGACAGATTCGGCACAATTCGAATCACTACACTTGGAACATTCATCTCCGCCTTATTCACATTCTTCATCTGGATTTTTGGCGGTAAGTCCTACGGCGCGCTCATGGTGTATGGATTATTGGGAATGTTTCCCAGCATCATGTGGGCCACTTTTGCGGTGATGACAGCATCAATTTTTGGCCTTGAAAAGATGCAACCTGGTATGTATTGACTTTCAGGTTCCAAAAGGACAGTACCGCTGATACTTTTGTCAAGTCATTTCTCTTTCAACCCTGACATTAGCCTTACCGTATACTTTTGCGGAGGCGATTGCTCTAAGCTTGAAGAAGCCCGGCAGAGACGGCTTTCTCGACGTACAAGTCTACGCTGGCGCGATGTTCGTTGCTGCTACCATTTGCTGTAAGTTTCGCGTCATCCTCAAGTAGCAAGTACCTTAGCTAACGCAATGTTCGCAGCCCTAATTCTTACTATCAAGAAAGGTGAATTATACCGCAGAGGAAAGAATGATTAGATAAGTATTGCGGTAGTTCAAACAAATGAGTTATGGAGAAAGGCATAGTATAAGACTTGCCTGCTAGCTGGGCATGATCATAGTTATGCATCAAGGTCCTCTTTTGTACATTATTAGGATGTGCTGGGTTTTAGATATGGCGTTCGATAGCATTTAGATTTGCGTTTAGTGGATTAGACATAGTTAAATAACGACTATCGCTAACACTTTGTTATTTACACTGATCAAAAATATATTCGTACAAGCTGCTAAGTGTTTAGAAGCCTTGCCTTGCTGCCTAGCTTGTGGCATCAAGGGCTGCGCCATCTAAATTTTATGGAGGAGCTATTGGTCCTTTCCTTACTACTAGAGTTATAGCGGCTCAAAGAGCGTTTGGCGATCCCATTAAAACCTTGGATCCGTAACGATAAGACCCAGTGAATATGTAGCAGCTCTTGAGCGCGAATAGTAGGTATCTCGCCTTCATGTGCTCTATGTTGACCTTGGCTTTCAAAATGGAGAAACATACTTTATGATATTTTCTTCATATTTGTATCTCAACGCCGTTATTGTAAAAGCTGTTATGTTTCAATTCTAACTATGATCATGATTCTAAGTCATTAATATAAATTGAGAAACCCGGAGCCTCCGGCGATAGACGAAACGAGTACCGCCAACTCGTTCTACACACTTTTACTGTTTTCACCTCAAATATCCGCACTCTCTCCAAGCGCGAACATATTTCTTCAAAGTCTCCTCGCTTACTGCACCAGTGGCAGCCAAAGTCTTCGAGTGTTCGCAAGACTTGGCTGTGTCCAAGATGAGGCCACCGCACGACATACGGAGGAAGTGTTCTTCTAGGAAGCCCACAAGACGCACGGCAGGATTTTCGGTTTCTGGGAGGGGCGACTGCCGGACCCGAGTGAGCCAGTCCGACCATGGGACGATATGATCGGATGGAACGCCCAGAGCGTCGGCAAGGCGTGGAGTCATCTCCTTCCACGGCTGCTGGACAGGGTTGTCAACGTGGTAGATGGGGTAGGGGGTATTGTCTGCGAGAAGGAGATCTGATAGGGTTCCGGCAACGATGTCGACAGGACACCAAGAAAGGACCTATTCATGAATAGTTAGCGATGATGATTCTAAAGCGGAGATGGGAGATGCGGCACGTACCCCGTTGAAGTCAGGAACAGCCGACAGAGTCTGCGCAGACTTTACCAGGAAGCAGAAATGCTCAACAGTGTTCCAATAGCCGCTGGAAGTTGAACCGGCAATCTGGCCGATGCGAGCAGCCATGGTTCGGAACCGATCAGGGTGCTTGTGAAGAGTTTCGTCGAGGAGTTTCTCACAGGCATACTTGGCGTCACTGTAACCAGACGGCAGAACAGAATTGATCTCAACTCTCTCCTCTGGGGCGCGGACCTTGCCGCTCCATAGTGGATAGTGGCCGGTCGTAGCGATGGAGGATACGAATTGGAACCCGACCTTGAAGCCCGGTGGGCGAGCGGCAGAAGCCGCGGCGGCGAGATCGATGAGATTCCTGAGAACTTGGAACTGGTTCTCAAAAGCGTTGATGGGTCTCTTGGCGCTCATGGGCCACGCGTTATGGACAATGTGGGTGATCTGAGTGCTCAGAGATAGATAATCGCCATCGGCGAGACCGAGGTTCGGCTTTGATGTGTCCGTCTCGATAACCTTCAGCTTGGACAGCTCATCAGCTTGAAGTGTGATTCCCTTGCTGCGGAAAGATTCACGCTGTCGGGTATCAGGGTCCGTAGCGCTCCTTCGATTTAGGCAAATCACCGACTTCACCTCCGGAAGCTTGGAGAGATGGGCGACGAGATGGGCTCCCAAACTGCCACTTGCTCCTGTGACGAGTATGCATGCCTCGTTTGTGCTCGAAGCATTTGATGTACCGGTCTGAGCCGCTGGGGCAAAACCACTAGAATACTTTTGCACAAAGTTTCCCACTGCTGCCTCACGAGCAGGCAGATCAGTAAGCATATGCTTAGGCAAGGGCTTAGGATCGAGTGGGAGACGATCCTTCTGTGAACCCGAGCCAAGAGCGATGAATACTCTCTGAATGAGAGTCTCTGGGAGATAGCCATCAGTCCAGTCGACATGACCATATCCAACAGAGTGTAGAGTCTCCTCCCATCGTGATTCATTTGCAATGGCATGATTACGACCATCCTTGAAGAGCCACCAGCCCTCAAAGAGACCAAAGATGATATCAACCCACGAGAGCGTCTCAGTCATTTCAAGCATCATGAGGAATCCATCGGGCCGGAGGAATTGCCGAGTGTTCTCCAGCGACTTCACCATGTGTGTCGTTGCGTGAATAGCATTGCTGGCCACAACAATGTGCTGGGTGGCAACCAGGTCCTTTTGCGGAGCCTTTTCAATGTCATGTACCGCGTATTTCATAAATGGATACTGCTTGAACTTGTTTCTGGCAGCCGCGACGAAGCCTGGCGACAAATCTGTGAATGTGTACTCAACTGGGATGCCGAGGCTCGCAACAAGAGGAACCAGCCATTTTGTAGTGCCGCCTGTGCCAGCGCCCATTTCGAGGATCTTGAGCTTGCCTTCGTGCATCGGCAGAGACGCAGCAAGGCGCTTCAAGAAATCCTCCATCATCTTGTATGAGAGCTTGTTCAGTAACGAGTCTCCGTACAGGCCAGAGACCAAGTCTCGTCCTTCGGCAGAACCAAAGACCACCTTGACTCCGTCTGTCTTTTCAGTGATGACATCGGCGAGTTGAGCGCCCGCATAGTAAGCCAACTTATTGGCAAATACATGGTCGGGAAATTCTTTTACAAGATCATCCAAAATGGCTTTACTGGACTTGTCAGGAACGGGAAGATCAGTTCGGGTTATCTCGCCATTGACGACGTCAATCAGACGAGCGTCGCGTTCAAGAATCAAGTAAAGATGGTCGACCAGCCTCTGCTGGCTAGCTGCGCCAGAGACGCGAGTCAACTTCTGACCAGGGGCTGCGTCCCTCAGAGAGCATCCGAGCTTCTCAAAAGCTTCGACTGTTAGAGTAATACAGAGGCGAGTCTGCTTGGGATATACAGCATCAAGATATCCGACACATCTGTAATCCTCAATGAACTGGTCAGTAAGGCGCTTCGTCTCCCCAAAGGCGGAAAGGACTTTGGATGTCGGAAGATCTAAATCGCCTCGTGGCATTGACACAGCACTGTAAGATGGCTTAGGAGCTGCAACAGGCGAGACCGTTGCTTCAGCGTGCTTCTTAGACTTCGTAGCAGCTGGTTTTGGACTCTCAGAAGGGACCCCGTTGATCTTCTCCTGAAGTTCTTTGACAGAGAGCTCTTCAATGGCCACGGACTCGCTAATATGAACATCAAACTTGCCAGAAATATCCATTCGCAGTTCCGTGGAGAGAAGCGAGTCTACACCAAGATCGCGCAGGAGAGTTTCCAATGCAACATCCGCCTTCTCGAGTCCTAAGAATTCTGCGAGATACTCTTGGACATCAGCGTTGTTGGTGGGGACAGAACTTTGTGACGACGTATCATCAAGTGATTCTGATGGCGTATCATCAAAAGCACCATCATCCGAGATGTCACTTTCTGAGTCGGACTCATCTTCAACGTTTGGAGTCACACCCAAGACAGATTCGATGCTTCTTACCATCTCAAGGAAGGTGTTGATATCCATGAGGCTTTCTGCGGGATATTCACACTTGAATTCGCTTTCTATTTCTCGAGCGACCTCCATGCCCATGAGAGAGTCGATGCCCAGATCAGCTGGTGTTGACTCATCTTTGATCTCGCCTGGCTCCAAACCACACATGGTACCAAGCAGGCTCCGGCACTTGGCAGCGACATCAGAGACTTTGCTCACCTTTTCCTTCTTAGGCTTCTTTTCCTTGACAGTTTTAGCAGCCTTGATAGGTTTGCTGGTCAATGTAACTGCTGTTGCTGCCCCAGATGCCACAGCAGCTTTGGTAGCAGGGCCTGTAGTCGAAGGGGCACCTTGTTTGAGAAAGGCGGGAGAGGTGAGTCTGGCCAAGACCTTGCTCATTGACAGCTTGGGGACTTTGTGATAGTTTATTCCCAGAATCGCCTCCGTCAGCTGGCCTGAAGCAGCATCGAATATGAAGATGTCTGTGACATACGCCTTTTCGGAGGCGCGATGATGAGACGCAAAGACATCCCATACTTTTGGCCTGGCATCTGTCTTTCCAGAGGCAGCGTCGGGGGATCTCATCCATTGGTCGAAGCCGTTGGCAATGAACATGTCAGCCGGATCAGAATCAGTCATACAGTTGACCCAGATACCGCCAACTTGGCTGAAGCAGTCGGAAAGGTGCGTGTCGAGCCAAGTCTTTCCAGCGTGTCCCATAGTTACGCGACCAGCAGACTCGTTGCCGCGACCCACGAGTTTCTTTACGCCACGGTATTGCTCACCATAGTCTACCACGCTGGAGAAGGCAGTGTAGATATTACGGCCCTGGATAATGTCATCTGCTTCATCAGTCTCCAACACGCGCTTGCAGCGCTCGTGAGGCACAAGACGCTGGAGCCTGGCGAACTCATCCCTGTAATTGGGATCTTGCTTGGAACGCCAGGTAATCTTTCCAGTGACATGCAGGATAGTACCCCCTGACTTTTCCAGATGGCTACTGACTATCTTCCAATCCCAAACCCGGCCATCGGCATCAGCAGCTTCAAAGTCGAGATGGACAACTCTAGAGGGATCAATGCAGATAGGAGCCTGGTTGTCGACTCGTTGAATCTGAGGAAGAAATCCCGAGGTGAAAAGATCAGGCCGGATGCTACTGAGAGCTTCAACGGCCATGTCGACCTCGAGGGTTGCAGGGCAGATCGGCGCAGTGCCGGCAATGGTATGTCCAGAAACAAATTCTTGATATTCGGGGACTCCAGTATTGATCACGAAGCGGGCCACCTTTTGTTTCTTATCTTGATAGCCCATAAATGTCCAAAGTCCCTTGGGCAGTTCAATGGTCTTCGCTTGGGGAACGGCGGCAACGCCTTCAATCGCCTTGGATGGAATCTTCATTTCGAGCCAGTGCTTTGACTTCTCGAACTGGTACGGAGGCAAGAGGATGGTGTCATACTCTCGAGTTTGCACAGAGTGGTGTCCCCAGAACTGAACGGGAACGCCTTCCTTCCAGAGGCTTGCAGCGGCATCCACCAGACTCTGGACAGCATTGTCACTGGTAAGGTTCATGGCCTGGAAATGAGACTCCGAGGGGGCTCCAAGAGCTCGGCTGGCCATGATAGTTATGGTTGAGCTAGAGCCCGCCTCAAGATAGATGCAAGATGGGAACTCTTTCGCAAGGCGCTGCACCGCGTGGTTGAAGTACACCGGGAACCTCATATGCTCCGCGGTAAATTTGGCAGTTGGGGTACTAGTCGTCTTCGCCTCAGTGGCCCTCTCCATGGGAGTGTGAGGCTCCTTGAATGTGAGGTCCTCGCCAACCCGTTCCAGGTTTTCAACAAGGGGCTCAACAAGGGCCGAGTGGAACGCATTGGTGACATTGAGTCTCTTTGTCCGCATAGCGGCAAAAGTCGTGTTCCGAGACTGAATCTCCTGAATCCTGTCCATAGTCTTGGACGATCCGGCGAGTGTAAAGCTACGGGGTCCATTGAAACATGCTATACAGGCCGTATCGATGGCCTCGCAGCCCTTGTTAGCCTCGTCTAGTAGGCTAGTAACAACGTCAAGGTCGGCCTCAACGGCCATCATAGCGCCCGAGTCTTGGCCCCAAGTGTCCCGCACAATACGTGCACGGCCAGCAACAAGTTTCACGGTGTCTTGGAGAGACAGAACTCCAGAAATGCAGAGAGCAGTGATCTCTCCGAAGCTATGGCCAACCACTGCAGCAACCTCGACGCCGCAGTCGATCCAGCACTTGGCACAGGAATACTGCATGGCGAAAAGCATTGTTTGCAGCTTGACAGTGTCCTGGATAGGGCTGCGCTGAAAGATCTCGGGGTAGATGCCATCCAAGCCGATGGACTTGAGGGCAGAGTTGCATTGATCCAAATATGTGCGAAGGAGTTTCACGTTGTCATACAGCTGCCGATCGAGTCCGACAAAGGTAGAGACTTGGCCTCCAAAGCACAAGACGACCGGTCTCGCTGGCTTTTTTTGGCTGATGGAGAGGCTCGACTGGCCGCTGTTGAGTTCAAAAAGGGTATTCTCAAGCTCAGTAGTGGAGCCGCAAGTGAAGATGACTTTGTGCGGCAGAGATCGGTTCGACTGTCGAGAGACATTAAAAGAGAGCTGAGAGACAGCAGGCGTAGCTTTTCCAGGAGTCGTTTTACATTTTAGGAGACCGAGAAGCTTGCCAGCGTATTGTCGAATGCTCTTTTCATCATAACCACTGAGCCAAAACGGATGCTTGATATTGGCGGCGTGAATGGGAGCGGCACTGCTGAGCTGGCCCTGAACTGGTAGGCTTTGCGTGACAACCATGGACGCATTAGATCCAGAGGCGCCGTAGTTGTTGATGAGAGCGGCTCGGAACTCATTCTTCCAAGGCTTCAGGCTGGTTGGCACCTCAATCATGTCTGACGGAGAAGCATGAATAAGAGGGTTCATCGACTGGAAGCTTGCTTGTGGAGGGACATAACCCTCCTGGATCATGAGAAGAACTTTGATCAGTGATAGAACGCCAGATACCGACTCAGTGTGGCCGATCAATCCCTTGATGGAGCTCATATAGAGAGGCGCCGATCGAATAGGCCCTCCGAAGACTTTCTTGATGCTTTCGTATTCTGCAGGATCACCCACCGGGGTTCCAGTTCCGTGTGCTTCCACGACAGTCACCTGTGCTGGCTCGAGTCCGGCGCGGTTCATGGCAGTTTGAAAGACATTGGATAGGGATGGTGAATTTGGCACGAAAATGGGTGTGCAGTTTTGGTTCTGGTTGACGGCGGTCGCTGCTAGGCAGCCAATAATCTGATCACCATCTGCGATGGCCAGAGACATCTTCTTCAGAAACACAGCAGCGATACCTTCGCCTCGGCAATAGCCATCAGCCTTGGAGTCAAAAGGCTTACAGGAACCCGTTGGGCTAAGGAAGGTCGCTCCAGCCAAGTTTTGGAACCACAAGGGGTTCGTCATGATATTGGTACCACCGGCGAGGGCGCTGGTACATTCGCCGCTGAGGATGGCCTGACAAGCCAAGTGAATGGAGACAGCAGAAGCCGAGCATGCGGTATCAAGAGTCATGGCGGGTCCTTCCCAGCCGAAGTAGTGGCTGACCTTGCCTGCGATGAAACTTCGTAGATTTCCCGTTGCCGAGAACGCGTTCGGGGCATAGCAGGCAACGTTGTTCTCGTAGTCGGTTGAACAGACTCCGATATAACAACCAACCGACTTATCAAGTTGCCCCTTGTTGAAGTAGCCAGACTGTTCGACGGCTTGGTAGGCCACTTGCATCAACAACCGCTGCTGGGGATCCGACGAAGATACCTCTCTGGGGCTTTTCTTAAAGAACTTGTGGTCGAAAGCATCAGGATCGCGAATGAAGTTTCCAAACCATTTTCGCTTGGGATCTACGTCTCTCCATTGAGTTTGGAAATTGACACGATCAGGGGTAACCTCGACGTGCTGTGACTCCCCCTTGCAGAGGATGTCCCAGAGCTCCGCAACATCATCGGCACCAGCAGTCTTGCAGGCCATACCAACAACCGCAATACTGTCCTGTGATATTACCTGCTGGTGTTTGCCCAAAATCGGCGAGACTGAGGAAACGAGAGTGGTGTCGGCGACATGATTCAGCCGTTGGCCGAGCTTGCGAGCAATGGACGGCGGTACGAACCGTTCCGGTCCAAATGAGACAAGAGACAGTGACTGCGGGTCGGAGAAGCTGTTGTACATCTTTGATAACGCAGCATACCAGTGGCAGTGATCGACAAGGATTGCCCTAAGAGCGATCTCATGCAACTTGCCCTCCTTAATGCATCCAACATCTGAGTTTGAACGTATAGGAACAGCAATTTGAGAAGCGCTGGGGAACTGGAAAGCCAGATGAGACGCGCAGAACTCAATGGCAGAGTCAAAGTCGGCAGCATGGCACGAGTGATGGAACCGCCCGCGGAGACCAACGAGCATGGCCGTAACCCCAGCCTCCCGAAGCTTTTGTTGCAATGCAGCAGCAGTGCTCTCGGCGGTGGTGATTGTTGCTCTGCGCTCATCGTATGAGACAGAGATGTAAGCCTTGAAGCGATCTAAATCAGTACAAGATGAGAAATAGTTGTTGATTTTCTGGTCTCACCTCTGGAAAGAGATCTAATAATTCTTTGATCTTGTTGCCTGTTTCAGGGGTGTTCCATGAGACGGAAAAAAGTTCAGATGGACCATAGACGCTTCCAGGAGCCTCTTGAGCGTCAACGATGGCTCCAACAAGCATGGCAAGGCGAATTGCTGCAGCACCATATTGATGAAGCTCGGAGCGGTTTGACGAGCTGGCAATAGCAAAAGCGCTCAGAAGGCCTGTACAGAAGCCAAGCGTTTCAATGTGACGCTGAGCAAAAGAGGCAAAGATATCTTCAGCATCGCCACCTGTTGATGAGATCTGTTGCTCAACATATCTCACGTAGTGTGCCAGATGTGTAAGGACCACGATGGGGGTTAGGATGACGTTGGGAAGTTGAATAAGAGCGGGCGTGATTGTACCGGTTTTGAAGAACGCGTTGAGCTCTTGAAGCTGGTCGCCGCCGCCGAGAGCGGCAAGAGCAGGAAATTTACTGATAAGCGTTTTCCAGTAACCTGGAAGCTCGCTAATTGTATCAAGCCATACGCTACTGTGACTCTCGACCACTAGGCTCCTCAGCTGCTTGAGGGCCTCTGAGTCAAAGGAAAGGCACTGTGGCCCAAATAGAAGAACAGTGGCGGCGTTACTAGTCGACATGTTTGAATAGAGCCACTAAGGGTTCACTCCTGTTGAAGAAGATGTAGGTGATTATTGGCGCTCAATTTGGAGTGGGTAAGGCTGCCTTGATATGTTTTACATCCGGATATCGTCAAGATTTACTCAATGTTGACTATCTGGATACCCGGCATGTTCTTCAGCCAGGCAGGCAGACGTATGGGTGAGACAATTGAGCGCAATCCATCTCCAGGATGAGCAAAACCCGAAATTGCAAGAGGATTGTGCACGTAGGCTGAAACAATCTGCATGTGAATACTGGTCTGGGGAGTCTATGCTCCGTATTTTGATATCCGCTTGAGCTACTTCTCATGCCACTCAATTAAGCTTACAACAAATGTCACAGTATTACTTTGATAACCGAATATGCCACGTCACAACTGATATCTCACGTTATTAGCAGATCAGAACCTTGATTATCCACGTGTAGAAGTGGTATCTTTGACTAGGGCTCGGATTATACTTGGATTCACTTACAAATTTAATTCTAGTTGCAGGCGTTGTAACTTCCCAATTGTCATTTATTATGTTGTATAAGAATTTTCTATGGAAATGTAATTTTCAATTGCTTACCTAGATCCACAGCTAAGGTCAAGGCCCGCAGCTAAAGTCGAAGTATCAAGAGCCTGCGAGGTCATACCGCAACTCGACTTAGCTGTGGGCTTTGTGCGACGAGATCCCAGATATCTGGGTTCATGTTTCCTATTATAGAATAGTCTATATGCCTAAACAAGGAACTTATACTACTTGCGAAGGAATGTGAGCCTCGCCATCGCCTACCTAGTCAAGCTGACTAGTTATACACCCGATTGTATAGATATGCCGACAATCCGCGCTGGTTGGGCTGTAGCTCTTTGCGTATCAGTAGACGGACCCTTGCCTAGTACGCGACATGTTCTCGTATAAGCCAGGCTTATTGCTCCTAGTGCAGTACAGGTTTATGACCACTACTGGCATACCCGTACGGTATCCGCCCAGGTGCAAAAGACGGGCGACAGGGACATACTAGGGCGTGCCTGATAAAGCATACGTATTGACCATAAGGATCGGCAAGTAAATCCCATCAGCAATGGGCTAGATGTGGTGTTATGCAACCCTTAAGCGTCTAAACCCTATGGCTCCTACAGGATCCATTTCATATGTTAGCCGCAGCCCGCTTACTAGTTACCTTAGCTTCATCGTCTGATAATTGCATAAACACACACGTAGTAGTAGCCAGGAGCTTGCTAGGTTGCATCTGGTATTATTGAAAGAAGAAAAAGGCTTGCTGCATTTGGGAAATGCAGGTAGCTTAAGGCGCTCAGATCTGACGTCGACTTTGCTACTTTCACCGAGACAAGGCTAGCATCTCTGCACCTCTCCACTACGGATAATTGTTTAGCGGCCCTGCTCAAACTTCGGATCTATAGATTAGCCGTACTAGGATTACGATTGTAATGATTTGCTGGAGGCACACCTCCCCCCTTGTTAAGTTGACGTTGGATTTTTACACTCCTACTAAGTTACTGGGTCCTTATTTCCAAACTACAGTTTTTATAGTTGCCTAACAGAAACGAATTGACACAACTGGAAACTTAAAAAATTTCTTTTTAGGAATATCACCTCTTTTACAGTTTATTCTTCAACTTGGATATTATATAGTAAAGTTTTAGTGTGTATGTAGAGGATTTATATGACTTTGCGCGTTATTGACACTGGTTAATCCGCGAAACAAATCCAACTCTGCTTTATCTAGAATATTTATGTAACTTTGCTGTGCGTTACTGACACTGGTCAATCGGCGTAGTATGTCCAATAAACCCTGTAGAAGATCGGCAGCCATAGGATTCGCCCTGTTTGTGCATAGAAATCTGACAGTGAGACATAAGGGAATCGGCGTAAAAGGGTGAATCTGGGCTTAAACGTCAGTATACAACCGTTTTGCAATTCAGAAGAGGCAGTGATCATTCTTTACCTTGCTGACGGGAAAGTCTATGAGTGAATGGGAAAGTTCTACAATACGCTGTGCAGCACCAATCGCCAGTTGCTGACGTTCGTTTTCCAGGGGATTCTCAGAGCTCGGGCTCCCACATTGCCAAGCTAATGATTGAGCCTCACTGCAAAGATAGATGATTGATGCTTGAGCCAAGAGGTTGGAAAATAGCAATGACAGGTCGGATGAGTTCTTTTGACTAGGGTAGTCCTCTTCCAGAGTCTGTAGGCGCAGACTCAGGGTATTGCACAGCCATTTCTGCCGCTCAACGTGGTCACCATCTTGATGAACGGATTGAAGATGATTATTGCTTCTCGGTGAATGAAAAGATGCCCGCGCGCACAGGGCTGTAAGCATTATGCATTCGTTAAATGGCGATTTTACCGTCTCGCTCCGCTTGGTGAGTAAGTCGTGAAGAAAGCCGGTCTCGGTCAGTTGACCATTCTGAAACTCGTGGTCTGGTACGGGTAGACGGGTTGTAATCTAAAATCTAAATTTAGAATGAAGCTTGGATGTAATGGGTTACATAAAGGTATGGGCAAACGTTCTAGGAGCATCGCTAGCTTACCATGTGCTCATTTACTACCAGAGGTAGATTGCTGTGCATGCTAAGAAGAACTTCAAGCGTAAAAGCCATCCAGAACACTCGGCGTCTTTCTTCTATCGTAATAAAGTCTCTTTCGTTTATAGAAGGCAGATTATCTAGAACGTCAACTTTATGCAATCCCATTAACTGTGCAAGCCGGAATGTGTGAGCCGCACTGAGACATGCCTCATAGTGTTCCATCCTGATGAACTCGAAAGTGGTTATCAAGACCCACGCTTGGACTAGTTCAACATCAACTGCAAGATCCTGCCCGCCAGGGATCTTTATCGGGGCTGTAGTAGCAAGAAGCCTCTTTACTTCTGGGTAGAATGTGTGCTGCAGGTGATGAAAGTGTGCTGAAACGAGCGATGCTGCTGCCCAGACGGCATGTTGAAGGCAGGTTCGCGACCTCGTCTTTTCAGAGAGCCTTGACCATGAAAGATACCTGCGTTGGTGCAGTATGGGAACGGCGACATGTATTCTGTCAAAGTATAACTGGTCTCTTTTTCCTGAAGTTAGTGGACCTAGCAACTACATAATCACCGCCAAGGAGAGATTTGGGGTTTCATACAGCTCGTCTTGCATAAGATCAGTGATTTGTAGGCTGCAACTCCTACCGCATTCCGATATGGATATCGCGGGTGTGTGATCTGATGGAAGGGTCATTGACGTTGATGCCATGTTGATACCAGAATAGGTGCTGAGAGATGTGTCCAGCTCCGATGCTAGAGGAGTTGATTGCATTGTTAGAAGATCTTTATGTAGTCCAGAGTCGTCCAGACCGTCAAGAGTCACAGCTGGATGTGATGTCATGGTATGGAGCGTTCCGTCGCCATACTCTAGACTTTCCGACCACCCAGGATGGTGCTGTTCTTGTTCCCGAAGACGATGTTCAAGTGTTTCTGGTGCTATTAGTCTCAATGAAAGGCAACGTCAAGAGTATTACAGCGCCAGTTCATGACAATCTTCTTTGGTTGAGAGCCGGAGTCATTTACTGGCGGCTTCTTCATTGTTGGACCGAGCACAGTACGCGAGACATACCGATCTTGTTCTGCAAAGCGGTGATATAGCCCTTCTTGGGGCCACGGCGTGCACGGTTACGGTCGATGTTGCATTCTATGCCGGCATTCTTGCAGGTGGAACATTGCGGCTGTTTACCGTCGCATCGTAGCTTGCGCCGCTGGCATTCCTGGCATGCTTGACTCTGCCTCTTGCTGATAGATGTTATCGTGCTCATGGTTCCGATATAATTCCTTGATCAAAATGCAATTGAAGGAATGGCAGTAGAACAAAGACTAATAATAAGCAGATGCTAGTGCCAAAATACAATACAGGTGAATACTAGGAGCAAAAGCTAAATACTACTAGGTGCCATGTTTCCTCGTAAAATCCCTACTTAATGGCACAAAGTACCTACCTCTTTGAATGACATATACATGTATTATTTTGGGATAGGAAAGGCGAGTTTGAATGCCTAGGGTCCTACAGTACGAGGCCTGCAGCCAGAGTCGAGTTGCAGTTTAAACACGCCAACTCGGCTTTAGCTGTGGATCTTGGTAAGCAATCACGTATTTGTTGGCAACGATGTAGAAAATTGTTATCAACAAGTAACAAACGCTATCTGTTTCTCTACGAGGTCCGCAGCTAGAGTCCAGTCTAGGAAGCTAAACAACTCGATGTTGGCTGCGGCCCGCAGCCTGCGGGTATTTACAGGGTTATACACGTACTCACGGTAGAGCCCACCCCCTTGGTCGAGCCTACATCCCATTAGGCATACAGTATTTGTCTTCCCTTTTCTGAAGCCTTATCTCATTATCTAGTTGTGGCAATACAACCCCTGTCACCCTCGCGCCGCTGCAATGCATAATGAGGGGAAAGGAGAAAACGAACTTACACACAAGATAACCTAGAGCTGTCTACTAAATGAGATTTACTCTCCTCAAGACCAGATAGAAAAACACTACTATTGGACGAATAGAATAAAACGCACAGCAAAATACATATTGTAGAACCACGTATTTGATAGAAAATTAAACTTAATGAACATTTCTTTATAAAACGGCCTCTGTTTAAGAAGATTACTTGGGTAGACCAACTCCTAGATTAGTCCACTGCTTTATTTCATTTGCTCTTGGTCAAGGATATTTCCCTTCCCTGGTCCATAGCCTATTCATTATCAACACGTAGAGTACATGTACCTGCTGTAGGTGTGGCAATACAGCCCCTGTCGCATCGGGATCGTGATCACCTACGGCTCTCGGGCATAGAATATGCCTCAGTTTGGCTTAGCAAACGGAATGTACACGCACTTGTTGGGGGCTTGGCTTGGCAACCAACAAGGGCACTCCATGTAACATCGCCGATTTGATGTTACGATTGCTATGCATAGATACACCGTCAGTGCCTGACATGCAGCCCTGCAAATACCTATAGTAGAGTGCTCGTATTGTACCAAGTGCTGGGGAGGGCATGAAGCACCTCAGCCTCGTACACGTAGGACACCTACTCTGATAGGCAAATGAAGGTCGCAGTGCGTCAAAGGAATGGCAGCGTCGCATTCAGAGCATATCAATGATGTAGTATTGAAGGAATACCCCATCCCCATGTGCTTTTGGCAATGGCACAAGAACTGCCCCATCTGGAGATACCAGACGTCCGAGCCGTATCGCCAGGGAATCCTCTTTTTTTTTTTATCCCCGCGTAGTCTTTGAATCATGAGAGCCGTGAATATATGTAGATAGGTCTATCTCGGCTATGTTCCCGCAGGATCCCAAAGAGCCGCAGTCTAACAGACCACACTCGTCTCACTCGTCTCACTCGCCCACTTCTCGCAACCATGGCTCCCAGCAATATCGCCGCTTGGCAAACCGCTCCCAAGGCACCCAAGTTCGAGGTCAAGGAGGCCCCGTATACAGCTCCTGTTGCTTCTGAGATTGTCATCAAGAATGGAGCTGTGGCCATCAACATCGTGGACTGGGCTCTTCAGGCCATGGGCCCGGATCTCTTCAACTGGATCACCTACCCCCAGGTGCTGGGCAACGACATGGCCGGCGAAGTTGTCGAGGTAGGCCCTGGCGTGACCAGGTTCAAGCCCGGCGACCGCGTTGTTGCCCATGCCATCAACCTGATGAACAACAAGGCCTCTGAAGGTGCCTTTCAACTGTACTCCGTCGTGCCCGACTTCATGGCCGCCCCGATCCCTGACTCCATCTCCTACGAGGCCGCCAGCGTGCTGCCTCTTGGCATCTCCACCGCTGCCTGCGGTCTCTACCAGAAGAACCACCTTGCCTTGGGGCTCCCTACTGAGCCTGCGGCTCCCTCCACTGGTAAGACTCTGCTGGTCTGGGGCGGTGCTTCGAGCGTCGCCTGCATGGCTGTGCAGCTCGCCCGAGCCTCGGGCTACGATGTCATTGCCGTTGCATCCACCAAAAACTTTGATCTGCTCAAGAAGCTTGGCGCCAGCCAGGTCTTTGACTATCACGACGCAGATGTCGTCCCTCAACTCATCGCGGCCTTCGACGGCAAGACGTCTGCCGGCGCACTTTCTGTTGCCAACGGCTCCCTGGCTCAGACTGCGGAAGTTATCTCAAAGGTATCGGGCAGCAAGTTTGTCTCCGCGGCCAATCCAATTACGGAGACTCTTCCCGCAGGAATTGAGTCCAAGTTCATCTTTGGTGGTGATCTGCGAAACAATGAGATTGGCCCTGCCATATACGCCCAGTTCTTGGGCAAAGCATTGGCTGCAGGAACTTTCGTGTGCCAACCCGAAGCGCATGTTGTAGGCAAGGGATTGGAGGCTATTCAAGAAGCTTGTGACCTTGCTAAAGCAGGTAACTCTGCTCGTAAGCTTGTCGTGTCGCTCTAACTACTGACTCTATGAATATCTAAATAGATTTTCAATTTGAGCTTGGCGCTACAATCTTGATATCAATCTTCACTATCAACTATAAATATACGAGTATCGTGACATAGATCTGTACGAGTGCATGTTGAAACCCTCGGAGACTATTATATATAAACAGTAACCACATGTATCCGGTTTTGTCCGAAATGCCTGGATTTTGCCTAGCTCATATACGTGAGAGGGATGGTAAGACTATTCTGACACCGGCAAGAGTTGACGTAGTGGCCTGCACTGCTTTAAAGACGGCCTCTATTCTCTGGCTTTCCGAAACGGTCCCCAGATCAATCTTCGTGACCTTTCTTCAACAACGCACGACCCCACCACTCAGCTTGTCTCTCGAGCCTCAATCAAACATGTTCCCGTCTTGGACTGAAGTCACACCCGGCCTATGGCGTAAAGAACTAGAAGGAGCTGAAAAGGTCTACCGCGATATGTCGATGGCCTTTCAGGCATCCGGAAGGGAGCAATGGCGTCTCTATTGTCAATGCGAAGTTCGCTTAAAAGAGGGGTTTGCCGATTTTGATTTGCCAACAGCTCTTGAAACCTCTTGGAAACGGCTGAGATTTGAGTTTCCCGCTCTCAGCGTTGTCCCGGAAGGCTCTGGCAAGGTTTATATGGCTCCGCAGAGCATGCAAGACGTCGACGACTGGGCGTGCAAGACGTTCATCGTAGAACACTATCAGAGCCCGGAAAGCATCATTCGAGCCGCAGCTGGCCCATATGATTTACCAAGACTGTACTATTTCCCCAAGTCTTCCAAGGTACTGTTCTTGTCCTCTCACTGGCGCATCGACGGCCTCGGGACTTGCATGCTACTCGACCGGCTCTTCGAAATCGTCGCCATGTACCAGCCCTCGCATATTGACTCATCATTCGACTTGGAGAACGAGTGGAAGAATCTGTCCCCTAGTCTGGAAGACGCCTGCGGGTCTCTTGAGCCCGCCAAATGCTCTCCAGACATGGATCGTTATGTTCGTGATGCTATGGAGACTCACCATCGAGTTGCTGTGCAGGGTATCGGCCTCCCTTACAAGGGATCTGCGGAAACCGCACCAATGGACTCCTACAGGCAGGCTCTCACCCTTTCTCAGGCATCAACAAAAGCCCTTGTCGCCGCCTGCAAAGCTCGTGGCGTAAGCGTGACGGCTGCTCTTCATGCGGCGCTTTCTGAGACAGCATTTTCTCTAGCTCTTCCGGAAGATGTAATCAAGGATTATTCTACTGTTCTATCCGCAAACCTCCGCGACTACTTGCCTCAACCCTACAACGGGAGAACACATGCCTGTGCAACCTACGTTACTGGGCTTACTCCTGTGGTACGGAGGGAGAGCAATTTCATGGAGAGGGCTTCCGAACTGACGCACTACTACAAGAATTGGTACAGCGACATGTTGGTGAAGACGCTTCGGCTGAGGTATTTGTACCATGGGCAGAAATTGTTTGCAAAGGCCCCAACTGTGGCCAACCAAGCCACGAATACCAAGCTACCCAGTGGCATAACGCTGAGCAGCTTGGGTGTCATTGATAAGCATCTGCGAGGAAAGTACGCTGGCCCTGGCGGAGAGGTGGTGGTTCACATAGCTGGGTTTCAGTTCGGAGTCAGCCTTGTAACTCGCCAAATGATCTTATACCCATGGACTTTCAAGGGACAGCTCTCGTTGTCGATCAACTACAACGAAGCCTACTACGAGGAGGAGAGGGCCGTAGATGTTTTGCGCAAGATTGTCACTGTTCTCGAAGGAAACATGGGCTTGAAGTTGGACATTGTAATTCTCCGCTAGGTACATTCGGTACCTGCCTATTGCGGCGTTTCTTGGCAATTTGCCGTTCATAAATCGCTACGCGTACATGTTCCCACTTCAATGTAACCGTTACCTATGATACACACCCTCCGTGTGCGCGTAGCAGATAGCCTTAGTCGGCCCAATAAAAATAAGGTTGAGGCAGTTGCAGTACTCAGTTGGTCGATCCCATTTCATGGGCCTAGATTACATCCTGGCTTACAAGGTTTCAAAAAGGTTGACTCACCGCTCTCTACAACTAGAAGAAGTGCTTGGATGTAAGCCAAATTGCAGGTTAATGCTATACATGTACAGTAGCATAATAATATAGTGCTATGTTTTAATGCAATCGCGCTGTATTATACCTAATAAGAAGAAACACACTCAAGGTTACTTTGTCCAATATCCCGGCTGTTGTAGGTATTGTCTAAGCCAGTACGGATATCTGATAAGCCGTCCATAGACTTATTTTAACCCGGCCTTTTCTTATGTCGGACAAACTTCACTATTGGAAACACACCATCTCATTGAGATCTGTGTTCTTTCCTGTTTGTCTCTTGTTATCCGTTTCTGACCCTGCACCAATTATCAAGCAATGGCTTGGGCGGCAATTTCTAAAGGCCACTTCCAACGGCGAGCTGGAGAAAATGAGCTGATGATCAAATTGATGGGCGATACTGGGAAGGCTTTGGAGAGAGAACATTGGTCTGTAACCTCTCAGGCCTCTTTCAAACTGTTAGGGTCCCTGCAAGAGACGGATATTGTTACGAGACTTAGGCACGCATGGATGTCTTTGCGATTCCAACATCCAGGTATTGCTACCGTTTTCAATGGCGAGTTGCTTGAATATGTTGTTCCAGACAGGCAAGCCCTTCAGAAGTGGGCCAGCGAGACGTTTATGCTTGTCAAAGACGATGGCAAAACCGCCGCAGGGGATGTCATCGCCAGGCTTTCTCCAACCCCACAGGCAACGATGCATTACCTTGAAGGCCACGACACCGTCATCCTACACACAGCTCACTGGCGCACCGATGGATACGGTGCTCTGCAGCTCATAAATGACTTTCTGCAGTTGGCTGTCAAACACAATGACACTAAAGACCCTGGCAGCCTGACATGGGGGGAAGAAGTCTCCCGACTGCCCGTGAGCGTTGAAGAGGCCCTCCTGGTCCCTCCCTCTCCAGCGCCCGCAGCGGTTGTGACGGAAGCCAGGCGATGTTTTGCCACCACGGCACTGGCCCTAGGCGCCGTCGGGCTTCCATATCTTGGCGGTGCAACCACCAAAGCCCGGGGAACGCGAGGTGAGACGATTCGCCTATCGCGTGCGGAGACGGAGGCCATCATCTTGGGATGCAAAGCCCGGGGTCTTAGCTTTGAGGCAGCACTTCATGCATCCATTGCGGCAGTTGCTTTTAAAGCAGCGTCATCCGGAGACACCCAGGCCGTCGCAGGGGAAGCCCACAGCCGACGATACACAAGTACCATCAGGAGGAGTTTGCGAGAAGCGGTGTCAGAGGTGAGCGGCACCCCGGCCTCTTTTGCAGCACTCTACACTTCTGGGTGGTTTGTCGCTGTGGAGGAGGGGCGGCCGTGGGGCGAGTATGCGGCCGTGTTTGAAAGGGAATACGCTTCCTCGCTGTCGAAGGAATTCCTTCTTGCTCGCAGGGCGTATGCCAATCTTGTATTAGAGCGCCTACGGAATCCACCTCAGCCTTCATCCACTACTGGGGGTGGGGTGTTGCCTAGTGGCATCGATATCTCCAGCGTTGGAGATGCAGCGGTTTTGGTGGACCCTATCCACCGTAACCCCGGTCCGGGACTAGAGAAGCAGGGGAGGCAGGGATATGAGGATGACATCGAGGATACACGTGGACTTGAAGTGCTTCGTGTCAGCGTTGGAGTAGAGACGTTAACACGCCATACGTACTGCTTCGTATGGATATTCAGGGATCGTTTGGAGCTGAATCTTGTTTATAATGAGGCTTTTTACGAGTCACATACGATACAGGGACTTCTCACGCAGATCAAGAAAGTTCTTGTAGATCAGTCTTCCCAGAAGATGGAATAAGTATCAGCCGAGATACTAGTAAGGAGCTGCCTATTCAAGATATCACAAAGATGTGTTAGTCGTAACATAGCAAGCTAAACTGTAAAGGTATTACATCAAAGTTGCTAGCAATTATTACTTCTAGCATTGGTGCATCAGTACCTACTACAAGTATGTCTTTGGCAGTGCATGGGATCCTGGGCCTGGCCACATAAGCTGCAGTATGTATATAGCGAGGTTACACTAGGTTTTCAAAGGCAGAGTCAGGATTCGGAAAATAAAAAGTCACTAAATAAAAGAGGAAATGGAAGAGTCAGAATGTAAGAGATATAGCTTAAAGGCACTCTTTCCCCCCTGAGATCGTTACAGCTGTTGTTGCTACTCAGCCAGTCTAACCAGCAATAACTTCGTACTGCTTAATACGTCAACTAAAACTTTCGCTTCTTCTACCTCAATACGCAGAGAAAATGCCACCACCGAGAGGCACACCAGGAAATATTCTGGAAGGTCCCGGTATGTGAATTAATGCCTGAAACGCTAACAGAATTTCCACAATATTTGTAGACTTTTGAATATGTAGTACTTGATGCCGTGGGTAATGTGGTATTCTCTAACTCGATACGGAAATTTTGTAGGCGACTACGATGTGACCGGCACTGTTCATTGCGACTCCTATGAGAGCATCGATCCTTCTAATTTCGATTTTTCTAGCAAAGCCGTGTTTGTGTCTGGCGGATCTCGTGGCTTGGGCAAAGCCATAGTGTTGGGGTTCGCTGCGGCAGGCGCTTCATTCATCTTTGCTGCTGCCCGCGGTGACATGACCGTGCTGGCTGATGAAGCACTGGCAACAGCTCTTGCCCACGGACGCCCAGCTCCTCATTTCCAGGCACTTCACCTTGATGTTAGAGACGAGGCCACTGTGGTGGCGGCAGCAGAAGTTATCAGGAAGCAGGTTGGCCGCCTCGATGTCGTTATCAACAATGCGGGCGTGCTAGGCAACTTTGGTAAAGTTGCTGACTCTAACCCACAGCAGTGGTGGAATGTCTTGGAAGTTAATTTGCGCGGCCCTTACCTTGTGGCGAGAGCGATGTTGCCGCTGCTCCTCGAGGCGGATCATTCCTACATGATTAATGTTGCCAGCGTTGGGGCTCATTTGGTCAACCCTATGCTCAGCGCGTATCAGACGTCGAAGCTGGGCTTAGTACGTCTATCACAATTGCTAAACCGAGAGTATTCGGAAAGTGGTGTGACGGTATTTTCCATACATCCCGGAAACGTTCCAACCGAGATTATGGGACCGGGAGAGCTAGACGACTTTCATAAATCTAGTGAGTGGTCCCTACTTATGTTATGCCTTGTGTACTCTTTCATCCCGCAAATTGACTCTACGACAATCATCAAATACCCTTTTTGCCTATTAAGAGATGTAAAACTTTCTTCTTGACATCGAATACTGTGTATTGGCTGTAATTCATTTTCTGACCGACAATGATTTTATCTTCCTAGTTTACACTGATAGCCCCAATCTGAGCGCTCATTCGCTTGTCTATCTTACCGCGGAGCATCGCCCTTGGCTCGGTGGACGGTACATTAACTGCACTTGGGATTTGCCAGAGCTGATGGCGAAGAAGGCGGATATTGTGGATGGAGATAAATTAAAAATCAAGTTTGATTTCTAATTAGCCAAAAAGCCAAGTAGTTCTGCAGCAGCAAAAGTTTATCACACTGGCTGAATGTAAGATAGTTTGAACACTGTTAGCTTGCTAGCAAACGAGAAGTATACATGTACCTAGTATTCTGGACTGCCTAATCAGGCAACAGGCCCAATTAGGCAAGCCTTAGTTGCTATGCAGCTGATCAACACACATGTCAACAAGACGGAATCTTCCTTATCAAAACTAGGCTGAAATTAATAATGATTTAAAGATAGAGTTCAATTGATGAGCTATTTATACACGTGTTAAAACTTTTATCTATGTTTCTATTTTACCCCCTGCTTTTTTACCAAGTGGTAGATACCCTCAGACATAAGCACTAGACGTAAATCCAGGTATGTTATAAAACGTCGTATTCTCCAATGGCACCACTTTCTGCTGCTACTCGGCATATCTCAGTGACAACTTTTCGAACATCGGCAGTTTTGATCGGCATCCTATGAGCCCCTCCCCACTCGACGACAGTTGCGCTCTCTTCCGTGCAAAAGTGCCCCAGCAGATCCTGGTGCAGCAGCAGCCCCGGGTCACTCAGACCATGGACATGTATTGTGGGTAGCCGCAGCAGATGGTCGTCGTCCTCAATCACGGCGAGCTTACCGACGACATCCCGATCCCAGTAGCGTCCACTGGGGCTGACAGTGGCGTGGCTATCCTTGCTGGTGGCACGTCCCAGATCCTTGGCGGGGGGGCGCCACGCTGAACTGCTTATTTGAACCGCATCTGCCAGGTACTCTCCCACTAACTGCAGGCTATTGTCCAAAGCAACCAGGGGCGCTCTGCCGGCGAACAGGACGGCAAAACGGAACGTGGAAATTCTGGAGTGCCGGCTGAAGGTGGCTCGAGCTTGCTGCCGGAGGAGGAGGCTGGCGGCCATCTTGGCTCCCTGGCTGAAGCCGAGCAGGCCGACCCACTCGCCCGTGGCGCCAAGGGCATCGTCGCTGATCATTGCATCGGCAAGGCTAGTGTCGACGGCTTCGACAATGTCTACGCTATCTAGGCCGGGTGCGTCGCCGTCTTGGAGGCGTAGCCAGCTCTTGAAGGGACCCCATGTGCCGTAGACGGAGACAACATCAGGTCCCGGCCGAGATGGGAACGGTGCTTCCGCGAAGACGAATCTGAAGGTTGAGGACAAAGCTGCTCGCAACACTCTGCACTGAGCTGCGAATATCCGTGCGTTGGTGCCGCCGCCGTGGAGGCAAAGGATTCTGGGTAAATCCAGGCTATCTGAGGCTCCATTGTCGGCAGATGAGGTGGTGGCGAGAGCCGGGTATGGTGATGAGGACGGCATTTTTCTGAATCTGGATGGTGGCTGTTGTCCTCAGTCTATTGGTTGGTTTCTTCTCAGATAAACTCTTGCTTGGATTAATGCCTCAAAGTACCATTGCGGTGAGGCACTTCTGAGCACTTCTCAAGACAATTCATATAGAAACCCGTGAAACAGCACAGCCGCCCAAAAAAAATGATAACCTCGGGATACTTTCAATGATTAACTCGTGATAAGACCATGGGGGGTCCTGGCCTTCTACCCAACATGATAAGCCTCTCTGGCTCAGAGTCAGCTTACATTTCGCAAGGCTCTATTGAGAAACCGCGATACTGGGAAAAAGCCGCAATACGTCAGGTTTACTACCGGTATCTCGCTCTTCAATCTTGAAACTTGGTGTTTAGGAATCTCTCTTTGGGGCTTATCATCAAACGCTAGGCCGCACTGGTAAAGCGACAGGTGGCCGTGCAATCAAAGGGCCCCCGGCTCGGTCCGAAAGGATCTGAATGCAGGGTACTGAATATTACTGAAAACGGCTTCCGGCCAATCTCGAAATCCACGAGGATCTATACGATGCTTGCTTTTCATTTGATAACTTGATTCGGGCGCAACGAGACTCTTATCTCCCCGGTAGTTAGTTATGTATTTACCCCGGGTAGACCGACGTCACATTCTAGTCTAACCTAATCCCTTCACTTCAGCATAGTTGTCTAGGATTCTAATCCTTCCACTTCAGGGCGCTTTTGCTGTAATCCTTTCGGATATTATCGTACCCTGGACGCGGATAAAAGATTTATTTTTCGTAACATTGTGACTAGGCTGCTATGGCTCGTATATGATGTCCGCATACAAGGAATATTCCGGCTTCATAGTAAGCACTAGTAGCGGCAAGATGACACAGATTGATCTGCACAAGCATTTCATATCTTCCCGCATGCACTACAGCTGTTGGAAGTTTATCGCCTGGATAGCTATGGGAGGGATCCAATCGGCTGATGAATGTGATTATGTAGGGTTACATGGGCCTTCGATAATGCTGATACATACTGTAGCTACAATGTGGGTATAGATAGTGGGCGTGAAAAAGGTGGGATGACAAAAAGAAGATCTTAGATACAGTAAGTGGCCAGAATGTGGCTAGGATTGCCGCGCTATCTGTTCTGTGTCTTAGGCATGAACGATATCAGAAAAGATTGAGCACTCCTGTTAACGATTTATAATCAAAAAGAGGTTTACAATTAATTACTCGATATGTGCTGGGAATTGAGGTATGAAGGCATAAAATTAGGTGTTGAATGATATAGTAAGTAGGTATTCATGTCTCCATATCGACTTTGTCAGTTTTCAAGCCTCACCCTCTGCAGTACGCGCTGTCTGAGATGAGGCAGCCACATTTGAGGTCCGTGAATCTGCATTAGGTGCTGTCTCAGATGAAGCAGCGACGTTCGAGTTTCGTAAAGCCTGTAGAGCAGCCTCCGCCTGCGCAGCGTATCGACATCTGGCTCTAATAGCATCGCCATATCTGTAAAAGATATATGGGAATGGGACACAGGCAACAGCCATGAAGCCAGGTACTGATGAAGCCCAGTGAATGCCCAGGTTCGCATACATCTTAGTGGTGAATAAAGGGAAAATGACTGCGAAGATGCCACGCAGGACAGCACCCCCTGCCAAGACAGAAGCCGCGTAGATAGTGTAAGCATCGACGAGGTAATTCGTAATCCCCATAAACACACAAACTAGACCGAATCCAAAAGGGGCTCCCGCAGCAATGCTAGCTATCCAGTGAACGGACGAAGAGTTAGTCCAGGCGAACCAAAACAATCCAATGGGGATGAAAATGCAGCCTATAAGGCATGGCGGCAAGCGAGCCTCTGGCGGTGTCCTCGTTCCATTACTTTGATACTTTTTTGCGACGGCCACGTATCGTTTGTTGAGAAAGAATGAAAAGGCAAGGGCGGATAAATTTCCGATCAGGATGCCAATGAAGGGTAGGCCAGCAATTCCTTGGGGCCAACGGCGATCCTGCGCATAGACGATGGGATACGCAGCGAAAAGGAGGTACAATGTTCCGAAGACAATGGCCAGGTAGACAGATAAGAGCAGCACGATTGGTTCTGTAAGCAGAGCCCATGGCTTGCTGAAGACGCTCCACAGATGAGGTAAAAGACTCTTCTGCGCAGACTTGGAATCGAAGGGGGACATGTAGACTTTCCCTGTGAGCATGGAAAGCTTCAATGCCCGGCGACGTAGAAGTACAGGTGAATATGTCTCCTTGTAAAAACAGTTAGCACATGTTACGGCCACTGGATATAGTATAGACGTTGCCCATCTTGAGGCTGGCTTACCGGGACAAAAAGGGTTCCAGCAATCCAAGTGCATCCCGTCATAATAGCCAATAGCCCCATCAGCCATCGCCAGCCAACTCCAGCTCCGACAAAGCCGCCAATGATGGGCCCGAGAACAGGCCCGAGGAAAGGGGCAACAGAGAAAACAGTTAGAGCCAGACCACGTTCTTCGGCTTCAAACATGTCGGTGACGGCGCCCCCAGAGTTGGTGATTGGAGATGAGCCAAACAGGCCAGCAAAGAAGCGTAGTACCAAGATAGATGTGAGGTTCTGCGACACAGCTACGCCAACATTGAAGGCTGTAGCCATGAAGTACGTAGCAACAAAGACAATTCTGCGCCCATAGTGCTCTATTGAGCAAAGGATGTTAGCAAAGCAACTACCGTGTAGAGCCACAGAGAGTGAGGAAGAGGGCAGCGATATTCTCAAGTTTTTTTTTCTTTTGTTTAAACGTCCCGTATACATACCGGATAAAGGTGCCCAAAGAAAGGGCCCAACAGCAAATCCAAGTACGAAGAATCCAACGCCCAAGCTGTTGAGCGCAGAGCTCCCACCATATTCAGCCTGGATTTCGGTGATACCCCCTGTATAGGCACTGGAGAGAAAGGAAACACAGAGGAAAGAGAAGGCGAGGATCTGGGTCAACGACCACTTGACAACAAGTGAATAGTTCTTCGGGTCGAGCACATCATTTTCCAGCCAGCGCACAATGTACGGGTCGTCTTCGGTGCCGGAGCCATTGTAGTGGTGTTCAATAATCTCCTTGGTGAGGTTTGAGTCAGAAAAGACAATTTTCAGCCAAGACGGGCGGACTGATGGCTTCATGCTGCCTTCTTCTTTGTCGTCACTGGGAGTAGTCGTATGCACCATGACTGACGCATCAGTGCTCCCTTTTCTTTCGTCGCTGGAAGAAGCCATAGGCATCAACCCTTCAGGCAAAATGGCAGAATGGTTGTGTATATTGGCTGCAAACCTGAGACAACACTTGAATGTGGTCGCTGGAGGCTGTTTTGCCTGGCCTCTGGCTCAACCCGTATCACTGCGTGCTTGGTTGGCGTGATTTAATCTGGCAATATATTGCTTACTCTTTCTGGGCTGGCCACAGTGACAAGGGAGATAGGAGAAAATCGGCTAGTAGTAAGGAAGAGAAAGAACATCGCCAGAGATACAAACGGGATTCGACCCATTAGGTAAGACTTTGCGGGAGGAAGTGTGATTACGAATCAGGTTGCATTACAGACTTACAGGGACGTTGCTATTGTTGGAGGGTGTGTGGTTGGCCTCTTTGTGGACTTCGTATTGCGTCAAGATTGGCCGCGGATGCATGTATCGTAGGAACAAGGTGTGATAGAAAAGCGGCCGTATTCCCGGGACAGTGGGTCCAGCTGCAGATCCATCAGGCACAATCATGTTAGCATTCAAGGATGTAATACGCTACATCAGACTCGGAGACACCTAATGGCTTGTCTCCGGCGGTCAGCTTGTTTTGAAATTCCGGGAAATACTGGTTCCTATACAGGGACTTGGAAGCAGCTAGTGTTATATCACATGTATAGGATGATTTATTAGTAGAAAGCATAATTCACAAAACAATTCATTTATTTATAGCTAAAGAAGACATAAGTATAAAATTAATAAGCAATTAAAGTGGTAATAAACGCTTAAATAATCTCTAGATATAACTAACTGCAATGACCAGCTTATGAAAGTCAGCTCATCAGACTCAGCTGGCAAGGAGGTGTAATCTCGGTTATATAAAGCCCATAGATGTTGCAATCCTTCAACTGACAGTGCTACAACATCTACCGGCTCTTCTGGTTTGGTCCGCACTTATTGTTCTGCTTTCCCTGTAATAATTCTTTTTGTTCCTGTACTTGGGAGACGGTAGCCCACCATGTATATCCGGGACGCTGCCTTCGCTGCCGCGAACCTGACGGCTCTTTATGCTCCGTATTTATCCAAGAATACTGAGATCATTCTGCCGTCAGATGCTGCTTGGAACACCAGCGTCGAACAGCGGTGGACTATCTTTGCACCTCCAACTTATCTTGGCGCTATCAAGCCTGCCACAGAGCAGGATGTTGCAACAATTGTATGTCCTGGCGGTATAGTATCATCTCCCGAGCCCGCATAATTCTTATCAACCTGACTCATTAGGTCCAAATCTCCAACTCCAACGGCATCCCGTTCATGGCAACTGGTGCCGGTCATGGTGCCTCTGTGACTTTGGAGACTTTCAAAAACGGGATTGATATTGATCTCGGAAACTTCAACACAGTCACCGTAGATGAAAAGAACAGTCTTGTTACCATCGGAGGATCTGCCCAGTTCCAGCAGGTCTATGACCCTCTTTTCGCTGCCGGAAAAGAGTTCCGTAAGTGATCCTTTGTCTCTGTGTAATAAAAATCGAAACTACAACATTGCTTGAGCTACTCCGGCACCTTCATCCATACATTTTTGGAATACTTTGCTAATAGATTTTGCACTGACCAGCTACGGGAGGCGGTCCTTGTGTCGGAGTCTTAGGAGCTACTCTGGGTGGTGGCGTCACGCGTCTCATGGGCGTTCATGGGATGGTCGTCGATCTCATGCAATCAGTCAACATCGTTACTGCTGACGGAAAACTTCTGACTGCTTCCGCGACTGAGAACAGTGATCTCTTTTGGGCAGTTCGCGGTGCCGGCCACAACTTCGGCATCATCACTTCTGCTACCTTCACGGCTCCTAGCCTCCGCAATAACGGCCAATATCTTAACGCCGATTTCGCTTTCCCAGCGAGCGCCAATAGGTCATTGTTTGAGGCGGTTGAAGCTTTCAATGACAACCTCCCCGCTGAGCTGGCTTTGCAAATCACTGTTACCCCAGGCGTAAGTTTCCAGTCGACAACGCGGCGGCGGCTCTTGATACTAACTTGAAGTCCAAGCCGGGTATCACGTTCAATGCCGTTTACTTCGGCGCCAAGGCCGATGGCATGTCACTTCTTCAGCCATTCCTCGATTTGCCCAGCACAAAACAAAACATCTCTGTTGTACCATGGAATGAACTGCCCAATGTCCAGGGCTTCGGAACCGATTTCGGCACATGCAACAAAAACAGCGAGACCGACTTCTATGGCATGGGTCTCAAGAATATCAATGCTGCTACATATGGCAGCTTCTTTGACGAGTTGGCTGAGTTTTATACTCAGCATCCGACAATTTCTCCTGTCTGGGTGACCCAGAGATATTCGACCAAACAGGCTCTCACAGTTCCGGTCAATGCCACTGCTTATGCTCACCGTGAGCTCGGAGCGCACCAGTACGTATATTTTCAACCTTACAATATTACACTTTATCGCTGGGCTCTAACAAATTACTAGGTTGTTCCTTACGTCGGTCACTAACCCTACCGATGCTGCTACCCTCTCAACATTCATGAAGAATGCCCGCAATGAGTTCCAGACTACCGCAGGTACCTCTGAGTTGTCCATCTACGTCAACTACGCACATGGTGATGAAGGTCCCGCAGTCTTGTACGGAGATAATCTATCTCGACTTCAGCAGCTCAAGAAGAAGTGGGATCCTAATGGACGCTTCAACTCTTATAACCCCATTTCTTAAGAGTTGAGCCTTTGTTAGCAGTAACGACAATAGTTACTGTAGCAACATGTCGGTTTTAGCTAATGCGTAGTCTAGTCAGTTGTGGCCTGAGGCGTTTCAGTAGCTTTCGTTTCTTGTTTAGTTTATAATTAGTCAATATCCTAATATGTTACAACATTTCTCAGCGTCGGTATATTCATTTGTCGGTCAAATTACTTTTGCGCAGGCACACGCATATAAGAAGTTGAATTCCGTTCAACCTTTACTACCAGAATTCTTCCAAGATATAAATCTTAGTTACATGATACGCTCTGTATGCTTCTTGAACTTTAAATCCGATACTAGTCCTTCAAGGTCTTCTTGGGTTAAACAAGTTATTACATCAATATCTCCATCCAGATTTTTAGGAAGGAGATATACAACGCCCTTTAGCGGATCGAACCTTGGCCTCCTCACCAATGCCGGCTTCCCCAAAATCTTTCCAAATTCTTTAGAGTACACGTCAGCATGCGCCCATGACGAGCAACCTACATCAGTATTTGGGTCGTATGTTGCCATAAACGTGATGGCGCTTCTCTCTTCTGCTCGCGCTATCAGTGTTGCGAAGCTTCGAACCATCTGCGTCGTATTATATGTCTTCAAACTACGGCGTAACTCTGCGGCCACGTAGCCCAAAGGCCTAGTAGCGACTTCGCCTATAGGAAGTTTCGTGGGACACGTGTGGATCATTTGACCAATGTACTCTGGCGGGATATTCAGAGCGGTACGGCCGTCTATTGCGCGACTAAACATGCTTGGCTGATCTGGTTTAAGAGGGCCCGTGTTGTCGCTGCGGGCCAGTCGTATGAAAGAAAGGCGCTGCCACCAGAATGCGCAGAGAGCGTCATTGGTAGAGATGAATGCCACAGTCTGGTTGCTATCTGAATCTGGTGATGCAGTATATTGAGAAGCCAGCTCCTTGAGTGCTCGTAGACTACTTGCGGAGAATCTGAATGTGTGCCAATTCCAGACGGGCTGATTTGTAATCTCATTCTGACTTGGACGTGGCGGTACTCCTGAAGATAGGAGAGGGTTTGGTCGGCGGATCATGTGGCCGTGGTCCAGCAGTGGCTCCTCTGGACGAAGCAGGGGAACGAGATGTCGCCTGTCTCGATTCCCCTGTTCCAGTTCCAAAGCCGAGAACTCGTCGCCACGCATGGCTGCTGCCAACAGGTGAAGACATTGGCACATGCCACTCATATCCATTGTATTGTGTTGCGCAGCAAAGTCAAGCAACAGGCCACCACTAACAAAGTTGGCTTGGAACGAGATGACCGGTGCAGGCTTCAAGTCAGATTCCTCGTATGACTGCGGGAAAGCGACCACGGGTGCTATGAGGGACCCGTCTAGCATCGAAAATGGACCTTTGGCCTTAACAATTTCTGAAAATGATGGGCATTCATTGGAGCGGTCTCGAACTTGCAGTGAAGAATTGGGTGGTGCAAATTCTGGACAGACGGCTAGTCTGCTGCTTTTTCCGTCGTTGATAACTCGGTAGCCGAGCCATGGTAGGGTTGACTTTATCTTGAGTATACCATCCTCCAGAGAAGATACTATGAGCTCTCGATCTTTATCATCTGAAATTGAGAAGCATAGTAAAAGGTGTGTATAGCTTTTCAAAAAAGGCAGCTGGCCGAGAACATCTCGGTAACGCTCTGTATCATCCATTGTGTCTAATACCAATTCAAATGGTTCAGATTGAACCCACAAAGGACCGTGGATGAGTTACAAAGGTAATCTTAGTGCAAATAAGAGTCACTGAATTTCTAAGAGGGCTTTACAGCCTTTCCTGCACAAATGTTTCATGAGCGATGGTATTAACCAGGCGCCTCTAGATTGCCTAAATCCGAACGATGACGAGATGTCAGTACACTGAAGGAATATTGGGGCATTTTACTACCTATTTGGTCATTTATTGCCACGCCCATAAGCTCAATGGTTTTCGGGCTCCGGGATATCACTAGTATTTTCCCTAGTGACATGAAGATATCCGGCCAGGAGCCATATTCCGTTGTGCATCAATTGAGTACTTTTGTCTGGTAGTATCTTTATTAATATCCGCTCGGTTATTCCGTGGAAGCTGATTGGATAATTTCTGTGTAACAAAGACTACCCAGGTCGTAGGTAGCAAGCATGGTTGTACATCAAGGAATCCTTATACGAAGCAAGTATCTACGAATCCTCCTTCGATCCTATGGTCTAACCAATTCTCCAACATCGTGGTGGAGCGAGATACCCCGTCGCGCTAGAATGATAGCCAGCGCATTTGCGTGTAGGGGAGGGGGTATGTTTATGAACTGAACTGCCGCCTTGTATATACAGGGCTACGAAAAATGCGTCTCCGCTGATCCCAAAATTCTAGTGCTTATACGTCGTATACCCCGCAGATAGGCATCTAAATCATGTCCATGTTGGTTTACCGCAGACCCGTCGCTATGGACCAAAGTCTCAAGGGTTTGAAATAGAGAAAACGTTTTGCCGAGGACCTGACTAAAAGATCTTAGTATACCTGCAGACTAGAAGGGTACCGTATGTCACCACGATCTGATCCTTGAAGGTTACGCTAGTCGGCCCATAAAGTAAGCAGCATGGATACTGTAATTTGAAATTTATATAAACCAATTACAAAAATATTCTCAAAGGCTTTGGTAACATTTCATAGCCAATCACTCAGATAGAAGGTAATTACTAATGTTAAAATAAGTTTAATTCATTAGATGTATTTTTACCATTTCATTTTGTCATAGTGTAACAACTTAACCAACAGCGCAAAGATGTTAGACCAAGGGCTGTTGTAGTAGTTGTTATAAGAGAATTATCTGCTTACACAGACAGAGACATTATCCATACACCTCCACTAAACAGGCACACGCAATACCCATAAGTTACTTACCCTACTTAACCAAAACAGCAATACTATAAAGGTATAGCTCAAGGTAAAGCGAGTTATACTTTGGCTTGTACCAGCCAACTCAGACCCCTAATCTGGCCTGCCCTCTTTCTCTCTTACTGTTGCTCACCCCTACTCGTTGATACTACGCAACCTTCATACACAGATTCTGTCAAGGCATTTGTGTTGAAGATATGGCAGAAACGGGCAACGCAGGGCAAGACGGCTCAGTGCCGTTTAATATTGCAGTTATTGGCGGTGGTATCATTGGTCTACACGTAGCCCTAGGCTTAATTGAACGCAACATCCCAGTCGTCATCTACGAGAAGGCATCTGAATTGAAAGAAATAGGTGCTGGGCTCGGCTTCACAGAGACAGCAACCCAATGTATGCAAGCCTTGAATCCCAGCGTTGCCGGCGCCCTGGGCAAGGTCGGTATCGCAACCACTGGAAGCCTGCGGTGGATCAATGGCTTCACCCAAGAAGACATTAGACTACGAGAAAAGGGCACAGCTTTCGATTTCGAGCTCTCCACAGGCAAAAAGGATGGATTTCCCGGCTGTCATCGCGGCCAATTCCTCAACGAGCTTGTTAGTCTTGTTCCACCAGATTTGATAAAGCTTGGGAAGCGTATAGCCACGATTGAGCAAAAGAGTAAAGACGAGAAGCTGGTGTTGAAGTTCTCCGATGGTACAGAAGCGTTGGCCGATGCTGGTAAGTGCCTTGAGCCCGGAACCCAGAAATTCGTGCACACATGCTAACATGGTGTCATTCTGTAGTTATTGGTTGTGACGGCATCAAATCTCGCGTGCGCCAGATTGTGTTAGGGGAAGATAACCCGGCTTCCTACCCGCATTATTCTCATCAAAGTGCGTATCGCGCCCTGATCGAGATGGACAAAGCACTTGCTGCCCTTGGCCATCTTCCAAGTGGCCAATTGATGTATCTCGGACCAAAAGCACACATCAACACCTACCCAGTCGGTCGTGGCAAGTTTATGAATTTTGTGGCTTTTATACAAGACAAGAATGATTGGCCAGACAATGAGAATCTCACTGCGCCAGCTTCAAAGGCAGACGTCGTGGAGGCGTTTTCCGGGTTTGGACCAGCCGTCCGTGCAATGATTGACCTTCTCCCTGACCAGCTCGATCGATGGGCAATATTCGACACCCTTGATCACCCACTCCCGTCCTTTTCATATGACCGCGTCTGTCTTGCTGGCGATGCGGCTCATGCCAGCTCTCCGCATCACGGTGCTGGGGCGTGCGTAGGCGTGGAAGACGCATTGGTCCTGGCCACCGTTCTTGAGAAAGCTGGCCACGACTTAGCGTCGAGAGACAACTCAATTTCGAAATCTGCGGCCTTGTCAGCAGCCTTCGAGGCATATGACAACACTTGCCGTGAGCGAGGGCAGTGGCTCGTCGAAAGCAGTCGCTACATGGCTGAATTATTTCAGGGTTCTGCCCCGGATGTGGGCGACGACTTTGACAAGTTCAAACAGCAGATTCGGGAACGGTCCCACAAGGTCTGGTTCATGGATTGGAAAGACATGGTTCGTCGGGCGGCTGATGATTACGACGCACGAGTAAGAGCTTAATAGCTGAGCCTCTGCATAACTGCTCTGTGCTTGGTCTTCGGGAAACATAGATAGATGACAGCGCATGCATCCTGCTGAGATCCTTCAATATATTGAGATATATATAGTACTAGATATATATATTTAGTGCTTGGCCTTTTCAATATTTTACCAAGGCTAACCTTCATATGAACAGCCAATATCAGCCCCCTGAATCGGGACCCTAGTTGGTTCCAATACTCTGTCACCCCCCTGCCCATTGTACTTCTGTAAACGATCGTAAGCTTTCATGTTCTACCCCTGTGGCTTGAGTTCCTACGATAGAGGGAAAACGACCGTCATCAAGCCCCCATTTTGCTTTCGTCTTCCTCTGGTACATTGTATAAATACCCCAAGATATCTTCGTCCTTTTCAATATCCAAGCAATGTCTAGCATCCAGAATAGACTACTTATCTAGCCTAGTCCTGCCGTTAACAATCTTGTTATAATGGCGCGTCACCTACTGTTATGGGCGTCCTTTCTCGTCTCTGCCTCTATTGGGTGTTCGGTTGGCAATGATGCAACTTTGTTTGGGCCTTCGCTGTCCTCCGGTGCTGAAATATCTGTTTGCACAGATCGCAGCTTCAACAAAACTTTGACTCCTCGATGGGATATTTTTACACAGCCTACCTTCAGCACTGTCGTTAAGCCTGCTACTAACCAAGACATCCAAAATATCGTGAGTCCAAGAGTTTTCAACATCTCATCGTGAAACTATTGGCTAAGAAATACTCAGGTCAAAATTGCCGCGCAGCATCAGATTCCATTCTCCGTCACTAGTGGCGGCGGAGGAGTCACCACAACGCTGTCCAAACTGCAAGATGGGCTGGCCATTAACCTCGTCAACTTTCAGTCCGTGAGCCTAGACACAAAGCAGAACACGCTCACAGTTGGTGGCGGAGTCGTTTTCTCACAGATTATCGACGTGCTCTTCAAAAACGGAAAAGAACTTCGTATGTACTCTGAGTGCCTAGATTCGGAAGGGCTAAGAAAGAGACTGATGTGAGATACCAGCGATTGCCTCTGTCTCCTGCCTTGGCGTCATTTCCACAACTTTGGGTGGAGGCTGGGGCAGCCTGCAGGGCCTCAGGGGCCTTCTTATTGACAATCTGCTCTCGATCGAACTGGTGACGGCTTCGGGTGATCTCATTACAGTATCCGCCACGCAGGATCCAGACCTCTTTTGGGCGCTGCGTGGTGCTGGCCAAAACTTTGGCATAGTGACCTCTGCGACTTACAAAGTATATGACGCCACAAACGGTGGACAAGTTGTCAACGCCGATTTTGCATTCACAGCTGCCAACAATCGCTCTGTGTGGGAGTACATGCAATCTTATGATGAGTCTCTGCCGGCGAATATGGCATTGAGTGGTTTTGCCTTTGCAAACGCCACCACCCGTGAGGTAAAAAAACTGAGTTCCGAGCTTTCTCAACAACTGCAGACTGATTCGTTAATATTATGTTAGGCAACTTTGTGGGTGAATGTCATCTACTTTGGCACAGTAGATGAAGCTATGCCTCACTTGGAGGCACTCATTGCCATGAGTCCTACTAACAAAAACATCTCCATGGTTCCTTGGAATGAAGAAATAAGCCAGGCTTATTTTGGAGTTGCAGGTAACGCTTGTACCGCCAATAATCGCGTTAATATCTACCACGCCGCACTGAAACAGACCCATGTGCCTACCTGGGAAAGCTACTTTGCCAACCTAACACAATTCTATCTCGACTACCCGGCTTATGCTGGCCGTGTGGTAATTCAGAAATATTCATCCGAGGCGGTTGCTGCTGTTCCGGACTCGCAGACAGCATATCCTCTTCGCGACACCAAGACCATGGTGTAAGTCACAACAGTCCCGACTTTGCAAATTTCGTGCTAATTCAAACCTGCCAGTCTTTTCGAGGGTTGGTATACCGATGCCACGATTGACGGACCAGTTAATGCGTTTATGCAACAATCTCGGCAAAATTTTGCTGCAACAAGTGGCTACGATAGCCTATCTACATATGTTAATTATGCGCATGGCGACGAAGGTCCTGCTGCTTGGTATTCAACTCGCAAGCTTACGAAGCTTATGAGCTTGAAGAAGCAGTGGGACCCAAAGAATTTGTTTAGCTGGTATAATGCTATTCCGGCAAACTAGTTTGGCAAAGTCTCAGGCTTTCTCTTATACTTCAACTTATACTTATACTTTTAGCTATTTTCATACAATTAGAATTAATCTTAGATGATACTCTTCTAATCAGGCAACACAGAGCCTCGTGCCCTAAAACCAACATGCATGCTCTCTCCTCATACACCGGATAACTAACATGCATTTGCCCTGCCTTTCTCTTATTCTCATCTATCGGCCACGCCCCGGGAACAGGCTCATGGATATACAAGCCCCATAAGTTCAAGGAATGTGCTCACTCGAAGGACGCCGGCTGCCTTCTCCTTAGGTGCATCGACAACAGCGGCAAGTCTGTTGTTGCTGCCACCACTATTCGCCGGCTCTAAGAATCAGAATCAGGCACACCAGCGCTATTTCTGTTCTTACACCAGACAGTGCTTAAAAGTCTTCAGCTCCAAGTATCCCTTTCATGACTTCAAGGTTTGCAGCCCGGCTTCTGCCCTACGGCACGCTCCTTACATCCAATATCGAGGAACTCGGCAAGCTGCGCGGCGGCGATGGCATAGAATCAGAGACTCTGTGGGATATCCATGTCTTTAGGTCTCAAAGTCGCGCGCAATTTTTACTGGGTGGTGGACGCGCCGGACGAAATGGACGAAGAAGACTCCAATGTTGTTCGTCGTCTCGCCGCTGTCGCTGACCGCCATTCAGATAGTCTCAAAATCGTAGTCACTAGCTGACCATTTCCAAAGATTGATGAGACACTAAAAGGGCCAAGAATGAGCAGACAAAGCTTGAGGTATCAGAAAGGAAATGTTCTGTGTGAAGGGAAGCGGCTGATACGTGCGAGCTGTGGCCTTCTGCTCGAAATACTAGAAAATGAGAGCGTCAGTTTAATACACCATTCCTTCACCCTCCCCTGCGATAAAAATAGAGATGAGTCTGTAGTAACATTTTCTGTACTGACCCCTTTCGAGGCCAACAAATGCCTGGCTAACTCGTTACTGCAATATCTGAATGCCTGCCCACTCCTTGGAACCGTTCCCTCCTGTTGATATCATAACTCACGTAACTATCGCAACTGGCTTGCCGTCCCATTCGCTCTTCAAATGATCTATGGCATCCCTTGCTACGTCTGCCATGTCGTAACTATACTCTGGCTGGACGAGAATATACGCAATTGCACGATCCTAGTTGCGCGAATACGGGCCTCAAATCTGCACTACTAAAAGACTGACAGCTTCTGAAGTCCACTCCGCCATGATCATGTTCTGGTTCACGGCTACGAGTGCAATTATTTGCTCAACTGAGGTTAGTTCATCAGTACTTTCATTGAGACGACTGTTAATATATGCACGGCTACCATTAACTACGGTATGCGTCATTAAATTTTGCCCGATGAAGAAAATCGTGGGCTGTGCAAACGGCCAGTTCGGAACGCGGCAAGGAATCGGTAAAGAGCCATCATACTGCAACGCTTACTCTCTACTTTCAGGGGATGTAAGCTGGTTCTTACTGGGCGAATTTCTTCTCTGTTTTTCTCTTCATGGAGATTTCATTAAAGAAAAAGGGCCTGCTTCTAAAGAAATTGTAAACCGAGCCAGTAGATAATAAAAGCCGTTCATCAAAGATATATTCCCTCCGTACTGTATACTAGTCGCTGTGACAGAATTATCGATCGATCGCCCAACAATCGGACCCCACAGGATTTCCGTCATACCACACATCGATAGATTCGTGTTCTCAATTTGGCGATTCCATTCCTTTAGCTATAGCGAAGCCTTATACGTCATGGGCAACGTGCCATTAGTCTGCCGCTTGATTGGCTTATAGTGTAGATTTATCTGTTGGCCGTCGACACAGGCAGCCTCTTATACCGACGACGGGAATATGTCCTGGATGCGCCCCTGACTATTTAAAGATCGGAATACTGAGCAGATGTTTACTGGAATTCTTGGAGTCGAAATATCAATTGCAGAGCTTCTAACTGCTGAAGTAGCGCATCGTGAAAAAAATAAAGACCAAGATGCGGTCAGACACGCTCTCATCAACCTTCATGCTTGCATTACTAGCAGATATTTACTCAGCCAGAAGCTTGAACACGACTATCGAGGCGTTGAGCATTGCTGGCGCTGCTACATCAGATGCTTACCCTCCCGCTAGCAGTAAGTTCTTTAAAGTTCAATCTATTAGGTCTAGAAGAAGAAAAGAACATGTCATGTCCGGATCAAAGTGCTGATAGCGCTGCCACTTAAGCAAATGTCAACTCTAAATTATTCCCGCCCGAGTCCAAGGTAGGATATCCGGGTCCAACGCCAACGGGAGCAGAATCAGCTGCAATCCAAACCGCCCCAATCTATCCTTACAACAATGGACCTTCAGATAGCTTTCCGCTGGTCACGCCGCAGCCCTGGGGAGCCAGCAAATTTGGAAAGGGCTTTGACATAACCAAATACTGGGGAAATCTCTCTCCTTGGTATTCTGTGTCTTCAGCAGACTATGACCTGCCCGACGCGAGCCCTCTGATTCCGGATGGCTGCAACATTGTCCAGTTGCATCTTCTTTACCGCCACGGTGCTCGTTATCCTACCAGCGGCGCTGCTCCGGCTACCTTTGCTCAAAAAGTCCAAAATGCGACTCGGGCGGGCGGGTTCAAAGTCGCTGGAGAATTGGCTTTTCTGGCCGACTGGACTTATAAGCTCGGTGCCGAGCTGCTGACGCCTTTGGGCCGCAGTCAAAACTTCAATCTCGGAGTGGCGTATCGTCAGCTTTACGGAAAGTTTCTGAACAATTTCACTGCCAGCGGCACGATCCCGGTCTTCCGCACCGAGTCTCAAGACCGCATGGTCAAGACGGCCGAGAACTTTGCTGCCGGCTTCTTTGGCGTGCCTGAATACTTGGACCAAGTCAACATCGAGATCCTTGTTGAGAACTCCGGCGTGAACAATTCGGGTGCTCCGTATGAAGTCTGCGCCAACTCGAATGTTGCTAGCCGCGGAAGCATTGGATCTACAGTCGCAACAAAATTTGCCGAAAATGCCTTTAACAGCACGATTGCTCGACTGCAGTCTCAGGTAAGCTGCAGATGATGACGATGAGAAATGACTATAGGATGTTTTTGTTCATATTTCCCAGATTTATGGCTTGAATCTGACCGCCACTGATGCTGTTGCCATGCTCCAACTCTGCTCTTACGAAACCCATGCTCTCGGCTTCTCGGCTTTCTGCAACCTTTTCACCGAGGAGGATTTTATCAACTACGAATACTACTACGATCTGGTAAGTCAATTACTGCCTCACACAAAATCTCTTAGTACGTATACGTACTGATAACTGCAGTCATTCTACTACAACAACGGCCCTGGATCTCCAGTTGCCGCCGCGCAGGGCAAAGGCTATCTCCAGGAATTCGTAGCCCGCTTCACGTATTCGTTTCCCACCGCGAACTCAGCCCTTAATCTCACATACGACAACAGCACAACTTATTTCCCGTTGAATCAGTCAATTTATGCCGATGCGACTCACGAAGTCGTCGTTCTCGACACTCTGACGGCATTCAACCTGACTGCCCTGTTCAAAGGTCCAGCGCTGAGTCTTTCTGGAAACCAAAAGCGAAGCTCGTTTGTGGCTAGCAAAATCGTGCCCTTTGCAACCCATTTCACCACTCAGATCTTGGAATGCCCTGCTTATAAGCCTACTCGACAGATCCGATTCTTGGTGTAAGTATACGAATGTTCCACGGGTCCCGTCTCACGCGCTGACTATGTTGTGAATAGTAACGATGCTGTCGTTCCCATTGCAGACTCATATCACGGATGTCCAGAGAATTCCGATGGTCTTTGCTCTTTCGAGCATGTCGTGTCAGTCTTGCAGGAACGAATTGATGAAATCGACTTTAACTATGATTGCTTCGCTAATTATACGGCCAAGGCTGGCGTCGATTACAATGGCCGTGCTCCAAGAAAGTAGTTCAACCATAGCGTCTATCTTGCAGCTGCTTAACAAATAATGACTTAATTATTTCCGTCCGCTATATATATCATCGTCATCATTCACCGCAAGCTTGACTGTGGTTTCCTTGTTCATTGCCTAGCAGCTCCACTCAAAGCTCTTGTCAAAAGGTATAATCACAAGCGTAAATGTTTACGATTAGTTATTAAATTGCGGCCAATATTAATGGCTCTCTTTATCGCTATTGCATCACTGTCGCATAAATTCGCTATCATGCTTCGTAAATTTTGAGACACCCTGCCTCGTACGCGTCCCAAACAGCCATCAGCAGCTTTCAGCAAAGGTCCAAGCTCACAAATCGTCGAGCGTTCCATACTGGAAACAGCATCCGGCAGAAGGGTTACGAGTCATAATATCATCAAGTAATCTCGCCAGACTACTATTTGTTACTCCGTCTGAGAGGCGCAGCCAATGCTGGTTAGTTACGCCCGTATCGTTGACCCACGCATTCGATCCATTGGCTGCATTAATGCTGTTGTAGCCATACTCATTTGCATAAGCAAGCATTGGGCGGATTTTCAGCTTTGAGATCCAGTCTAGCCCCAAGATGCCATACAGCATCGTGATGGGATCCCAAGACTCACGAATGGTGGAACCTCGACCGACATACCATTGGTAGGCGCTGAGAACTGGAGAATCTGAAGAAAGTCGCTGTGCGAAGTTTTCCCCGGAGAAAACATTGCCACCCAGCTCACCGCCGGAGTAGGTGATTTTGACATTCTTTGGCCAATGATTGACGACGTCTGCCGTGCTTTTCGGGTCTATACCGCCAAAGTTATACTCCCAGCCCGACGGATATTGCCCTCCCATGACTACTAGTTCGCTGACTTTGGCTGAGATAAGTTGGGAGCCCGATAGATGACTTATCTGGTCTGCTTCAGACTTGAGAAGATTGGCAAGATTGTCAAGTCCACCAATGGAGATGATGTGAATGCTCTCATCCTCGGCAGAACTCAAGACAGTGCGATATAACTCTACCGGTGTAGGGGTCAAAGACGATTCCTGGACTTTTCTGGGCCAATTATATGCCAGCTTGCTGACGTACTCGCCATATCTAGCATAACAGTTAGCTGGAGAGAATAAACAGATTAATCGAGTATATAGATGAAACGGACAAATAATAGTAGCTGTCAAAAAACGTATCATTTGTAAGTGGTCGAAAGGCAGCGATTGGGATATCTCCGTTGTTGAAATATGTGCAAAGGGCCTATTCTTCTTCAATATCAAGCAGACATTAGTCAGTAGAGACGTATACGTACACTTGCTCCCAGCGCTCCATAATGAGATGGCGAGTTAATTACAACGCCTCTCAGATCCGCCAATCCGCAATTGTGCAAGACATTCGCAATTGTCAAGGCGCCCACATCGTCAACGTCGCTGAATAGATCTGTATCTATTATTATCGGCTGGCCACGATTGCCTGACGGCTTAATAGCTTCTGCTAATCCGAAAATACCGCTCAAATATATCGCAAGTAGAAAAGCGAAGCGCCTCATGTTTTCTGATCTTGGCGGAATGCTACGAGAATGTCCGCCACTGTAGGCCTGGCAGTGCCGAAGTCTCGCAGCTGACTGGAAGTAGCTCACCGACCACTCTACAGTATATGCATACTGTATGATACGGTGCTTACGCACTGTCAGACTTGAACTTGTGTACATGCAGCCAAACATTACTCATCATGAACAGCTATGTTTTTCTCGCAGTTGATGGTCTGTCAGTACATTTACTATACATATGTCATGTGAGAAGAAGCTAACCTTCTTAGCAATATCTCTACAATAGGTTTTGACTATATAAAGACACTGTTTTCTTTGTATAGAGCAGGAAATACGAAGAGGCTAAAGATAGATATAGCTATAACTTAATAGCAAGGAAGCATCCAGAACCTATTTATTCTTATTTCTTGTTAGATACGATACCCTTAGTAAAAGGCCCTTTACTTGAAACTCGGCTGTCTGGCAGAAACCAATATCTAACCCAGAGCCGCGTTCGGAGCCGCGTTTAGAGCCGAGCATCTGATAGAGTGCAGAGCCAAATGAATTATGGTATAGTTATTCTGGTCTGTCCTTAACAGTGGCTTACAGCATCTACAATTCCAAATCTTTATCTAGCCTGCTTTTTTCTTCCAACACCAGAATATTGCCAAGAGTATCGCCGTCGATGAGGAAGATGATGCAGCGTACTTTGATCGGACAGATTGACGGGACAACCTTGTTGTTGAAAATAGCAGCATGTGCAATGTCTTCTAATTTTTACAAGCAAAGCGGAGTCAAAATTATCACGAGTGAATCTTATTTGTGCGATGATGTAACAATTGCCGCAGTTTCATATGGAGGCGGCCTCAACTGGGCCATCCAAATCTTGACCACCGATACTCGGCTTGACGTACGCCACCCTTGTCACGATATCGAATGGGACTTTTGTAGTCGAAAAAAAAAATAGTATTTCTCAAGAATTGCCGTTCATAGGCTGCTAGTGCCAATGACAACAGTGCAAGCCGCAGCGATATAGAGCGGGAGGGTTCTATGAAGAGTGCGATGTCGCTAGTATTCCAAACAGTACATCGGATAATATTCAGCTGCTTCAAACTCTTCAGGAGAGAACAAGAAGTGAATTTTTCAGAGACTGCTATATAGCATCATGCATATCAGTCGCCAACGGCTGTTGTGGCACTTCTCTAGTGCACATCAACCGGCTGGTGTTTGCGCCTACGTTTGACTTGGCGACCGCAACATTCGCCGGAGAGCTCGGATTTTTCATATCAGCACTGCTACGCTCTGTTGGTTCAGCACTTTAGGTCCTATATTAAGTTTACTGCTCAGTTCTGCCCTTGTTCTAGACCCGTTCATTGTTACGCAGCTTCAAAGGAATGGAGTGGCGCGGGTGGCTACAGCCCAACCGAAGCGGGCGCAGTGATTCATTTCGCGGCTACGATTCTCCTAGGCCGGAAAAAAAGGCCAGAGGTTTCATAATATATGGCCTTCTGTCCAAGCATTTCTTTCTATGTTATACTCTATGATACTTATCTTGACTGCTCTATTATACCCAGGGCAGATTCCAGGCTTGCCCCGGTCGTCGGTGGGTACTCAATCTCGGCATTACTACTCTATAGATGTTGTCCAAATATTGTATACACAAGTGTTCACTGGTGGTGTCCTGTATGGATATGTTATATATGGATCATTCATTTTGTGAAATGCCATCACGTCTTTAGGCAGAGTACAGCCCAAGATCGTTGAACAGCTGAGTCTCCTGAATCTTCGGCCGCGCTCTTGCTACCTGAACTGAAAAGGTCTGCGCATCATCAACACAAACGCCGTGAGTAACAGTAAAAATAGCACTTGCTTCGAATAGCAGCTATTGAACCATGATTTCTGAAGTATAAGAGCTTGATAATTCGCTTCTCAAGCAGCACTTCTAACTTTCGTACCAAACAGCCTGGATTCGATTTCAACTACTAAATTACCCAACCCTGTTTCTTCCTTTCGACAACCCTCGGATCTCAACATCTGCTACGTCTCAGACACACCACAACTTTTGCTCAACATAACACTCAACTTGTTAAATCAAAAGGTGATCAAGCATCATAACGCACGATTCATAAACATAAAATGTCTCAACGCGTGACGACGAATGATGTGCTCGCAATCGAGCTATCCCGATGCGAAACAATCCTCAAAGGTCTATATCGCGAGGTAAAAACGTTTCGCCCGGAAGGTAAACACTTTTACTTTGCCGTGACCACTCCAACGGATGCAGACCTTCAGGGGTTTTGTACTCCTAGTCTGCGAATGAGCTACCTGGCCAGCCAACTCGGAGCGAAGAAAGGCGCTACTGTCGTTGAAGAACCTGAAAACACAGCGCATATTGTTATCAAGGCCGCTGAATATCAGGTGACCTATCATGTCCACATTACCTTTGGCGAATATTTGCGCGAGCGCGAATAGTCTCAAATCAGACATCATTCGCTGGTTTTCACAAAAGATCGAGTGGATGAAGGTCTTTCGAGATGCTGTCGACTTGGCAACTTTTCGAACCGAAAGAGAGTTGCACTTTACTTGATTATAAAGGATTAGCAGACAATAGACATGCGATGTAGGGTGGAAAATCAAGGTGCTGGAATGCAGCTTGCTCTTGATATTGAAGAGCTGAGCCAAGGTCACCATGGTTAGCAAAGATAGGTCGCGGAATACTGCGACTACAATTTCACCGGATAAATAGTTGGCGATGAAAAGAGAGAAAAAAAGCTTTTAGAATGGAACCTAGAACAATTTGCTCACTGGCCATGCTTTCTAAAGAGCTTTCTTCATGTGCTGCTCTTATTGCTGCTGCCCTCGCCTCGAGGCCTGCTGATTCCTTTGCTAACATCACAGTTGTTCATAATCAAGCATAAAATTATTGATTATATCTCCATTTTAATACTAGCATCAAAGACCGGTACTAGAATTATATAGCAAAATCAAGCATATCCATGTATGAAGCTATAGTAGCACGAAACGAGATGCCACCTATATTGACCGGCCAGCCTTCAACCGACTCATACGTAGGGCTGCAACTTTAAAGTATAAGAAATCATGCCACGCTGGCCATTACTAGGTACGTATCGTCAAAGGGTGAACATGTTCTGTACACAAAAGAGAGTTGTACACGCATTTAAGCTTGGCGCGATATATTGTGGAAAGCTTCAACGGCGAGCCACTCGGCAAAACCCAAAGGGCGTCGTAATTAGAGTTGCGCTTAATGAGCATTTACATTGAAATCTGAGCCCTGTTTGACATTGCAATTACCGTATATCAATTGCTGTATTCTATTATTGTCCATATGACCATCAATGTCTTCTTGCCCTCGACTGCTTGATATGGTCAAAAGCGGCCAGGCTCTTATACGTCGATGTCGACGCCACTAGAATGTCTCAGCGCGGGATCTAGGTCTATAGATTCCGCCATCAAATGTCTAGCGGTATGCCATTGGAAGCCACTATTGCACTAACATGGTACCGCAAGCGGGGCATCAATGCAAGTCTACAGTGTGGCTTGAACTTCATCTTCACAGAAGCTTTGCTAGAAGCGCCGAGCACGCATATCCGTATCCTCCCTCAAAGTCACGCACAACGTTTAATTCCAGCAACGTGACCACTTCGACCACCAAAAATATTTTCTTCTTCAGCAATACGAAGCATCTCAAACTTGAATAACACAGCCAACGCAACCAAAATGCTGGCAAGTCATGCGGCGCCATTCAACACGACCCTGTCGGTTGCGGAGTTTTGAATTCCGAGCTCGGAAATGGCTTACTCAACCGCAAACATGGACGCACGCAGTGCACATCCAACGACCAATGACTGCGAATTCATGACCGCTGCTACCGGGAACAAACAAGGCGCTTCTAGGCGCTATTGAATTATAGCAAGTAGAATAAATACTAATCGTGTTCTAATTCAAGTGGCTTTTAGCATATCAACTTGTATATCCGTGCTCGGCATTGAGGCGGCCTCCTCCATTGCTGCTGTACCATTGTACATTCAAGCAATGCTCTCGTTGCTTCCGATCTACAAATCTTTCTTCTAACTAACTCTTAATGTTCTTGTCAAAATACATGTATATGAGCTCGGAAAGCTTAAATCCTTGGCAGCATTGAACATTAATCTTGATCGTAGCCTCATTGCTCGTAGATTCACCCAAAACAAGATCAACGTTCAATATCCGCCTATAAATCTCCAAAAACGGCTAAAAAGCGCCCCCTTTTTGTATCCCAAACTCAATGCCAAACGCCACTTGTCTCTATTGGCCCTCAAGGTCTCATTCAAAGTCCCCTTCCAGATTCGATCTCACCGAGTCTCCAGCCGAGTCCCCACCATCGTTACACTCTTCTCCCTTTCCAACGCCCGGGATCTTTTCCATGTAATGTAGCACCCAGATCTATGATCTAGTGGTCCTCCTCCACACAATTTCCCCCGCAATCTCAGTAAAAGTAGCTGCGGCTCCGCTCCTCCATCTCATCCGCCCCGTTTCCCAGCGCGAGCTTATTGGCGAAAGTGGACATCGTATACCAAAAGTTTGGAGTACCATCTACCAGCTGACTAGGTTTACCCTTTCTATAGTAAAAAAAAAAACTCTTTGACCGATCGTGGACCCTTCTCAAGCCCCAGCCCAGGTTTCTTCTCTGCGGTATATAAAGAGTGACCTCTCGCTCCTTATCAGTTCCCTTCCCTCCCACTTACACATCACTCTCGAGTTACGCAATTCTGCTCGGTTACTCAAAGCCCACATACACATACACACGCTTCAAGAACTCATCACCAAACACAACACAACAACCATCCATCGTTCACAATGAACATCCTCCAACGTGTCAAAATCCCCAGACCCAGCGATGAAGCAGGTGCCTCCTGGCCCGCCATCGCCATGGGTTTCTTCGTCGCCTTTGGCGGTGTTCTCTACGGGTAAGCCATCAAATCGAATCAAACCTCCCCTTTTATTCCATCTCATCATTCACTAACCAACCGGCCATCTAGTTACGACACCGGCACCATCAGCGGCATCATGGCCATGCCCTACTGGAAAGACCTCTTCAGCACCGGCTTCCGCAACTCCAACGGCGACCTCGACATCACCACCTCCCAGGAATCCTCCATCGTCTCCATCCTGTCCGCGGGCACCTTCTTCGGCGCCCTCGCCTCCCCCCTGCTGGCCGACTTCTTCGGTCGTCGTCCCGCGCTCATGATCTCTACCTGGGTCTTTAATCTCGGCGTAGTCCTGCAGACGATTGCCACTGCCATCCCCATGTTCCTCGCTGGTCGCTTCTTTGCCGGTTTCGGTGTCGGTTTGATTTCTGCCCTGAGTAAGTACACCGAATGCATCATCAACATCAAAACCATCTAACATATCGAATCTAGTCCCCCTCTATCAATCAGAAACAGCCCCCAAATGGATCCGCGGCGCCATCGTCGGCGCCTACCAGCTCGCCATCACAATCGGCCTCCTCCTCGCCGCCGTCGTCAACAACGCCACCTCCAACCGCCCCGACTCCGGCTCCTACCGCATCCCCATCGCCATCCAGTTCGCCTGGTCCCTCGTCCTCTTCCTCGGCATGATCTTCCTGCCCGAGACGCCGCGCTTCCTCATCCGCTCCGGCAAGATGGAAAAAGCCTCCGCGGCACTCTCCCGCATGCGGCGCCTCGACAAGACTCACCCGGCCGTCGTCGCGGAGCTGGGCGAGATCAAGGCCAACCTCGACTACGAGAGCAGCGTCAGCAAGGCCACCTACTGGGACTGCTTCAAGCCCCCGATCCTGAAGCGCCAGTTCACCGGCATGGCTCTGCAGGCTCTCCAGCAGCTGACTGGCATCAACTTCATCTTCTACTATGGCACGCGCTACTTCCAAAACTCTGGCGTCTCCAGCGGCTTCACCATTGCCATGATCACCTCCGCCATCAACGTCGTCTCCACCATCCCCGGCCTCCTGGCCATTGACAGATGGGGCCGTCGCCCTCTCCTCCTTATGGGCGCCATCGGCATGTGTGTCTCCCAGCTCATTGTCGCCGTCTGCGGCACATTGTCCACCGGCCAGCGCGAAAACGGCGACATCTACGTCAAGAACATGGCCGGCCAGCAAACCGCCGTGGCCTTTGTCTGCATCTTCATCTTCTTCTTCGCCAGCACCTGGGGTCCTCTCGCCTGGGTCGTCACCGGCGAGATCTTCCCCTTAACCACTCGCGCCAAGTCCCTCAGCATGTCCACCGCCACCAACTGGCTGCTCAACTGGGCCATTGCCTACTCTACCCCCTACCTGGTCAACTACGGCAAAGGCTTCGCCAACCTCCAGTCCAAAATCTTCTTTGTCTGGTTCGGTGCTTGCTTCATCTGCATCGCCCACGTCTGGTTCTTCATCTATGAGACGAAGGGTCTCAGTCTGGAACAGGTCGACCAGCTCTACACCGAAGTGTCTAATGCTCGCAAGTCTACCAGGTGGACTCCTACCGAGACTTGGGAAGAACACCGTCAACGCGAGCCTTCGGTAGTTGGTCAAGTCGGTGATGTCAGAGAGGAACAGGAGCCAAAGGATGATGCGCCTCATGTTGAGCAGCGGGGAAGTGACTCGGTGTAGAGGAAATGAGGAATTTTCTATTAATACCTTTTCTTTATTCTCATTTTGGTTGATCCTCTTTTGGTCTTGGTTTTGGTTCTGTGATTTTGGAGTAGATGCTGTAAGTATCAAGTATACCCTATACGATTAGTTTCGCCGGCGTTCTGGAGTAATCTATGATTACAGCTGTTGGCAATGCTAAAGGATTATCCTTGAAGGTTTTCGAAGACAAGTCTACAATTGCATACGCATACTTGACATTCTGGGGCACTGCCTAGTTAGCCGGGTTGTTTATTACATGCGATACTAATAGTATTAGAAGCAGTAGTTTGAGACTTAAATAAATTAATATCATTATCAAAAGACATATCGTGCAACATACAACAAAGCTCAGGCTCCCAAAATTACAAATTACTAAAGTTATAATCCTCGTTATAGACTACATAAGCAAGCAATGTTTCAAGCGGATCAACTCAGTAAACAAGGATGTACCATCAATTCTTGTTTATAATTATACTGTATAAAAGTATTTGGAAAAGCTAGGTTATTAGGTATTGCTTCCTCGGTCCTCTCCAGACGGCGTAATCTCAGCAACAAAAGTACAAAATACCCATTCGAACAAGAAGATGAAAAGCTCCAAATGCGTGAATCGTGAGAACAAAAGAAAATCATCCAAATCTACGTCTCGCCATTGCCAACAATACTTATCTTCCTGTCTTTCAGCCCACCTTCCAGCGTCGCATCCTTGGCACTGTCGTCAACATCCAAGCCCTTGCTCTTCGAGTCTTGTTCCTCTTTCTTGGCTTCTTCCGCCGCTGTGCTTTCGTCGTCGGAATCAGTGTACGGGCTTGGGCGAACCACCTTGAGTTTGATGATCTCCTTGTTCTTGTCTTCTTCATCAGCTTTGTGGTAGACCCGTAGTCCAACCACGACAACCGCATTCCATGGATCCTTCTCAAACTCATCAAGCTCATCTTCAAACTTCGGTGGCGATAGTGTAGCGGGGCGTCTGTTCAGCTGACCGCCAAAATTTTGAGCCTGCAAGTCCAGCTCGCGATCAGAAAGATCAGATAACGAAGACAGGCTCTCTACACCGTCATCGCTCTCAGATTCGTAGTATGGAGAAACTTGCGACGGTTTTTGCAAGACGTGTTCCGGTAGTGAGCCTGACTGATCAGTTGCATCTTCAGGTGGACTTGGCATTGTAACTCTCCGTCTTGCCTTTGATGATCCTGCTCCATTAAGCGAAGATGGTGGTTCATGATTCTCGTCCGACTTGTCGATGTGCTCGCGAGAGTTGTTTTTGTGCTCCATTTCGTCTTTTCTATTCCCATTCATGGACCGCCTTTCTGCTTCTTGAGCTTTCCGCTTCTCTTTTCGTTTCTTTTCCTGCTTCTGACTCCTCATATGCTGTTTTAGCTTGAGATAATGGTCATCCTTGCGACGAGCAATGATCCTATCCTTGATTTCACGAAGCTCTTTATCTTTGACGCGTTTTTCATGCGCTTCCTTGGCAGCCTTCTCTTCCGGAGTTTCCACAACTCTACCTTTGCTATGTGCAAGATCATACGCAAGACCAATGCGCGTCAATTTCTCGCGCCGTTTCTTGGCGTTCTTTCGGATGACGGTCTCAATAGGCAAAATGTTGTCAAGGCGGACTGCATCAATCTTGACTCGCACGTCGTATTCACCCGCCTCCAAATCCAACTCGACATTGACCGAGCGCCTCATGCGATATGGCGCTTGGCTGCGGACAAGGTAATCTTCGTGCCCGGCTTTGTGGACACGAAACGCTAGCTCAAATCTGTATTGTCCGTGAAGACCACGGAAGTAACGATCGTCCAGCTGAGCTAGCACAATGACGACTGGGCCAGGTTTGGTAATGGCCAAAGAGAAATGAGTGTCATGATAATCCAGCATCCAAGGAACGTTCACAGTCGTCCAAATTTGAGACACTTGCCAGCTCTCATCAAACAGCCGAGTTCTCTCAAAAGCCTGATATTTCTGGAGCAAGTCTTCGTATGCAATCCAAAAATCACCATCGTCACCAAATCGGTGGTCGAGTTTCTCCAGCCATTCGGCAGTCCATTCTTTGGAGCCGTCACCTGTTGGCGTATTAGCAATTTTTTGCACTTTATTGAATTGAAAGAGAGTGTCTTACTCCAAGGACCTTTCCATTCTCCTTTTCCCCATGGATTCTTCAGTCGAAGCAGGCGTTTACCGTTAATGTCCACGGCTTTCTGAATGGAGTAGGAATGAAGCTCGAGGATGCCTTTTCTCTCCCCCCAGTTCGCTCCCCATACCCCGGTGCTGCAGCCAAAGAGAAAGTCTTGGTTCACCTTCATCAACTCTTTCCAAAAATACTCCTAAAAACTTGTTGGTCAACTGTAATACCCATGGCATTATGTGCATAGATTGCAAATTTGCGTTGCCTACCTTGTCAAGAATATCGGTGGTAAAAATCTCAGACGTAACTCCGCCTGTGAGATCCTCGATGCCTTCGCCTCCATACCCACCCTCGATAGCAGCATAATCTCCATGTGCTTTTGCATAACACTTTTCAAGAAGCGGAAGCCAAGTCTCCTGAGGATGCTGGCACTGCGCAAAATAAAGAGCGCTGCTGTTGGACTGGTATACTCTGCGATAGGCTTCTTCCGGATTAGAACGCTCAAGCTCGTCAAAGAGAACCCGTTCCCAGTGCTTCTCATCGTAGTCCGATTTGGTGAGATAGAGCTGCAAAAACCATCAACATCAGCAACCACCGTCATGTATAATGGAGGGAAACGGAAACATACAAAGTCATCCACAATCTCCGAAATCCACTCTCCATCTCTGAAGAAAACGAAACCATAAACTCCCACATCTTGATCATGCGCCACACACAGCCTCTCAATCAACCCCTTCTTGTTGCTCAGCGTACACAACGCCGACATGAGCCAGCAGTCTCCATCCCTCCCTTGTCTCACATCATTAGCTGTCGGGCCTTCAATGTAAAACTGCGGCTTGTCAAATATCTCCACAACACGCTTGGCGCTTCCCGGTCGAAAATCCTTGCCCGGGTTGTCGAGAGGCTCAAAGTTGGAGAGAGACTCCAGGCAGTCCCTGCGAACCAGCTTCAGATCGGCCTCGAGGTCAAAGTGTGGGTCCCGGTACTTTTTGTTGACGCGGCGGCATTCTTGGACAATCTTCTCGACTTTGGCTCGGCACATAGCCGCTGCCGTCTCGTAAGAAGCCTGGGTTGTGGTGGATGAGGATGCGGTTTTGGCGTTCTTTCTAGCCACTCTCGCAGTATATGGATTTTGCGGTATCACAGTCGTCGCTGAGCAGATATACACCGTCAGTAATAGTGCCAATACTTTACTATCTAAGAAGAGAGCAGCAACGCAGCAACAAACTCACCTTTGCCCGGCGCCTTGGTCGTAAACTTGGCCCAAAACTCATCAATCGCCTCCTGCGGCGTCTGCTGCTTCGCCTCTTTTCTCTGCCGTACCGGGACAGGATCTGGAAGCCCCATCATGTAGTCATCATTGCTTCTCGGATAAATGCGCCGTCTGGATCGCGACCGTCTGGAGCGGATACTGATATGGGATACGAAGCTGTTGTTGTCGCTGTCGGTGTTGATGAAAGACATGGTGAATGAGTCGAGTCGCCTATAGGCGCGATGGAGGCTTGCAAAGTCGCAGGGAAAGAGCAAATGAAGTGTTGTCTTGGAGGTTATGAGAAGCTGCGATGTAGATGCTTGTCTGACTTGCGACGTCCTGGAGACAAGCTAAGAGTCCCGTCCGTATAACCTCTTTCGTCTCACAAGCGATAGAGCTGAAGGTGCACCAGACGCTAATTTCAGGGCAGCAATTAGTCAACCACCAGATGTCAAGAATTCAAAATTCAGCCTGTTCAATACACCAGCGTTGGGATGGGCTGAAGACAATGTCAAAACGAAGAGAATATATGAAATTCGCTCATCGGTGGGCGGCGGCTTAAAAAAAGAAAGGAATATTGATTGATGCTACGAAACAACACCGGCGCCAACGCCAATAGACTAGGCAACCATGAAAGCTGAGCTACGACTGCGAGGCTGACTTGAATCCTTTGCTCTCTGTCTACACCTCTCTTTACTACATCTAGCCTCAAAAGGACCAAAAACGTAACAAGCTTGCTACTTTTTATACAGCGGCCCCCGCGTTTCAAGCACGCCGGCAGCAGATACACAGGCTTGGTCTAGATCACGGCATTTGCCTGTAACTACAGCACATGCCACGAAAATCCTTGGCTGGTTGGAGTCATCGCGCCTCTTTTTCCCCGCGGATTTGGGGGCCGTCGACGCTATTGGATGCATTGGCCGAATGGAAGATGGGTGGATTCTCTGGTAGGTGCATGCATATTCATGCGCACGTAGCTGATATGAGAGCCACCACCTACCGGAAGATACTACAGCTACAAGATGTAGCCTAAGATTCGTGGAGAACGGCTGCGTCAAATACATAACTCGTACGGTTTGAGTTACTACGTGCGAAGTACGTTACCTTGTGTATACAAAAGAAAGGGCATCGTAAAGTCCTTCCGTGGAGAAGAGATGATAGAATCCAGGAGAGTCTGCAAAGGGGTCAGTAGCCTCATATTGCTCTACGTGAGCACACAATGCGATGATAACTAAGACTCTCGTCCAGGTTGCATATTTCAACTCTTACCTGGAATTTGGCATTGGGTGTTTCCTCGTGCGAAAAGGGGTATAAGAAAAGTTGATCTCTGGCCTCGCTGGCCGCCATGCCTCATCCGCGTGTCTTCGCCAGTCGCTTTGCGTATCAACTCTCTCCCTCGTTCGACTTGAAACAACACACACACACATGCACACATCTACACAAACACACACGCTCATCATCACACCAAACACATCGCGCAGCGCCAACAGTTGCCGCCGCCGCCAAAGAGGGTATTTCATGACAGGATTTCTTCTTCATCTTCCTCATCTGCGCCTCTCCGCTTCTCATAATTTTACTGAATCACTGCATCTTCCACTTCTCCCAGCTCCCCTCTGCTTCGGCAGCCACGCTAACCACTCCAACCACTCCGAAAGCACGGGCATTGCTCAATGCCCGTGATCCCATTGCCCTTTATCAATCTTGGGGGCGCGCTCATATTCTCCATTTGCCGCACAGCCATAGGATCGCACAGCTCCTATCCTCTCAGCATCCTCAAACTGCCAGTTGTTCAAGACATCTTGCATCCACCGCCTTTGCACGCGCGCGCTCTCATTCACTCTAGGAGGTGACGGTCATCACTAGCAGCCGAATTGCTCTCCAGCAGCAAACCAATAATCTGCAGCCCAAAAACACAACAACAACGAGTGTTCCCGTTTGCGGCCTCCAGAGCAGCGCCGCCGATTCAAGCTCATCACAACATCACACACAGCCTCACGGGTATATCCATCGCATGTGCCTAAAGTCTTTAAGTCGTAAGAGCTACGTGACAGCGTCTGTCGTTTCAGTCCGTAATATATAGGTAGTTCCGAGTGATGTGATCCAAAGTAAATTCGTTTGAAAGATGGGGGATTGCGCCCAGGAACCGTTTCGAACGAGGCCCATGCGTACCCAAGGGCCCCCCACAAAATCGGACGCTCTTCAATTCTGAGGAAATGTGTGTAAGAAAAAAGAAAGATTTTGACGGGTTCGATATCGTCGCTGCTGCCGTTGTCATTTCGCTCATTCCTTGCCACGCAGGAGGTGAGGCTGCAGAAAATTGTATGTTTCTACCGTCGCCTTTCTCTGGTACGAAGAACATCTGCGATCAGAGAGTGAAGAAGAAAAATAAACAGACGCCACAAGAACCGAAGCCAAAGAAAGACTCCGCTTAAGCCGATGATGAGAAGAAATATTGCCGACCATCCGGAATAGAAGAAAAAGGAGATATAACAAAAAGAACCGGAATCGGAAAGCACAATCTGGGTGTTATGCAACGAAAAAGGGTTGCATCGACTTGAAAAAGAAAGGAAGAAAACCGTAACAGAATACAACCTGGAATCCAGAGTAGGTTTTTTTTTTTTTTGTTTATGTCTGTTGTTACAGCTCATGGAGTCCTTGCCCCTGGAAGAGGGCGGTTATGTCTACCGTCTACGACCCCCAAGCAAAGCTAGGAATGGAGAACAGTAGACGACACTGTCAGGATCCTCTAAGCCACCGGGGCAATAGGGGCCACGGGGGGAGCGGGGACGTTGTTAAGGTCCACAACCTCGTTGTTGATCTCGGTGTTGGCGGTCTTCTGGGGGCAATCGCGAGAGATGTGACCAGCCTCACCACACTGGTAGCAAGTCTTACCAGCAGTGTTCAGGGGGCCGCCGTTGGGAGCAGTGCAATCCCTGGAGATGTGGCCGAGCTTGCCGCAAGCATAGCACTTCATGGCCTGAGCCTGGCAATCGCGAGCGAAGTGGTTGGGGCCACCGCACTTGTAGCAAGTAGCGGGACGAGGGCCGTTGGCGAAGCCTCCACGACCATAGCCGCCGACGAAGCCACCACGGCCCATGGGAGCACCACGGCCCATACCAGGATTGCCGGGGTTGGGGCAAGCACGCTATAAAGGCTGGATCAGTATTTTTTTTCCACAGATATCCCAAATTGAAGGCAACATACAGCCAAATGGCCAGGCTGGCCGCAGTTATAGCATCGGCCACCGGTGGCAGTGCCGCTCAGGCGGAGAGTAGGGCAGTCGGCCTGGACATGGCCCAGTCCCTGGCAGTGGTAGCACTGCTTCGCCTCGGTCGAGCGAGGGAGAGGGCAGCCGTTGGACTCGTGGCCTGTGGTGAGAAGCTGTTAGAGAATGACAAGCTAATGGGATGTCGTTTGCATGTGCATACCAGGCTGCTTGCCTATCGTTCAACCATGTTAGCAAATCTAGTCCATTGAGTCTCTTCCAGTGGTAAGGTCTTGAACGTACAGTTGTAGCAAAGACGCTCAGCAGAGGAGCAAACCTCGGCGTAGTGGCCAACGTTGCCACACTTGTAGCAAGCACGACGAGAGAGAGAAGACATGTTGATAATGTATATTGATCTAGCCCGGAATGTCAAGTTAGCAGACGAGCAGAATATTTCTCAAGTCCATGCATATACGCCATTAGCGAAAACAAGTGTCCAGACAGCCGCAGCCCAGTCAAAGTTCAATGTTGTTATGCCGACGGCGGCGCCGGGCAGGAGGAAGCCATGAGAGCCACTAAATGCGGCGGGTCTTGGAGTTTGTCGCGGGGCTGCTGGAAGCTTGGTGACTAGCTTGGCAGCGAGAAATTCCCTCGCTGAGACGGCTGCAGAGGACTTTGCGAGAGAAACCCGGCAGAGACAGCAGTTGTAGAAAATAATATGCAGTCGAGGCGTCGTGGCTTGCATACGTCAAAAGCGTAGATGTAGCTTCGTCGGTCGGATAATGTCATTGCCGGAGACATGGCGCAAAGCCAGGTCTGTCGGCAGATATTACAGCTTGACAGCTGGTGTAAGGATTTCTCAATTTGCGCAAAGAAGTCATCGTCACAGCTGTGCATGGCGGTTTGATGCATCTCGCATGAGCAGCAACACCACAGGGCCGTGCCCGCGCCCGCGCCCGAGAGCCGAGATGCTAGCGGCGCACAATCCATGGAGATGATGCGCTTATCCCGCTCCAGACGATCCGAGGCATCCAAGCATGTTCCGTAGCAAGCCCGCCATCCACGCACATGTAATATGATGCACTCAGGCACCGATCGGCCGAGGAATCAAGCATCGAGGTCGGAGTTGGAGCTGGAGTCGCACCACGTTGGTGTGTCGCACAGAGCGGCGCAAAGGTGGTTTGATTTGCTGCTCCCCGCGCATGGACATCCGCACAACTCTGGGGCCGTCACGGCAGCGAAGCAGCGCAGAAGAAGCACAAATCGCCATGATTCCGTCTTCTTTCGAGATGTAGCGCCGGCAGAACAAGATCCCAAATGGGCGCTCCCGTTGCAGGATGGAGAGCAGCCGATAATGCATGGTGCGCGAAACAAACCGTTGAACTTTGACCAGGCGATGGACATGTGGCGTCGCAAGCGAAAAACAAGCAGCGGGATAAAAGGCAGAAGAGATACACACCTTGCGAATAGAGATTCAGTTGAGTAGATTCGACAACTGCGACAACAACGGCGACGTCCACCAGCAAATCCTAGATTTTCCAGCAAAAGGGAAAAATTTTTCTTGTCGTGAGGAGATTTAATATGTTCGAGGGAAAAGGAAAAAGGCAGGGAAGTGGAGCGGGCTGGACGAAGGGCGAGCAGAGCAGACAGCGGCAACCACTATTGGATGGCTGGAGCCTGCAGCTACAGCAGGTGCGCGCGCGTTCGGGTTGAGTGTGTGGCCTGTGGCTCGCTGTGGTTTGTCGCCGTGGAGCAATTGACGCAGCCGTGGGGAGCCGTGGGATGCCACTGTGTCACCCGCTGCAGGGCCCTCCCGCTCCAGCAGCGCTGTGCTCCACCACTGGGCCTAGCGCTCTTGGGGGCGAGGTGAGGGGAAACGTGCATCCATGGATGTACAAGTACGGCGCGAGTACTTTTGCCACGCGGGCTGGTGGATGCCCGCCCAGCGCTGCGGTTCCAGAGGCGACGGCTACCTGTAAGGTACAAGGACATGGCCACTGTCGAATCGCCTCTGCATCATCACACAGTTACTAGACCCAGAAGACGGCTTGACATGAGTGCATCAACATGGACAAGTTCTTTGTTGCCAGTTGCCCAATACCAACCGAGGCAACGAGGGCAATATTCTCGTATTGGCATCGACGCCATAAAACACGCAGGTACCGCTTGGCAGCAGAACGAACCGTTAGTCACACAGCGCATAAACTCTCTACCCCAATTTCAGGACACCACAAAAACACCGCATTTCCCAATATCAACTATCCTTGCAGCACCGTGTCCTTCTTTTTCCGGACTAGCAGAGCTGGTGCCTCCAAAACGATCCCGTGATTGTATCAACTAGGGCTTCTACCTGTAATCGCTGACAACGTGTCTTCAATCTGTTCTAGTAGACTAGGCCTGGGTACTACTACTAGTTGACTAGGTCTTCGAGTATGAATATCTCATGCACACAGGCACGCTCAATATTGAACGAGTAAACATCAAAAGAAGTGGTGACGAAGAATCATCCATGTAGTGGAGGCCAAGTCACTATGCGTGACATGCGCCATATGCGCTCAGTCAATAAAGCCTGTGCAGAACCCGAACCTGGTCACATTAACCCCTGCGTAGCACAGCATCTGATATCCAGGGATGCTGCCAAATAAGGATGCCCACCGACCGAGGCAGAAACAATGAGGATGGAGCTTACATGCCCTTTCGGGGCAGCTGTTTTTTTATTGAACTCGTGTACTTTGTGGCAGAAAATACGAAGCGTCCAATCACTCTATGATATTAAGAGACCGAGGTCCTCCCAACACCAACACAAGCACTATATAGTACTGCCATTTCAATATTTAATTTCTCAGCCCTGCATGCAGACATTCGTGCAGCAAGTGGCCCCCTACCAGCCAATCAAGGCCACTTCAGCATCCGGGAAAGGGAACAGGCCCAGTTCTCGACCCAAGTCCATGACAGGCTATAAGATTGGCCCTGGTAATGATGCACCGGGGTCCAGTTGCAGCATCACTCTGGGCTACTGATAGCATTGAATTTTGAGGAGTAAAATGATATATTAACAGCCGTTATGGGTGTTGGAAGTGGGGAAGGTTGAAGAAGAGCGTGGGAAAATTACCAAGACTTTTACAGTGACTCCCGCTTGCATGTCATGCTAGGAAATCATGGAAAGTCCCTTCATATGGAACGTCGGCAAAGACATATGGGCATCCTATATTACCAAGAACGCCATCGGTAGGCCGCAACACGCCATGTTGATCGCCTCCGATCCGATGCTTTTATATACACATTTCCCTTGTGCAAACACATCCGTAATCCTTCATGTGACTGCCTCCTAAACACCCCGTACAAAACAAAACAAAAAACTGCGATACGTCCTTCTCAGCTCGGAGGCGGCTGGCCAGCTCGTCCTCTTTCTGAAGGATGGACCGCCTGTGGCTCAGTTGCCGATGCTGACGGCGCAATGGAGCGAGGCACCGCTTCGACCACATATGATACTCCATCATCAGAGGCGTACGACGGTGGTCTCGGGCCTGTTGTCGGTCGTGAAGCAGGAGCTTGAGCGCCCTCATTTCGTTGCCAGAAAAAGCGATTCGGATCCACCCGCTAGATTGGACATTAGCTCAGATACACGATGAATAAAGTCAATATAAAACATACCACACTCTCTCGCCAGAGTCCGTAAGCAGGTGGATTCATCCTCATGGCTTCACTCTCAACCCCAGCAGCCTCCTCATCCTGCGCCATCACCACCCGTATCGGTTTACGTGGAACGGCATATCCGCGCGGATCTATCGCTCTAGGAACTTCAGGAGGATCCCCGCGAGCAATCAGCATCCATAACCGGACCAAGCTGTAGCAGAAAAAGACTGCCGCCAGCAGAATGATCATGATCAACATGATGTTCAACTCGCCAATGACAGAGTGCTTCGTAAGCGTTATACCCAAATCTACAACTCATATTAGCATTTTGCGTGTGATCAAAATATAATCCAGTGCCGAGGCATAACTGCCGCCACTTACACACTGCCAGCAGCGAAAAGAGAAACATCGCAGCCACAAAGCACTGAGCAATCTGCACTCGCACATGCCTCGACTTGATGTACGGGAAACAGAACAAAAACTTCTTCTTTTCCTTCTTGCCGGCCTGTCGCTGCGCTTCTGAATATGGGGGCGCCATGGACTCTGGAGATCCATTGGCGCCAGGCGCTCCTGGAAGATGAGCCGGCTGAGGAGCCGACAGAGGTGAGGAATTCGTTTGCCTAGACTGAATGACCGGAGTCTTGGGGCTCTCTAGAGCGGCTTCTTCGTCACCCAGCGCCCCTCGCCTTCTCCCCAATGCCAGTCGAGGCAGCAAAAGCCGCCGAGGAAATCGTCGTGTCGTGTCCGGCTCCATATCCGTTTGCATGTCCCGCAGCATGGTTCGTCGGCGCTCCGCTAGCATCTGGTTTCGGTCTGTAGGAGTATCTGCTCGTCTATCTCCCCGCGCTCTTCGAAGGAGCTCGTCGCGAAGCTGCTCCATGCTTCTATCAGACGCCATGTTGTGAATTCGGTGGCTATGCTGTTTTGACTTATATCATGAAATGGAGCAATTGGTTGGTAGGTGGGTATGTATTTGTCCTAGTTCAGTCACAGCACAGCCGCAGTCGTTGAAGGAATCGGGGAATCGTTGAATATCGAAACAAGAAAAAAAAAAGGAACGTATGTGAATCAACGAGCGATATCGAGGTGTTTGGGCAGAATGACCGACGAAAAAGTGAGATCCTGCTCAATGAGAAAAAGAGAACGACGAAATAGAGGGAAAGAGACTGAGGTTCAAAGTCGCTGTAAGAGGATTAAACGAAAGGAGTAGGATCAACAGAGAGCAGCAAGAAGAAGAAGAAGAAGCACAAAGGAACGGGTGTACGAGGCTATCTCAATACATTGGTTGTATAGAGAAAAAGAGAAGCAAGTAGCAAATCCAGAAACCAGCTGGAAGGGCAGCCCTCAAACCTCCGGATTACGAGAAAGACGTAAGAATCCGAACCAACGAGCGCAAAACATGTAAGACGGAAAACCCGCCCTGCAGCTGTCTTTGCAAGAAAGGAAGGAAAAAGAAAAAAGAGAGAGGCGGGACGAATGGCAGGCCAGGCGGAGCAAACATCGAAGCTGGGCCAAAATAGAAACCTACAGGCTCATTAAACCGGTCGCCGCCGTTCAATCTCTGGCCCGCGCACACGGGCTGGGCTGGACCCGGAACCCGAACCTCGCTCACAGCCTCAGTCGGGAACAGACCAGGAGGCCAAGGCAAAGCAAGCATACCCCAAGCAGAGCATACCAAAGCACAGTAAAAGCAAAGCATCCCGGGCCAGGGCCCTCGTATTACCCGCCGCAGCCACCATGTGTCAAGAGCTGATCTCGACGCTGCGCAGGGGTTCAAAGAGGCGTGTAGCAGGTGCTGCAAAACCAGGGGCTGGGGCCAGGGTTGGCCGTGGAGAAAAGACGGCCGCGTTTCATCCTGCGCTGCTCCACCGCCAATAGACGGCGCTGGAGACGACACGGCGCCACTCCCTCGCCCAAATTGATTGTTTCGCGATGCGCACCGATTGTTTGACGCGGTCCATCACGGCCAAGGGGGCCGGAGGAGCAAACAATCCTGTTCTCGGGGAGGATACACTTGTGGCGTCGTTGAGCGTCTGTGATCGAGGCTGGGCTGGGCTGGTCTATTCTGGTCCGGTCTGGGCAAGATTGCCGATTGTGCGGAGTCTTTTCCCCAGCTTTGCTGCGGTTGATGGTGATGATGCTGCTGGCTCACCATGTGATTGCTCATTCAAGAACGTACTGTACTGTATTTAACAATCCATGCTCTGTCGTTGGCCGGGGTTCCTATTCTTACGCAGCCCGCGGTTGGCCGTTGTGACAAGCTCCCCAGAACAGCGCTTATTATATGATTCCATGTGATAGAGACGGCTGAGCTTGAGCTGGCGCTTAGACATCACAAAGGTTGTTCATCACTTGCCTCAACAACAGGACAATTCAAATCGTTCGTAGAGCATACAGCAACCAAATGTCCCATGGCCGCTTTTCATCTTTTTCTCCTTCTATTACCCCTTTAATTCCAAGGTATCGCTGATATACATACAATAAGATTGACGCCAATATTGCCATTAACTTTTTTCCCGAAATGCTGATTTTTTTCATGACGATGAGTATACATTCTCAAGTTTGAAATGTTACGTCTTGGATGAGGGTATGCAAGACTCATCAACCCACATGAAATCTTCAAATGGACTTGGCTCCACGATATGGGCCAGACGCCGAGAACAGTTCAAGTCAGAGTCGACAGTGAGCTTCAATAAGCAGCCGCTTTATCTTCGTTGAGACCAAAGTGGCGTGTCAATGTCTCTCGTCAACGAAAAGACGTCTTCCAACTCCTTATTCCATAACTCGACGGTACAAAACCACAAATGCCACTCACTTCAACTCACCAAGAAGCATAGTGCGATCCGATGAGGCTGATAGTACTAAAAAAGGAATTAGCAACTTCTCTACCGAGACGCAACAAAAATTATTTATATACTCACAAATAGGATCTTTGCCAGGTGCAAATTCCGCACAGTTCACGACTGCTCTATGCCCCGGAAGCTTATACATCAGCTTTCCCGTCTCGTTGGACCAAATAACCACAGTGCCATCTCCAGAAGCAGCAGCAATCTTCTTGCCCTCTGAATCCCAACTGGCGCGCAGCAGATTTGGCTCCACGCCAGCCGTAGTGCCGTCGAATGTTCGAATATGTCGTTCGGTAGGCGCAAATGGGCGAATGTCCCATGTTCTCACCGTCGTATCCATTGAGTGTGACAGCAGAGATTGTGAATCGGGAGAAACTCGTAAAGACGTAACGGTATCCGCATGGCCCAACAGAGAGTACACCACAGCCTTCTTTCTTAGATCCCAGACTCGAATGTCATTATCTATGCCTCCCGAGTATATCTCGTTGCCGGCTTGAGAGATGGCCACGGCTGTGATGGGAAATTCGGTCTCGATGTAGTCGACTGCGTTCTTCGTCCGTGGATCCCAGATTCCAATTGTCGAGTCGTCACTTCCGCTTATCAGCATCTCCTCGCCTCGCTTGCTGATGTCCAAAGTATTGATAATCTCTTCGTGTCCGACATATCGCCGTATCCGCGTTCCCGAGGTAAGGTCCCAGCTCGCAAGGTGCATATCGGCTGAAGCAGAGTACAGGATCTCCGAGTCTCGTGCCCACTGCAAGTCAAGAATGGCTCCCTTGTGACCATTGAGCACGCCGTAATTTTCGCAGTCGCCATAGGTCCTCCACAGCACTGCCTTGCGTTAGCAAACCAATATGCGTCTTAGAAAAATAGAGAGCTTCATACTTATACTTCTGTCCATTGATCCAGAGGCAATCAAATTGCCCGTAGGGTCAAATTTGGCTGAGAAAATCTCCCCAGAGTGTCCCGTCAGCTCCATCACAGGAGCTTGAAGCCCGCTCGTCCGAGGAGCCTAGAGAAATATTAAAACCTTTCCGTACAGAGCTCCAAGAGTAAAAGTATATCTTACCGTTTGAACCAAAGCGCTGCTGGAGGCATTGAGCCGCGCGAGGGCTCCTTCAGAAGTGTTGACATTCTGCCTCTTGACAAGGACTTTTGACAATCCGGGATCATCGTCCGCCGGGCGCTTCTCAGCTGACATTGTGGATAAGTAAGGTGTTATAAATACTATCAGGAGTTAAGATGACCGAAATGGTAATATAGAATCGAGCTTCGAGCTGGTGAAGCTGTCCGAGTCGCGATCGCGAAGTCTTGTCAAGTTGCGAACTTGGCGCCGGTCAACGCTTTCCTATTGGTTCTCGGCCCGTTGATGTTCCTACGCTCAGTGGTCGAGGCTAGCAGCCCAGGGACTCGGTACCCCACCGCCTAGAGCTGAGCTCCCTGTATGGATGTCGCGAACGTTCCTCAACCGCCATATCAGCGCAATCTATCTTTCACGTCTCTGCCCGGCCTTGGTTATCTGCATTCACGTTGCGGAGAAACTGGCGCAATAACAATACAACTGGCTACTACTACCTGCGAATTTCGTTCCAGCTCCCAAAACCCAGACCGCTGCCGCAATGGCCGCCAGCAAAGCGTCCCGCATCGGGGAAGAGTACGTTCCCTCAGGTTGCTCTACGCTCGGCGTTTTTCTAACATGACTCTAGAATCTGGAAGTATGGTGTCCTGGCTTGAGGAATTAGCACCGCTTAGATCTAATCGCATCGATAGAACTCGCATAGATAAAGTGAATGCCGAGCTGGTGACGCTGACGTACGGAACTATCGTCTCGCAACTATGCAAGGATTTCGAAGACGACTACCCAGAGGTCAACCGACAACTTGACAAGATGGGCTACAATATAGGCCTGCGACTCATCGAAGACTATCTGGCAAAGTCAAATACTATGAAAAGATGCTCCCATTTTCGGGAAACCGCAGATATGATATCCCGGGTAAGGACATGGCTCAAAGATGCACTTTGTTTCCTATGGCTGACGGACTTTGTGTCTCCTAGGTTGGATTCAAAATATTCTTGAACATTACACCGCAAGTGACAAATTGGACAGCCGACAACAACTCATTCTCCCTGGTATTTGACGAGAATCCATTTGCCGACTTTGTCGAGCTACCGGACGATGGAAGGGCGCAGAACGAGCTCTGGTACTCTAACATTTTGTGTGGAGTGTTGAGAGGGGCATTGGAGATGGTTCAGATGCAGGTGGAAGCGCACTTTATCAGCGACGTCCTCAGGGGGAACGACACTACAGAAATGCGGGTAACATTGATACGCTACATCGACGACGAGCTGCCGCCGGAAGACGATTGATAGAGTGACGAGCAGGTGCCGGACCAGATTAATAGCGTTGGAGACGTCAAGCTGTTTGCAGGAAAGGCTAGGAACGGGTAGGGACAGATACTTGACAGCGGCGATGGCTGGTTCAAACTCATCGTCGTCAGAGAAATAACGGGAAATGAAAGCACCATGATACCCATAGATCGAGCCGAGCTACACTTTGATCAAGCCATTGCGAATGATTGCGGCATATTGATGGGTATGTGCCAGGAATAGTTTGCCGAGCTGCTAGCAGAGGGTCCCGCGGACAAGCATGGAGCTTGATGGCTGCGCCGTTTGTTTCCATTTACAGCATCAAGAATTTAAAGTTCAGAAACATTCATGGATGCTTTGTAACCTGCATTACGTCTTATCATAAGTATTAGTACTATTATTTTTTACTAGTACAGCTACTGCCTACCCATTACCCATGCACTTATAAGTGTCTAAGTGAGGCTCCCTGTACCATAGATGCTTACATGACGAATTCATGCTTTAGGTAGCGTAAATCCCCGAAACTCAATCTGGCTACAGAGATGCCTAGCAAAGAGAGCTGTAAACGAATCCAGCCCAAGGTGGAAAGCAGTCGTGCCTGATCTCCATGAATCAGCCCACCCCGACTGTGGAGTGACTGAGCACTGCTGGCTGATGCCTGCTGAGTGGTCAATGCCCGCGTCTCGGGTTGTACGTGGTATGAGCAATCATGTCACAAGCCGATGCAGCGTCCGGTTTGCGTAGAATCACACCGAAAGATGGAGGAGAATGACGAGTGCCGCTGGGGGGGAAAGGATGGTGATGCGCATATCGGAGGCTGTCAGGATTCAGGGTCCAGAATAAGCCACCAAAAAGAGAACCCGGATGATGTTTGACGCAGCACACCTGATCCGGCGGTACCTACACAAAATCAAATTGAAAATTTATCTTGCTTCGTCAAAATGAGCAACGGAAGAGGACGGCTATGCCATATGCCAAAGTAAAATGCGCAAAATCCCACATTAAACCTATATTAAATCACGTCGCCTTGAGGCTCGCAGCGAGTCTCGCCCAGAGGTTTGCGCCTCAAATTCTCTTACATGCCTCGATGCAGCGATATTACGTCGAAGGCCTTACCTCAGCGGCCTAATTAGCGTGCTCCGTGTCACAATGGCAGCAAAACCAGCGCTGCGGCCCGCACAGACTCGCGTTTGTGCCTCAGGCGCCCAGACCCAAAACTACGCATATAGTCTGACGCATACGCAAGCACCAAGCAGCCGGAGCCTTACAGTAGGATCGCCAATCCCCCCCGAAGCAGTCTGATGCGGCCCTCGAAACACTTTTCCAGGCTCGCTCTGCTTTTCGCCGCCAGCCCCTCGCACTGTGTCCCCTCGCGCCCGCGCCCACCAGCACCGTGCGACGGTTCCAGCCCCGGCGCAAGGCTACGCGCACCGTCCGACGCGGTTTGACTGCCGTTTGAGCGCTGCCGCCACCGTGCGAATCGCCCGCGCTCCTTTTCGTGCCGCTGCACTCTGCGTACTGTATGAGCGGCGCTCTGCGCACCACCATCGCCCACGATTTACTTGCACCTTGCCTTACCTTTCACTACCTCCACAGCCTAATCTGATGTCCATCGCGACATTTGTCCCCACGGCCCAGCGCGAGAGCTGACCCGGACGACCCACGACCGCAACCTGCTCTTCCTGCCTCTCACGCCGAGCGCCGTCGCAGCTGCTAAACAGAATCGAATCGTGGCCGCTGCTCGTCTCGGCAATCCGCCTTTTTTTCCCACACGCCCGCCAGTGCTGCTGCGCTCGAGTTCCCGCGCTGCCGGTGCGCTTACAGCAGAACCGCCAGGCCAACCTCACTGTAGCGTGCACTGCACTACATCCCCCGGGACAGAGGCAGCTCTGATCTTTTCCCTCCGCTCTCCTCCATCTCGACTGCTTCGTCAACCAGCCAGCCACTTCCAGCTGCCATCCGCCGCCTCTTTGCTGCTCCGCGACTCGAGCGGGCAATTTTCTGCAGCGCCAGCACCGAGCGCCGCCGTCGCCGCTTACAGACATCGCCACACTTCTGGTCCGTCCTCGACGAGCGCGTCGCCTCAGCACCTGCTTCCACGCCTGGATTTGCAGCTTTACGCGGTTCGCGATCATTTGTGTACAAAAACCCTTTGATTTTTTCCCGCTCGCCTGCTGGGATAGGCTTCCTGTTAAGGTTCCGCCTCGTCTTGCCCACGTCGGCCAGCCCTGTAGCGCTCTTCGCGTGGCGGCACCCAAAGCGGCTGACCAGGGAAACTCTTTCTCTCGCAACATAATTCTTTCGCATTGAGCCCTCAGAGCTCTTTGCATCTTCGTATATAAAATCTCGCCTCCCACGCACCCTATTCACGATGAATGCCCAACCTGGAATGGCCAACGTGACGCCTATGGGCGGACCTGTTGGCGCACCGATGCCCATGATGAATAATAACGCCGCCATGAATCCTCAAATGGCGGCCGCTGCCGCCGCAGGGCGACAGGTGCAGGACCAGCGCAGCACTCTCAACACATACATTTACGAATATTTCCTCAGACATCACATGTACGACTGTGCCCGCTCTCTGCTGGCCAGCGATCAGCAGGTCAACGTGAACAAGGAAGCCGGTGGCCGTCGCGAAAATGGCAACGCCATGAACGGCGTCGACGACCCCATGGACACCGATTCCAAGGACGACAGCGACTCCAAGCTGCCAGATGACCTGCCTCCTCCCAAGCTACCGATGCCAGCTTCGGATACGTCGTTTCTCTACGAGTGGTTTTGCGTGTTTTGGGATATCTATACTGCCCCACGCGCCAAGAACGGGAACCACATCGTCAACCAATATGTTCAGCATACTCAGGTACGAATTGCCGATACTAATCTCTCTTTTATTTCTCCTTTCTTTCTTCTCTTTTTTTTTTCTTCTAGTCTCTCTACACCTGCCGATTGATACGATACTCTTGACTAACTCAATTTCAAGCAGCAACAGCGAATGAAGCAGTCTCAACAGCAAGAGATGCTACGTCAAATGCGTCCTGAAATATCAGCGCAGCAGTATCAGGCTCAAGCATTTATGAGAAACATGCAGAACACCAACATGACCATGGCCATGAAGCAGCAGCAGCACCAAACCAATCTTGCCCGAGCAGCCATGGCCAACAATCAGAATCCCGGTATGCAGCAGATGCTCCAAGCAAAGCAGAACCCAATGCAGAGGGATCCTTCCGGCATGGACGCCAACCGTGATCGACCATCATCGCCCGCCTCAGGAGAAAATGCGCCATCTCCCTCAAAACGTCAACGAATCGACGGCGCTCCTTTCAACGCTAATCAGCCCGGTGCCATGATGAACGGCGGTCGTCCCGGCCAAAACATGCCTGGCCAACCGATGGCTGTGGCCGGCAACGTCGCGAATGCCCAGCAGGTTCTGGCCGCCAACGGCATCAACCCTAACCAGCTCAACCCCCAGCAGATGCAAAACTTTGCCAATACGCCACCCGCAGCCCAGCAAAAGTCCATCGCAACCTACTCGCACAACCTCCAGCAGCATCATGGCAACCAAATGGGCAGCAAGCAGATGGTGGGCGGCGTGCCTCAGAACCAGAGCTCTCCCATGATGGCCCCTGGAGGCCCTGACGGCAATGCTCTCAATGCGTTTTACAACCCCAACATGGACGGCCCCAACGCTATGCGAGCAGGAGGACAGGCCCAGCCCACCGGCAGCAACCATGCTCTACAGGACTATCAGATGCAGCTAATGCTGCTGGAGCAGCAGAATAAGAAGCGGCTCATGATGGCTCGCCAGGAGCAGAGCGACATGGGTGGAATTCCCAGGGACAACCAGCCGGGAGCAGCCGGACCCAACGGACAGCCCTTCCCAGACACATCACCGCAGGCCATGAGATCCGGCGCTTCTCCCAACCCTGCTGAGCAGATGAAGCGCGGCACTCCCCAGATGAACAACTCTGGCATTTCCTCGCCCGTTCCCGATGGTGCACAGTCCCGCGAGTCTCCCAACCCTGCCATGAACTTCCTGGGCAACCATGTCAACGTCAGCATGGCACCTCACTTCTACAAGGGACAAACGGACGAAAACATGGCCGCCGCACAGGCCCAGATGAACGGCATGCGACCGCCCAGCTCACACCCTGGCCAGCCATTCAATGGCCCGATGAACGCACAGCAGATGATGGCCGCTCGGCAGGGCGTCCCAGGCAACCCCCAACAGTGGCAGGGCATGAACGGCCAGATGGTGCCTGGTGGTATGCCGCAGCAGGGCCAGCCAGTCCAGGGCACTCCCCAGCAGCGATCAATGCCTCCTCCATCGGCGCCAGCGGCAGCCAACGCAAACAACAGGACGACTGCATCCCCCCAACAGGCGGCGGCAGCACCTCCTACACCTAGCCAGAGCAACAAGGCGGCGCCAAAGAAGAAGGAATCCAAGAGTGCCAAAGATAAGGTAAGTCCATTCTGCATCGAATTTCGCATCTTCTCCTCCCCCTCTCCCCCCTTTTTCTCCCCCCTTTTTGCAATCTGACAGATCTTATAGCGACTTGCTGCACAGAAGAAGGGTAACCAGAACAACAACGCTGCTGCTTCTACCGCGGAGAATGGCGCAGAGGCCGAGGTCAATGCACCGGCAACTCCCATCACCCCCGTCGTCGCCCCTGGCAGCTTCAAGGCCGGCCAAGCCGGCGGCCCTACGCCAAATGCATCTGCGCCGACAGCCACCACAGGTGTCCCAGCTCCTGCTGCTGCGGCGAGTGCGCCGGTACCTCAGGCGGCTGCTCCCGTGCCACAACCAGCCCATGACCTGGTTGGCGGTACCTCATTAGGAGGAATGGAAAGCAACTTTGGAATGGTACGTTTCAATTTCTCCCCGTCGTCACATTTGACATGCGGTAGCTTCCGACTTGAGAGCCCAGCGCTAATGTTGCAGCAGGACTTTGGTGCAATGGACATGAATCCCCTTGGCTCCACTGACGTCCTCAACGATTTCG